AAGGCCGAGTACTCGCTGACACAGCACCTGGCCAACAACCTGATCGACCTGTACATCAACCTGCCTTCGGCCAACAGATTTAGAAGACCGGCGTCGTACGTGTCCAAGGGCTACAGAACCAGAAGAATGGCTGTGGATTACGCGGTTCCTCTGGTCACCAACGTCAAGAACGCCAAGCTTTTGATCGAGGCCATTGCCAGAAACCTGAGTCTGGAAGTCTCCAACATCGACGCTCAGACCTCGCACAAGACCGTTGAGTTGCCAGGTCTGATCTCGATCTCCACGTTCGTGCCGTCGTTCGAGTCCGACTCTGCTTCCGCCAACATCGAGGCCGTCACCAAGGCTGCTCTGGCCGCCGGGTTCACTCTCACGTCCATCTCCCCGGTCACAGGTTCTGGCTCGTTCATTGTCGACGCCAGAACCCTGGCCAGGGTCCACGAGCTCGCCCAGGACTCCACCTACACGGACTTCTCGTTTGGCGTCGCTGCGACCGAGGAGAACCCGACCCAGATCCAGCACATTGCCTCGCTCACGTCGTACCTGCTTGTGCGCTCCGACGAGTTCCTCAAGAACAAAATCGCATCCACATCTGCGCACTTCGGCGTCTGGCCCGAGAAAAAGCCAATTGTCACAGACACCAAGACCACCGACCTGGCCTCTGTGCTTTTGCTGGCCTCCCTTTACAACAGACAGATCCACGTCACCAACGTCACCAGCAAGGACGACCTGGCTCTGATCACCATGTCCAAGGGCAAAGGTCTGCAAGTCTCGTGCGACGTGTCTGTGTACTCGCTGTTTGCTTCGCAGGAAGAGTATCCTGGAGCAAGCTTCCTGCCAACCAAGGAGGACCAGAAAGCTTTGTGGGACAATTTGGACTCTGTCGACTGCTTCTCTGTGGGCGAGACGCCAAGCCTGCTCGCGCAACACGTTGGCCAGCCGGTGACTGCAGCCATCGGCATTGCCGACACGCTGCCGTTGCTGCTTTCTGCCGTTGCAGAGGACAAGCTGACGTTCGAGGACATTGTTGCCAAATTGCACGACAACCCGATCAAGATCTTCAACCTGAGAGACAACGAGTCTGTTATCGAGGTCGACGTCGACAGAGCCATGTCCTCGCTCAAGACCAAGAGAAGCGTGTGGTCGCCGTTCCAGTCCAGAAACCTCAAAGGTGCCGTTGAGAGAGTGCACATGAACGGCCAGACGGTCTGTCTCGAGGGCGAGTTTGTCGTCGCCGAGGCTCTCGGAAGAGAAAATGCTTTCCTTGTCCAGCACCCGTCGTCTCTTGCCGGCACCCCAGCCGTGGCAGAGGCGCAACTGGCTGCTTCGCCAGCTGTCGCCGGCAGAAGAGCCTCGAGATACTCGTTTGACGGCGCCAGAAGATCCACGCTCATCGACTCTCTGAAAGACACCAGCGCAATTTCGGAGTCGCATGACACTCCTACCGGTGCCGAGCTTGTTTCCTCGATGCCTCCAAGAGAGCTGTCGCTTCCAAACGCCATCATCTCCTACATCAAGGGCGACAATCCGTTCCTCAGAAACTCTGTTCTGTCAGTGAGCCAGGTCTCCAGATACCACCTGCACGCTCTGTTTGCTGTTGCACAGGAGATGAGGCTGGCTGTTGAGAGAGAAGGTGTGTTGGACGTGTTGAAGGGCCGCGTCTTGACGACGGCCTTTTTCGAGCCGTCCACCAGAACCGCGTCGTCCTTCAACGCTGCTATGCAGAGACTGGGCGGCCGTGTTGTCTCAATTTCCGAACAGGGCTCCTCTGTCAAGAAGGGTGAGACCTTGCAGGACACCATCAGAACTATGGCCTGCTACTCCGACGCCATCGTCCTGAGACACCCTTCGGAGGAAAGTGCAGATATCGCTGCCAAGTACTCTCCAGTTCCTATAATCAACGGCGGCAACGGTTCCAGAGAGCACCCTACCCAGGCCTTCCTGGACCTGTTCACCATCAGAGAAGAGCTGGGTACTGTCAACGGCATCACAGTCACCTTCATGGGCGACCTGAAATACGGAAGACCAGTGCACTCGCTGTGCAAGCTGCTGCAACACTACCAAGTGAGAATCCAGCTTGTTTCTCCGCCAGAACTCAGACTTCCAGAGAACATGAGAAAGAGGCTTGCCGAGTCAGGAATGCTTGTTGGAGAGTCCACAGAGCTGACCAAGGAGATCATCGCCAAATCTGACGTGCTGTACTGCACCAGAGTTCAGCAGGAGAGATTTGCCGACAAGGAGCAGTACGAGAGGCTGAAGGACTCGTATGCTGTTGACAACAGGATTCTTGCGCACGCCAAACAGCACATGTGTGTGATGCATCCGCTTCCAAGAGTCAACGAGATCAAGGAAGAGGTGGACTTTGACCAGAGAGCAGCGTACTTCAGACAAATGCGTTACGGTCTGTTTGTGAGAATGGCGCTGTTGGCCATGGTCATTGGTATTGATTTTTAACTAAGATAATAGATAATAGATGTTAGAATTAATGTTTCGTGCATGAGTGATCTGATTGTAGTGTCTATTATATTTTTTTCTCCTGCGTTGTAAAAAATATGCCTCCTACCGGATTTGAACCGGTGATCTTCGCATTACGAGTGCGACGCCTTACCACTTGGCCAAAGAGGCAATATACGCGTTTATTTCTACTCCTTTTCGCCATGAAGGAGCATTCCTCATGGTAGCACGGAACTTATAATCCAACAAATAGCTCTACAGTCAAAATTATCACCAGAAGCTTGTTTGCAGCTATACACTAAGTTCGCCTTGGCTTGACATTTTGTCTAGTTTGCCTTTTTCTGCTCATCCCGCTTCGAGTAGATCTTGGCGGTGAAGGGCTCCTCTATCAGTTCAACAAGTTGGTACATGGCGTAGACAAGACCGGAAATGAACACGCCCGAGGCCTTACCGTACCACAACGCTGTTCCCAGGAAACACAGAGTGGATCCGTCGTACATTGGGTTGTCAAGTACGCTGAACGGGAAATCTGTGATTCTCTCGTCTTTGAGGAAACCAAAGTGGTCTCCAAGGTACGTTCCCACGATTCCTAGTTTATACATGGAGGTGGACACAAAGACAGAGCCGGTTGCAAATAGCAGCGCGCCGATAGCCTTGACAAGCGGCGTGTCCAGCAATGGAGAAGTCGGCTGGTCCAGAATAGCGTCTCTGTATATGTGATCTCTAATCAGACCGAGGGAGAAGACGGTCAGCGAGAATGCGTACACGGCAAGCAACTTACTACCAAAAGCCAGTTTCGACAGCAGTTTAGTGTTGTACTCGAGTCTGGCTCCAAAGTTCCAGTACAGAGGGTTGAACACCACAAAGAAGATCGACGTCTGGAGCTTCTTGGAGTTGAAGTCGATGTCTTTGGCGAGTTCCCAGTAAATGTCCTTGAATTTGTCGACGTAGTCCATGTCTTGTGAATAATTTTTCATGTGTAAAGCCCCATTATTTATAAGGCCCGCGCTCCAAAATGTTGAATTTGCAATCACATGCACTTTGCTGTGGAAAAAGGGAGAATCTTGCAAAATATAAATACCTATCGCTCCCACCCGCAAATTGCCCCGATTTTGCGGAGCCAACAATGCAGATTTGCCTGCCCGATGCGATCACATGCAAATTCGCGGCCCCTTTTTAAGCCTGAAAAAATTGGGTGTTGGGCAAAACGCCTGAACTGGTGTACCTTACTGCCTGTATTTACTTACCTATAGTGCTCACGCCTCGAGCCGCTCGGCAGCGAGTCTCCTCTCGATCTCGGCAAGCTCGCGTTCCCGAGCCTCGATCTCCTCCTTCTTCAGCATCAGATCCCGCTGCACACGCTCCTCAAACGCACGCAGCCGCTCTTCCTCGAGCCTGATCTGCTCCTCCTTGTCGTCCAGGGCCGGGCTGTCGGCGACTTTCGGCGACTGGTGCGCACCGTTTCCGTTGGCCACGCCCGTCATGCTCGTCGCCATCGAAGACACTCTGGCCCTGCTGAGCTCGCTAACGTCGCCGATCTCGCCCTCCTCCCCGAGAGTCTTGGCACGGTAGTTCTCATACAGCACCTCGTGAGTGTAATCCTTGAAGTCGTTCAGATGCGTGATGAGAAGCGTGTTTTTCAGCGACAGGAAGTCGCTGATCTCGTTGTCGAAGATATCGATCGTGCCCCACGGATACACCCGTACACGCTTGACCTCGCCCGACGCCGGGTCCTTGTGCGTCGTGTTGGACCCCATCACGGCAAAAGGAAGCGTCTTCCCCAGGTACTTGTTGAGCTCGATCGTCTCCTCGTCGGCGCCCTCGTCCAGGTTGAAGAAGTCGTCGTTGAAGTCGAAGATCGGCAGCTTGTAGTGCTCGATGTCTTCCATGATGAGTTTCTTGTTCAGTTTCAGCTCGGACAGCGTCAAGGAGTCTGCTTTGGCGATCACCGGCACTATATTGACCAGCTCGCCCAGCGACTGCATGAAAACGACGTCCTGCTCTTTGAGTCCGTGGCCCGTCGGGGTGATGAAGTACAAGCAAACATGGACCCGACAGTCCTTGAACCTGGGGTTTCTTCTCAGCTTGGACTCCTCAATCAGAATCTCGTCGTACTGGTGTTTGACGTAATCCGTGATAACCTGGAATGACACGCTGTTATCCAGGCTGGTGCCAAAGCCAGGGGTGTCGATCAGGTTCAGACAGATCCGGACGCCCTCGCCGTCCTCCAGCTCGACGGTGCTCTTCCTGAGCTGCATTTCGCGGTCCGGGCTGATCAATTCCTCGGGGGAGTACATGTGTATTGTCGAGGAGGGCTCGACGATCAGCTGGTCGCACAGCGAGTTGATGAACGTCGAGCGGCCGGAGCCGCTCTCGCCGACCACCATGACGGTGAAATTCAGCGACTTCTTGAGCGTCTTTCTTTTACGCAGAGCGGCCGAGTTTCCTAGGACAGTAACCATGTTGCCAACGCGTTAAAATAATTCGCGTAGCAATAAAATAAAATAAATACATCTACGGCTGCACAGCCGTAATACATAAATAGCCGTCTATTTAGCTCTCGCCCTGATGGTCTGCAGCTGCCTGTAGCGGCGCTCCCAGTTGAACTGCCAGTCCGAGTTTGTCCAGATCTCGCAGAACTGGCCGCACAGCGTGCTCACGTTGCGGACGTAGCTCGGCAGGTTGTGCTCGCTGATGAGCTTGAAGTGCGTCGTGCTGAATATGGCCGGGATGCCCGCCTTTCGAAAGATCTTCACGCGGTAGCACCGCTCGGCGCACGGCTCGATCACAATGCTCATGAAGTTGAACTGCGACGCGATCTTGTGGAACAGAAACGGCTCGCCCGAGTCGTTCCAGTAGATGTTCACGAAGTCGTTGCCGATGTGCCGCTTCTTGCTGCTGACGGCGTCGTCGGTGCCGTGCGGCATCATCGTCGTCACGTGGAAACACACGTGCGTCACCGGCGAATGGTGATGCACCGTGTACTCGCCGTCCTGGTCGTTCTGCGTGTCCAGTCCGCCAACGTAGTAGTCCCTGCAGCCACGCAGCCGGATAAGCTTCCCAAGCCGCGTCAGAAACGCCTCGTACGCGTCAGACCCGAACTGGTTGCTCAGGATGTCCTTCTCGGTGGTCTGGCCGGGCCCAATGTACACGACGCCGATTTTGTGCAGGTTCACCACCGGGATCCGGTCCATCACCGCCACAGACCGCCGGACCTGGTCGTCCATCTCCAAGGGCTTCAGATCGGCATTCTGGGCTCCCAGGAGCGCGGAAACCACGAACGACGGCCTGAGAGACGCGTGTGTGTGCTGGGCTGGCAGCCTCACTTCGAAGCGGTCGATAGCGGTCGATCGACGCAGCGTGAGCAGCGACTTGGGCGTGTGCCTGTGGCTCGCGACCGTGAGGAGCCCGTCGCCGTGCAGCCAATGGCATGTGTCGTAGTCCTTGTCCTGCTCAATCTCTGTGTCAGGGGCGAAAATCTGTCTCGTGCTGTTGTCAGCCGTCACAAACCGGTTGATGGCCTCGTAGTGCACTTTATTTTTCGTGTCCTCCAAGCCGAGAGCCACGAGGTTTTTATTGATGAAGTCGACGAGCTGGCTGCGCTGGTCCATGGAGAGCTTCAGAAACCAGCCGCAGACCGCGCGGTACGACATCGCCGTCAAAAACAGCAGCAGCTGCTGGCTGACCTCGAACGACTGGGTTGAAGGCAGTCTGTCCAGCGAGGAGTCCAGATAGTCCACGTCGTGCTCTTTTTTGTACTGGAACGAGTCCTTGGAGTACTCGATGTACTTGAACGCGATGGCGAAGATGCGTTTGTAGTCCTCGGTGGTCAGGTTGGAAATTAGAGCGGGCAGTTCCGAAAGACTAAATAGCAAGTCCAAGATGGGGGCAGCGGTAGCAGCGGCGGACAGTCTGGTCTGCAAAATGCTGAGAATGGGGCCCAGAAACCGTTTGATCGAGGCAGAGAACTCGTAGCACGAGACGATGAGGAAGTGCAGACACGGAATGCCGGTCTTGTCCCAGGACTTGAGCGCCGAGATCACAGAGCTGATCAGCAGGTCTTCCTCTGTTCTGGAGAAAATCGCTCGATACGCCGGAATCGCAGACAGCGTCCGGATCAGCGCGACTTGGACGTCTGTTTTCGACACGGCTACCGGGCGGAAAGACGACGGGAACCGCAGCTGCAGCTGGTGGCAGAGCGTGCGGAGCAGCCGCAGGATCTGGTCGTGAGACGGGAACAGCGACGAGTACGCCAGCTGCGGACACAGATGGCCCAGCATGAACGAGTAGACCTCCCAATCGACAAAAGTTTCGAGCGTGAAAACGACAAGTTCGAGCCAGTCGCTTAGATCGCATCGTTTGAGACACCGGTGGCTGCAGCTTTCCAGCAGCTCGCGCGGTAAGTACGGGAGTGTCTCGGGATACTGCCATTTCCAGCTCTCGTCGCGCGTGTGGCCGGTGCCGACGTTCCTGGCCAGGTTGTGGCACAGTCCGTCCACGTCGCAGACATCGACAAAGTGTATGTAGTCGTCTGCGGGCCTGGCGCGGGCCATGAGCCGTGCGACGGTGAGAAAAGTGTCGTGGTCGGTGGAAATGGCAGAAGAGGCGAGCTTCAGCAGATAATCGAAGATAGCACCGGCTTTTCTGGTGTTGCGCGAGCTCTGGCAAAGAACCAGCAGCGAGTACACAACGTGCTGGGTGAACGCGGCCGCAGACGGGAACTTGGCCACGAGCAGCTCTAATAGCTGTTCGTCGACGCGGAGCAGAATTTTTGCGAGTGTCTCGCGATAGCCGGCGAGGCTCCAGAAGCCGTCATTGAGGAAGAAGTCCAGATAGTGGCCGAGAGGCTCGCGTCTTTCGCAGATGTCCAGCGACTCGAAAAAAGCCAGCTCTAGGACTGCAAGAACCTTGTCGGTGGTGCCGAAGTTGCTCATGAGCGCCTCGCAGTTCTGCTGCCAGTTTTCCGTGATGGCCACGCATCTAAGCTCCGAGCTGTAGCTATCGATGACGAAGTCCAGCTGCGACTCCGACAAAACGTCTCTGTTTTTCTCGAAGAGTCGCACGGTATGCTCGCGCGATAATGGGCTAGCAACGGCCTGCAGACGGTCAAAGAGCCCTGCGACCGTCGATCTGTCCACGGAGCCGCAATCTATAGCTATCAAACAGTTCCAGAACCGCGCGTCCGTAAGCTGTTGTTGCGAAAGAAGGCCTAAGCTAAGCAGCGAGAGCACCACAGAGCAAATGGCGTTGGCCACGCCCGGCTGCGTCAGTGCCGGACAGGAGGCAATAGCCGGTACCAGGAGTCCACTGGCAGTCTCCAGCACGTCCGTGACCAACGTGCTGACCTTCGATGTATCTCTGTAGTAATCCAAATATGTTCGCACAAACGCCAGACAGCCGTACGCGGGCTTCTCCTCAGCTCCAATGATTTCAGTGCACCTCACGAACGTCAGCAAAGAATAACTCGGGCTGCTCAGAAGCGCCACCAAAATGCCGTCGATCGTGTGGTCGAGCTGGACATTGCCCAGCTGTTTGGCTTTGCCAAGAATGCCGACGATATCGCGCACGCTGGAGGGCGGAACACAGCCGAGAGATATGTATGTGTCTATGATCTGGAAGTATGCGGTGAGCGTGTCTATGTTGGTGGCGAGGGTGGCCAGATCCAGCACCTTGGAGAGCAGATTCGCAAGGTCCTTGGACTCGAACAGATTGAAGTTGAATTTCAGACAATTTGCAAGGAACAAGGCGAACTGTGTCTGCGATTCTTCTCGCTTGGGCAGGTTGTTTAGCGTGCTCCAGATGTATTTGAAGAACGGGTATGGCTGGTAGATGAGCAGGTCGTAGAGGTCGCGGCCGTCGTTTGTGAGCAACATTAGACTCTGGACGCTGTATTCGGTGTCCGACGCGAGATAGTCGAGTATATCCTTATAGTATGCCATTTTAGTGGGCGTTGAGTGATCGCTTGCCTCAATGCAGGTGAGAAACAGATTGAATGTCTCCAAACGGAGCTGGTCCGAGTTCGAGAGCTCGAGGTTCTGTTTGGCGAGAAACCACAGCTCCGGGATAGACGAGATGCTTACGGTCTTGATGGAGGAGGTCAATTGGCGGACGGCGGCGATTTTGGCGCTCGTTGACCCCGTCTTGAGTGTCGCCACCAGATCCTTCTGATTGATCAGGTCTGTGCCGACCACCGTCGGCTGCACGGCTATCGGCTTTGATCTGAAAGTCTTGGATATCGATTTGAACATGACATGGATTTTTTTTTAATTAATCCCGAATTTTTTTTTTATTTACTGTTCTTGACGTATCTTTTTTGATCTGTCAAAAAATATTGTTATTTTTCTAATCTCGACGCAGATGCCAGAGGTATATAAACACAGGCGACGCGCTTGTGCGGGCTAAACAACCTCATGATGGACCGACTCATTGATCCTCTCTGCCAACTAGCTGCCAACCCAACGGCGCAGTCGCTTACTCTGGGGTTCAGTGCGGCTATTCTGGGAATAATCACCACGATGGTCACTTCCAGCAAAGACCAGTTCCGTGGAATCGACCTCTTACAGGAGCTCATAGACATTGAAAACGCGAACAAGAATCAGACACTTGCGAACTCGAAGTACGAAGAGATGATTGAGATTTTCAGCGTCGTGCTGGCGTTGGGAGCACTTTTTTTTGCTGGGCTTTTTGTTCTGGTTGGCGTACTATTTTGGCGAATCAGAGCACAGAAATGGCTGATTAGTGACTGTCAGACCGAAATGACAGACCTGAAGGCCACTCTGAACCATTTCATGGCCAAGGAGGACGAACTCTTCTACAACATTTCCGTTCGGTTGCAGCAGGAAAGCGATACCCTAAACGCAAACCTGAACACAGTGGTGAAGAACGGGATGCTGCAGATCGAGGAGATGGTTGCAAAGTTTCAGACAAAGATGAAGGCGTGTCGCCAGAACATCAAGGGCGAACTGAACAAGTTTGACACCATCAAGGAAGTTTCAGAAAAGACAGAGCAGAACCTCGGCAAGTTTGAGTCCTCTCTTTCCACCTACACGGCCAAAATGCAGCGGCTTGAACAACAATCCGCCAACCTCAAAAAGACGATCGATCAGTACGTCTCACAGGTGGACATCAAGGCAGAGCTGATGGACAAGGAGCACGAGCTCGCCAAGATCCGGATCTGCAAATGCAACCTAATGCTAACGAACTCCCAAATTTTGCTGGAGAAGATCCTAGGAAACATGGACGGAGCCGCCGAAGTGAGCCTCAGCGACGTCCTGAAAGACCTGGATCGCGACTTCTCTCTCGATTCGGACACGTATTTCAAGGCGTATTGCGAGTCCACCGACCTGACGCTCGTGGACATCAGCAAGAAGCTGGAAACGGTCCAATCGACGCTGGGAGAGCACGATGAAAGCATCAAGAAGTCCCGCAGCAGCATCGAGGACGTCAGGCGGGACATGCGCGAAGAGCTGAGACAGTTCACTAGCAGAAACGAGCAATGGATCTACAACTGGATTTCTGTTCTGTACGGCCTATTCTCGTCCGACATCGCCCAGCTGCAGATCCAGCTGCTTGGGTTGGACGATCTCGACTCGCTGCGCAAGCTGGAGGAGACAGGAGCGTATCTGAAGGACGAGTGCGTGTTCATTGAGAACTTTATTTTCGAGTGCAAGAAACAGTGTTTCGGTCTGCTACGCGAGCTCAGTTTGCTGCTTTTCGAATTTTACCTGCTCAAGACCGAGTACCTCAGCCAGAACCAGATCCTCGAGGAATGCGACACGCGGATCGAAACCACCGTGGCGAGACTGTTTGAGTTATTCCAGACCAGCTTGCAGAACTCGTCTATGAGCCACAGAGACTCACAGAACCTGTCCACCACAATTTGCAAGTTCCAGGAGAAACTAGTGGCGGACCTCAAGCTCACGTGCTCCAACTTCAACGTCATTTTCAAGCAGAACATCGAAGACTTCTTCATCATCTTCAAAACGCTCAAGGACATGGACGAGCGTCTGCCCAGCGACGAGGACTCGTCCGTGCTGATCAACAACCGCCACTCGTTTTCCGACGACGACGCAGTCACCAGCAACAGCTCTGACTCCTGGGGCCTGGACGACGCTTCCGCATACAAGCCGCTGCGCTTGGTCGAGAAGAGGACCGTCTCGTGATGTCGACGCGTCGATCGCCGCCCTGAAAATAATTCTTCTATTAATGACATTTATTTTTATCTCTATTGGATAATGGCTCGAATAATACTGCTGAAAAACAAAACAGTCCCCACCGATCCGTACGACGAACTGTTTAGCCAGGCTCAGTACGAGCCGGTGTTTCTGCCGCTGCTCAAACACTCGCCGATCAACGAAAAAGAGGTGAAGGAATTTCTCAAATCTGATCTCTATCTGAACGAGTACCAGGCACTGATTGTGACGTCCCAGCGGTGCATCGAGACGCTCGCCAAGCTTCTGCAGGAGCTGCGGCACGAGAAGTTCGAGCGGCTCGACCAAATTCTCAGCAAGCCGTCCTACACCGTGGGTCCTACGACTTCGCAGTATCTAGAGAATCTGGGGTTTACGGATGTTCGTGGCGGCAAGGACGCTGGCAACGGCTCAATTCTATCGGACATTATCATCGGCGACCCGCTGTTCCGCACGAGAGCCAAAAAGGTGCTGTTTCTCACGGGAGAAATACGCAAAGATATTATTCCGCGAAAGCTCAATTCCATCAACTTTAGCGTCATGGAGCTCGTTTCCTACCGCACAGAGCCCCTCGAAGATATAAAAACCAGGTACGAGCAGCTCTCGTCGACGGCGCCGCAAAACTCGTGGCTCATCTTCTTCTCTCCACAGGGAACGGCCGACATTGTGAATATGCTCAAGGAGAGGAAGCACAATTTCCAGATTGCGTCGATCGGCCCGACGACGGAAGAGTACCTCCTGGAGAACGGTATCAAGCCGGCAGTGGTGTCGACTAAGCCAGATGCCAAATCGCTCCTGTCCTCAATTCTGAGCTATGAGCGTGCTCTCTAGAATGAATACGTCACTTTGTTGAGTTCAGAGACCACCAAAAGGTTCTCGGAGCTATTCTTGTAGTCGAGCTCCATCTGGATCTGGAAGTCGGACTTGTTTCTGATTTCGACCCGCGGCAGCTCCAGTTTGCCCACACGCAGCGGCGTGAGAACGAGATCGAATTCGTAGGCGGCGCTTTTGTCGTTCTGGAGGTTCAGGTCGAGGTCGAAGTTCTTGAGTCCTGCGATAAGCCAGTTGTTCTCGTTCTCCACCAGATCCAGCTTGAGGTTGATGTTCTTGGGGATCTCCGGCTCGTTTTGGAACCGCACTTTTTTGTTCTCTTTCTCCTCCAGCTTGAAGAGAATAACGTGGAGCGACAGGCGTGCGTGGATCGGTTCGCACACCAAGTACTGCAGCTGCTTGGCAAACCGGAACTCGACAATGTTGATTGTGTTGATCACAGGGAGAGTGACCACTATGTTCAGCTGTTTCCAGGACGCGGAGATGAGCTCGTGCTGCAGATCAGGAGAAATGTTGTAGCTGCGGCCAAAGAAGTCCCGCAGCCGGTTGGCAAGACTCTGGGCGTCGTCAGGATGCAGCTGCGAGAGGATCTTCTGATGGAGCCTGCCCTCAAACGGGTCAGTTTTGATGCAGTTGGTCAGCGAGTAGTGGTTGAGTTTCGGTTTCTGTGCCCTGAAAAAGGCGCCCAAAAGACCCGAGTATTTAATCAGTTCCGGCTCCTCGTCTAAAATCTGTTTCCGGAACATTTTCTCAAGCCCAGCAACGATCTCGTCCTCAATGTCATTGTAGTCGATTTGCAAGTTCAGACTTTCGTCGCTGAGACTCTCAATCTTGTAGAAAAACGTCGTTCCCTGGTCATTGAACGCGATTATGTTGCGCGGCTGCTTCCACGTGACCACCTTCGAGCTCTGCGACGTGAGGTCCACCCTCTGAACCCTGACCGGACGGTTATGGATCGGCGAGTTGATGGAGTAATTGGAGAAGAGCTGCGCCGACTTGAAGATGTCCTGCACCGAGACGGCGATCTGGAGCTGGGTGTCCAGGTCCTTGGTCAGATGCACGGAACGGTCGCCGAAGACCAGTCCGAAGGAGAGCGGGACGATCGTGTTTGAGACCTCTGGCGGGAAAAAGTACGGGATTCTGACCGTCGCCGTCGAGCCGGGAGAAAACGAGCAGTCGCACTTGAACACCAGCCGGTCCACGTGATTTTCCACCTCCGCTTCAACAGCTTTGCCGTCTCTCTCAACCACATACTCTGCGTTGGGCACCATTCGGTCGATATCCGTCTTGTAGAACACAAACTCGCAACGCGGGAGCTGCTCGGAGCCCACTCTGGCAACCAGCATGATTTCGTCCCTGTTGAGGTCTCTCACCCGGGGAACAACGGCGTCTACCACGGTGTTCTGGTAAAGGTGGCCGTTTTTGTAGAACTGCTCGATCGGGTACGCAAAAACACGCAGGTCGAGTGTTTTATGGATTTCCAGCTTGCCAGAGCGCACCACGACGCTGCGGGCTTCTAAGTCGCCGCACACGAGGTCCTTTGTCTGCAACCTGTATTCGTTGAATTTTTCTAGAGAGCAGCTACCAAGCCGGAACTGCGTGTTTTCAAAATGCACGACAATCTCGTCCACGGGCAGCACCATCTTGCTGGTGATCCGCACCCCTAGCTCGTACGTGTCGACGCCCGCCGGGTCGACGCAAGGAGCGAGGTCGCAGTCAAAAAGGTCGGCGGATTCGAATACCACCCGGTCGGTCAGGTTGTCGAGGATCTTGGACAGCTTGTCGGACTCGTACGGCTCGTTTTTGGCAACCAGCTCCAAATACGACGTCAAAAGCACAGGCAGCACGTCCTCGTACGTTGCGCTCAGCTGCTCGAGATTGGCAATAAATATCCTCAGAATGCCCAGCGTGATGTACTTCCATTCGGAGTTCTTGAAGTAGGTGAACGAGTCGTTCAATATTTCCAGAGACGTCTCCAGCTCCTTCATGCTGTGGAAATATATCAGTGCCAGCTCCGTCGACAGCGTGTCGATGGTGCGCGGCCGCGACTGCGCTTTCGAATATTCCTCGATGACTTTTTTCGTCTCGTCAATGGCGTGCTCCTGAAACCTGCTCTCCGACTCTAAAATGCTCTTCACGGTATCGTCGAACGGCTCGTACTTCTCCGAATGCATCGGAACGTCCACCAAAGAGCCAGCCAACACGTAGCCCTTGCAATGCGCGAGTTTGATCAGCTCATTGCGCCTCAAAAGCCGGATGTCGCCGAGCTTCTCGTACAGCTCGGCCAGGTCTCGTTCGGAGCCGCCCAGAAGCTTCTGGAGCTGTGCATTCTTGAGAAAGTCGGTGATCAACACCACTGCTATCTCGTTTTTCTTGAAACTCTCGCCCAGCGACTCAACAAAACGCGAAAGCACCTGACTCCATTCCATTTGCGTGCGAATCATGAGAGCCTCGCTCGTGGCCGTCTTGTGCAAAATGGTCACCGACTGCTTGTAGAAGAACGCCTTGAGCTTGAACTTGGACTTGTAGTCAATGGCTGGCGCGCTGTCGGCCAGCGGGAGGTCGTTAAACGAGCAGCTTTCGATTCCCTCTTCGAGGTCTAGCTTATCAACCTTAGCAAACATGTCCTTATAACAATGCAGCGCGTCATCCAACTGTCCAATGCTCATAAACAGACGAGCAAGCTCGTTCATGCTGTCGAGCGTGTCGCGCGAGCGATAGTACGCGAGTCGGTAGCCGATTGACTCGACAAGCCCTATCTTGACCGAGCTGGCCAAGCCGGCCCAGGCCTCGCTTTTTTCGACCGCAGACGGGTAGCTTGACTTGATTTTGAAGATATTGTCGAACGTGAGCGTGTCGTCGAGAAAGTCTGTCTTCAGCTTGTTCAGCAGGTTGGTTTTGAGAAGTTTTTCTGCCCTCGAGACGTGAGAGGTGTTCTCATACAGAATTATGAAGTAGACGGAGGTCGGCTTGGCCGACTTGACATTGTTGAGCCACTGTTTGACCACAGGCCGCACGCGCGCCCGGTATTCGTCTATGCTGGTGCTGCTGATGAAAATGAAATTGAGATATTTGTTGTCTGTGGACTGGACGTAGTTGAGTTTTATGTTACTCAGGGTGCGCACCGAGCTGGCGGGACCCGGCTTCCAATGGAGTTTATCGATCCGTGTGATGGTCTCGAGGTCCTTTTTAAGGTGCCTGTAGAGCGAGAACGGGTCGTAGTACCCTATTTCGAGCGGAGTCGGAGCATCTAATTGGTCCATATCATCAAGATCAAAAGCAGGAAATATTTCAAAATAAAAAAATAAAGACGATCGACTCGTGTTCGAAATTATTTTGTTAGTTTTATTTACTGCCAAATGCCATCGCAAGACAAACCTAGACGGGCCGCTGCAAACCCGGAATTGAACCCGTTCTTGAGCAAGGCGCTAGCCAGAATATACGGCGACGACGCATCTGTGGAGGTGCGATCGCCCGAGCCGTCTGTTGACGAGGATATCGAATACTGGAAAACATTGGCCCAGCGGGCCAACATTCCTCTAGAAGACCCTGTGCGGGAGCAGGAGCCCCCTGTGACACACAGAGAGCAACAGCAGCATATCGGAAAGCCATTGAGGAGCGCATTTCGCAAAGAGAGTGCCCCTGTAGAGGCGCCGTTGAAACCCATTCCGAGAAGACGCAACGACGAATTCAGCTGGTATCGCGAGTCGAAAAAGCGCTATGCCAGATATCTGGCGGCGTCGGCGCGCGAGGAGCGCGAATTGTACGAGCAGATCCACAGGGAGTACATTGCAGAGCGCGAGAGGCTGCGAAGGCTCGAGGAGGACGAAAGCCGGGTGGCCAAGCTTGCGCAGCTGCTTAGGGAAGTTAGCGAAAATAAGGAGGTGCAGGGCCCAGAGAAAGAAGGAAGGGTGGAACAGAAGAGAGACGAAGAAAAAGAGGAAGAAAAAGAGGAAGAAAAAGACGAGGAATCAGAAGAGACCGGTGAGGACGGAGAACCAGAGCCTGACAAGCAGCAACAGGAGAGCGCACAATCCGACAGTTCCATCGAGGTGATTGAGCTGGACTCCGAAAGCGAGGATTCCGAGCAAGCAGAGCCGGAGGACTCTGAAGAGCAGCCGAAGGTGGCGGACCGGTTTGCGGGCAAGCGACTTCCTCCAATAAGCAACTACGTGGTGAGCCATTATGGCGAGAGCGATGGGGAGAGCGAGGAGGAGAGCGAGGAGAACGCGGAATACAGCGAAGAGAACGAAGAAGAGAGCGAAATGGGAGAGAGCCAGGCAGAGGAAAGCGAGGAGCCGAGTGCAGAGAGCGAGCAAGAGAGCGAACAAGAATTTGCCGATAATGAAACCGGGGGTGAAACGGGAGCCGAAGTTTCTGAGAGTTCTAGCAAGCCAGAGATGCACCAACCTGTGGAGTTTCAGGAAATCGACCAGATCATGTCTGAAGCAGATAGCATATTGAACCAGCCGGTTGCGAACGAATCACTTTATTATTCCTACCGTGAAGATGAGCAGCAGGGCGAGGTTCCCGACTGGACCCAGATCGCGCTTCTTGCTCAGCAGGAGACAAGCGTTTATGACGACGTCGTTGACGAGACCACCCGCATAGAGGTGAGGGCGGAGGAGACAGCAGAAACGGAGGAGAAAGAACAGCCTGAAGAGGAAGGACTCGCTGAGGCAGCTGAGGGAGCTGAAGAAGTCCAGGAAGCTGGAGTATCTGGCCAAGCTAGTGCCGAGGAATCGGAGATTATGCCGGAGGTGTTTGAAACCGCTATTATGGACACTACAGAGTCTGAGCCGTCTGTTCCAGCCAAGAAACACAAAACTCCTCCGCCCGTGGAGCTGCCAAAACGCGTGCCTAGTCCAAAGTCGCCGAAACTAAACCCTGGTCTGTTGGATCTTTTGTCGGGCGCATTCGAGGTGCACAACAAGGCCAGCGAGGAGAGCGAGCCGGTAGTCTCCGAGAACACCGAGAAGTCTGTGCATTTCGTGGAGCCAGGTCCGGACGTTAGCGAGGAGCCAGAGCCGGAGCCAGAGTCCAATGCGATAAACGCAGAGAGCACGAACATCGAGCATGAGGAGACAGCCGTGGAGGACGAGACCACGGTGCTTGTGACTGCGCCCGAGCCTGAGGCGGAGACGTCGCAGAAATACGACGCCGAGTCGACCTTTCTGGACACGGCGTACGAGACGGCGATGGACTCTGCGACCGAAGACCTTGAAGGCAGCGACGATCCTGCAATCGAGGTGGTGGCCGAGTCGTCTGTGATTGAAAACGACGCCGGCGACGCGTCGATCGACAGTATGGTCGACCAGGAGGCGTACGCGACGGCTTTGCTGAACACGACGCAGGCAGATGATGACACCGAGTCGTTGCTTGCGAATCAGACGGTGTACTACGACGACGAGAACGCGGACTCCGAGGAAGTGATGGAGACAGAGTCTGCGGAGTCGCTCGCCTCGGACGAGGTCGAGCAGGCGATTACGGAGGAGTACGGCGAGGAGATAGCAGGCAAACGGAAGCAGGAGGAGGCGGAATCAGAGCAGGAGCCAAAACGTGCCAAAGTGCAGACGGGATTGCTTGACACGCTGGAGCAGTTTGCGTCGGAGGCCATGATGGATATCTCGACTCCTGAAGTTGATGTCAGGGAGACAGAGGAGACGAAAGAGGATGGAGTGCCAGAGGAGAAAGAAGAGAATGAAGTACCAGAGGAGACCGAGGAGACGACTGTTATTTGTGTTTGTCCAGAGAGCGAGGAGCAGGAGGAGAGGGAAGAGGAGAAAGAGGAGGAGATGAAGGAGTTGAAGCAAGAGCAAGAGGAGAAGCAGTTGGAGGAAGAGACGGAGAACGGACAGACATACGAGGAAGCGCAACAGCAGTCTGCAAATGAAGAGCCTCAGACTGACAGTTCAGGTTCTGGACCTCAATCAGACGCAGGCTCTGCTGAGCCGACAGGGTTTTTCAGCTCCTTGAGAGAATTTGTCTCTGGAACGATGATGGAGATGGAAAGCGACGGCGACCGGAGGGATGTTTCTGAGGTGAGCGAAAAAGGGCAGGTCGAGGACAGGGAGGCTGTGGAACAATCTGAAGGGCATGAACAGGATGAAGATCACTATGACCCAGAGAATGTTTCAGACAAGGACCTCCGTGAAGAAGTGGGGAGCGAAGAGGTGCCGGAAGAGGATTTGAAAGCACAAGAGCAGGAAAATGAGGCTCATCAGCAAGAGAAAACGCAGGAATTGGATCTGCCAGCAGAAATGCAAGCAGAGGACGCTGGCGAGGTTGCAGAGCATGAAGAGGAGGAAGCGCGCGATGAAGAGCCCGCAGAGCCCGAGGAACACACGGAAGTCATTCACGTTCCTGCAGAGGACTCCCATGAGGAGCAAAGCGAAGAATTGGCGGCCGAGACTGCCGAAGAAAGCTCGGCGCAAACGGAGGCGGAATCAGAGGGCACAGAGGAGGCTTTTGCGGAAACTCCGGAGGAAGGCCCCACACAAGTCCCTGGAACGCCTGAAGAAGCCCTGGAACAGTCAAATGAACAGCCAGCACGGGAACAAGAAAAAGCAGCGCCCATTTTCTCTAGCTCGTCATCTCCAACGCCCGCAGACGACGACACCAACTGCCCCGAGTCGCGAGTTCCAGAACCGCGCCCTGAATCTCGTGGCTTCCTTGGGCTGCTCTCGGACTTCGCTTCCGGGACGCTGGCAGACATTTCTCCGAACGTGTCCCAAAATGAGCTATCTGAGCCTGATGCAGAGCCGGAGGAGGCAGAGGAGACAGCAGAGGCGGCAGAACAGACTTTTGCAGATGATCGGGTGGAAGTGAAGCAGGAGCAAGAGCAGGACGAGAAAACGGCAATTGCGGATCAGCCAGTGCTGAAAGACGAACTTGAAGAACCGGTGCAAACAATCACAGTCAAGCCGGACCCTGCTTCTCTGGAATCTTCTCCAAGGTCGTCGCCGGAGGTCTCTCCTACGGCCTCTCCAAAGCTTTCTGAGACGGAGGCTCCACAAAGGGCCGACACCGCTGAGCCCGAAGACATTCCTGTAATCCATGTTCCTGCAACAGAATCTCCTGCGGAGCCCCAAATCACCGTCAAGCCCGAATCAGTAGGCTTGTCCCTGGGCGACGTGCCTCCTTTGACCGCAGAGACGCACTCTGCGTCTGAGCGGAGCAGGGACTCGTCGCCTGCAAGACGAACGAGAGGCCGTTCTCAAAAGCGCCACAGCTCAGAACCACGCGACAGCGAGAGCGCAAAGAAACAGCGGCGCGTGGTTTCCGACTCTGAAACCTCGCGCAGACCAAAGTCGCGGCCGTCGTCCAACGGCGACAGGCTGTACCGTGCCAAGTCGCCTATCAAGATCGTCAGCAGCGGAATGTCCACACGCAGCGGCCGCGTGCTCTCGTACGAGCTGGAACAGAAGCGCCGCGAGCTGAGCACTCCGCCCCCTGCCACTCTGCCCAAGGCGGTGAAGGACCTGGTGGAGGAAGCCGAGTTTTTCATCGAGGAGGAGAAAGCGAAGGAGCTGAAGGAGCTCGTTGACGAGGCGCAGCGGTTTGTCGAGGAGCCTGTCCGAGAAATCAAGGTGGAAAAAACTCGCAAGCCGAAGAGCACTCCGGAGCCTGAGCCTGAGCCTGAGCATTTACCAAGGCGTACGTCGCGGCAGGCGGGCCGCGTAGCTGCGCAGGCAGAGCCTCCTGCGCGAATCCCGCCTCCGCGCCGAACTCGCAGAGCACCGAAGGACAAGAAGCCCAAACCCAAATCGAAGAAATAGATAACTTAATATTTGTACATTAGATATTGTTACTCGTATTCATCCTCCTGCTTTTGATCGCCCGCTTCCTGCTCGGCAACCGCCTCACAGGCATCCACCCAGTCCGAGTAGATGTCGATCGGCTGCGAGAGCGAGTTTATCGGCGTCTGGAATGACTGGCCACAGACTTTACACGATAACGAGCCAATGTTGATTTTCTTATCCATCGTGCAATTCACCGACTTCTCGTGGTTGCAAAACAGACACGAGAACTGTGTATCGAGTTTCTGTTTGACCTTTTTGACTGGTGCCGCCTTGGTCTTGCGTTTTCCCTAACTGTTAGCGTGCTTCGCGGAAGGCATACTTACCATGAGTAAAAAGAATAGGTGAAATAATATTATCGACGGGACGATTTATGCGTGAAATATTTTCTGATTTTTTTTAAATTTTTTAGATCTAGAGGCATGCCACCGAAGAAGACCAAGAAGGCCGCTGGCGCCGTCAAGAGGGGCAAGAGAGTTACTGGAACAGTGGTGAATACCGAGCCAAAGGCTCAGGAGGGCGTTTTCGTGAAAGATACCGCTGTGAAAAAGGCAGTTTCCGAGCTGATCAAGTGGAAGGACTCACACAAGTCTGAGAAGCCACAGCTCTTTGACGACGACGATGCCAGTCTGTACATGCAGCTGACGAGTGTCAAGTTCTTTAGCAAAAAGCAGGTGCTCAAGCCTACAACTGTGCCGGTTCCACACCCTGTGCACGATCTGGAGAACGAGTTCAAGGTGTGTGTTTTCGTCAAGGACGGCCAGATCGACGCTGAAACGCTGGAGAAAATTGAGCACGAGAACATCCCGCATCTCGCCAAAATCATCTCTGCTGCTGAGCTCAAGGGAGCCTACAAGAGCTACGAGGCCAGAAGAAAATTGCAGAAAGAGTACGACCTGTTTTTGAGCGACGAGAGCCTGATCACTGCTCTGCCGAAGCTGCTTGGCAAGATTTTCTACTCCACCTCGAAACTCCCGCTACCAATTAGACTCAAGACCAAGGAAAACGTGTTTTCGGTGACCACGTTGGCCAACCAGGTGTCGAAAATGATCCGTTCTGTCCATTACGTCACTCCGATGGGGGTGAATCTCACCCTCAATTTGGGTAGCGTCCGCCAGCCGCTTGACAACATCGTGGACAACGTCCAGGCTCTCACACAGCATTTCGAGAAACAACCGTTGAAGACCATACAATTGAAGCTACTGGAGTCGCCTGGGCTGCCGATTTATATCGCCGAGAGGATATTCAGCGAGCAGGACGTTGGCGAGGGTGAGAAGCCTGCCAAGGACGAGACTCCGGAGGTGAGGCTGACGAAGTTCGAGAAGGGGCTGGTGGAGTTGGCTCTGGACGAGGACCAGGCGCGCTCGATTGTGGAGCGTAAGGAGAAGAAGGTGAACAAGCTGAAGCGGGGCAAGGAGAACCAGAACGGGGGTGTTTCCAAGAGAAGAAAATAGCGTGCTACTAATATTAATGTGCTATTTTTCATTTTTTTAAAGTTTTTCTAAAGTTTTTTTTTTGTGGCTGTGCATATAATTCATGGTGACGAACACGCTCGTGGTGACCGACCAGTACCTGCTGGACGAGGCGAACCGCGACGTTCTAGATGAATTCCTCGCGAGTGTGCAGAAGTGGGGCGCCGACGGCGAATCCGTGGCCGTTTCTGTGCTCCGTTCGCTGCGTCGCATAGTCGTGATCTTTGACACCCCCGAGACTGCTCAGAAGGTGTACCAGTTGCTACAGAGCCAGGGAATTCGGGTCACGTACTCGCGCAGGAACTCGGCGCGCTCAGAGTCGACGCTGGACGTGCCTGCCCGGCTGGAACCCCCAGAACGCCGCGTGGAACTGCAGTCCCCGCCGCCGTCGCCGTATCTGGGGTATGTGCAGGAGCCCGAAGAGCCGCCGGAGCCGATCACCATGACGGAGCCGGAGTCGTTTTCACATTTGCTGTACCAGCCGACGCGCGACGAGGCGGCCAGAGAGCGCGTGTTTGAGGGCCGGGCAGAGGAGCCGCGTGTGCCGCTGCTGATAGTGGATCGCGAGGAGGGCGAGGCGCTACGGAAACGGCAGCAGGAGATCGAGCGAGAGAAATTAGAGGAGTATAAATTATCTGAGAGATAGCACCAACGCGAAAGACGCCAGCATCAGGGCTTCGGTGATGTATAGAGCGACTTTTGGGTCGCTTTTCAGCGTCAGAGTGTACACCGAGAGGAAAATGGTCGGGGCGACGACGCTTAGCGTGCTGCGGATGAGCGCGAAGCAGCCGAGCAGCTCGCCGTTGCGGTCGGGCGCCTGGTTGTACTTGAGCACGGTCGAGTGCAGCACAGGGTCGAGAATGGAGCCGAAGCCGTCGAACAGGAAGCTGGCGAGGAACAGCGCCGGCGACGCGGCGCAGATCATCAGAAGTCGGCCGACAATGTTCATGAAGACGGCGAGCAGCAAGGCAAGCCTGTCAGTCGCGTCGATCACGGCGGACTCCTTGCGGAAGTGGTAGGCGAGCTTCCTGGAGAACATCGGGTTGAACACGAGCAGGACGGTCGCCCGGCACAGCATCGCGAGCCCGAGACAGAAACTGAGGTCTCTGGACGACCACTGGAACTTAAACTTGCCGTAGATCGTCCAGACGACGCCTGCCCCCATGGTGGACGAAAACATGAGGACTTCGACGACGACGAGTTTCACGACCGTCCAGCGCGCGGTCCAGTCGACGTTGCCGCTCGCGTCGCGCCTGGTGATCCACAGCAGCTGCAGCGACGAGCCAATTCCAAGAGCCGACTTGGAAGCACTGATGGACGACATTCTTCTGCTCGACCGGCGCCGCAGTTTCCGCGAGCGCGATTCCGGCAGAAACAGAACCACCAGCACGAGAGCGGCCGCATGCACCAGCACGGACAGCACGTAGAGCTGGAACGCCGGCAGCGGCACAAACGCCCCCGTCATCGGGCCCAGAGTGAGCCCGATGTAGAAAAAGGCCACGAGCACCGCCATGTACGTCGCGCGCTGCGCTTCCTCCACAACGTCGATCAGATAGCTGTTGGCGAGCCCCATGGTAACGGCCATCGAGCCGGCCAGCGTGCTCAGGAAATGCACCGCCAGATACCGCGCCGGCGTGAACCTTGCCTGGTCTGCCCCGAAAATCAGAGCTTTCAGACACCCGGACACCACGTAGATGAGGATGTTGTACACGAGCAGCGGCTTGCGCCCGTACACGTCGCTGAGGTGGCCCATCTTGACGCTCACGAGCACCGTGCTCACGCCGCCAATCAGGTTCTGCCACCACTGGATGCGCGTGCCGAGCTGCTGGCTTGCGGCCGAGCCGCAGCTGATCATCCCGTCCGGATGCTTGCGGTTGTAGTGGCGGCACACGCCGTCGAACGTGAGCGCGAGCTCCTCGCCCTGCTGGAGGCCCAGCACGAACGCCGTGATGAATACCACCACGCAGATCATGGACACCGACGGCCTTTTGTGCCACACCAGCCGGCGGTGGTCGCGCAGGTTCTCCAGCACGAGGTCCATGTCGGACTGTTCGAAGTCGTCGTCGCTGTCGCCGGCTGCACACGTGCCCCACGCGGCCGTGCTGTGCTCAGCCTCGTGAGCCGCAATCGCCTCCTCCAGCACGTCGTCCTTGAGATAGGCATCGAGCAGCGGGTCGTCGAGCGGCATCCGGGGGCTGAGCGGGCTGTGCGTGTGGGGGCGGCCGTCTCCCGCCACGTACTGCCGTTTTGGCGAGCTGAGCAATCCGTCTGTCTCCTGGTCCATAGCAATTCAGGCTTAGAAATGCGATAAATAGCACGGCCGATTTTCTCTTGACAGTAAATTTTTCCTCTACTTATCACAGCACACCCAATGGGGGACGACACGCCCGCACACAAGCCCGGCCGCACCGCCGTGACGCCCGTGTGCGTCGCCATGGCGACGCGGTACTTCGACGGCCAGAACGACCCGGCCCTGCTCAGCCTCGTGGTCGACGACATCGTGTACGTGCTCAACGCCCCAAACTCCCGGTGGTGGGACGGCATCCTCGTCGACCCGATCGGCAACGTCACGCGCGGGTGGTTCCCGCCCTCGCACACGCGCATCATCCAGCAGGGCACGCCGCTGCAGCCGTCGGTGTCCACTGTGCGCGACGAGCGCAGGACGCTCGAGTCGCTCAACGTCCCGAAAAACGTCTCCTTCTCGTCGACGGCCTCGGCCCAGACGCCGCACAGAGAGAGCTTCCAGAGCACGCGGTCCGGCGACCGCACGCAGGTCGCGGTGGCGTCTGCCGAGGAGATCAACTCGTACTTCTCGCAGTCGACGTCGCAGCCGAGCTTCAACTTCCTGCCGGTCTGGGTGCCCGAGATCACCCAGGACGGCGAGTTCGTGTACCACAACAGCGCGCTGAACGTGTACTCCAAGGACCTGCCGCTGATCAGCGCCGACTACGTCGACCACGACTCGGCGCTCGAGAAGACAGACGTGTCCAGGTTCAACGGCCTGGACGTGGTGCCGATCGACGCAAAGGACGCCGCGGCAGAGGCCGAGTCGCAGGCAGAGCGCACGTACGACCAGGCGCAGAGCAGAGACACCATCGCCGACTGTCTCGCCGACACAAACGGCCGCCTGTGGCACAGCCCTGACATGTTCTACTTCTCGCCCACGGACGTCACGAGCTGGACCGAGCTGTACAAGAAGTTCCGGTACCTGGTCAACATGTGTCTGGACACGATCAGCAAGAACTCGCGCGAGCTGTTCCTCGTGTGTCTCAACAACCTCGCCGAGACCGTCACGCTGTTCCATGTGGCCAGCAACATGGCGACCAAGGACCTTGAGCGCAACGGCGTCGCCGACAGCGTGCGCGAGAACCTGCACAAGATAACCAGCTCGCTGTCGCAGCTGGCCATCAACGGGAACCTGCACTTTGTCGGGTCGAAACACTTGCTGCGCTCTGTGGGCGGCGACGACACCGCCGACGACGAGCTCAGCAGCGCAGACGAGCTGGACCACGGCAGCGACGCGTCGCACGTGTCCGAGACGTTCTATCGGCGCGCTGAGCGCGACGCCGTCAAGCTGCTCAGGCGCGCGGGCTCGCTCAAGGAGACGTTTTTGCAGCTGCGCTATTCGAACCACGCGGAGCCGGACACCCTGCCGCTGGTGTACCCGCGCTTCTTCAAGGGCCGTTTCCACGCGGGCAATTTCTCGAACCCGTTCGATGACCTCGGCGGCCCTCTGCACAGCTCCGAGAGCCTGTTTATCGACCCGCACTCGCACAAGAACAACGTTCTTCTCGACGACGAGGCCGTCGAGCGCCTGAGCGACTATAAAGCCAAGGCGTGCGAGATCCTCAACAACGTGGTCCAGGTGCTCAGCATGCTGATCCCGCGCGACGTCAAGTACAAGAAGTTCATCGAAGACCGCAACCTCAACATCGTCACGCTCATCTACCACAGCGTGCCGTCGCTGAACCGCTTCCTCAACCTCCTCGAGTCGATCGACTTCACGATCTTCATCATGGTCAACCGGCTCGCGCGCAAGGAACGGCTGCGCAACGAGCGCGTCGCCGAGGACGACGACCCGGAAAGCGCGAACCGGCTTTTCTACGAAACCACCTCCAAGCAGCTCGAGCCGGTGCTCACAGAGTTCGTCGAGCTCAAACAGTCGCTCCACGACACGCTCAGCGACCTCATCATGGACGCCCAGAACATCACCGTCGACGACCCAGAGGTGTTCGAGGGCCTGAAGGAGGAAGAGACGTTCTACGACCAGTCTGTGCTGGGGCTCAAGACCGAGCAGTTTGCGCGCGCGCTCGTGGCCAACCTCAACGAGAAGGACTTCAGAGACCTCAACGACGGCGAGTACCTGTACGACTCGAACCTGAAACTGCGCGCGACGATCTCCAAGGCATTGCAGCAGTTTGACCTCGTCATCATGTCGACGACCCAGCTGAAGGAAGAACGCCAGTCGATCCTCAACTACTGCACGAGGCTCATGAACACAGACTTCAGCGTCGCGTCGCTCTTTGTCGCCGAACGGCACAACACCATGGTCTCCTCCGTGAGCCAGTCGGAGTACAGCTACGGGCGGCGCAAGTCACGTGACACGGAGACGGAGCTGCCGTGGTTCTTGGACGCCGACGACGAGGAGCAGTCGGTGATTTTCGACATGAACGGCATCAAGGGCGGGCCTGCGGGGGGTCTGGTGTCGCGGCTGGTGAACCCGACCCACGACAACGACGACGAGTTCAAGGAGACCATGCTGGCCATGTTTGTGACGTTCATGACGCCGGTGGCCTTTTTCAGCGCGCTCATGGACAGGTACAACATCCAGATGCCCGAGGGGCTGAGTTACGAGGAGTACAGCATTTGGGTGGAGAGAAAGCTCAAGCGGCAGCGCGAAGAGGTTCTGCGCACGTTCGCCAAGCTGTTCAGCACCGCGTGGCTCGTGCAGTACAGTTCTCCGGAGCTGAAAACAAAGTGGGAGCTTTTTATCGAGAGCAACAACGTGGACGCGAAGCTCGCGCAGCTGGGGCGGCTGGTGATGGCGATGAAGACGCAGGACGAGTGGTTTGCTGAGTTTGGCCACGGCAATCCGGAGCCGAAGCCGTTTGAAGGCCGGCCGCCGGTGCCGCTGATGCTTGGCAAGAATCTGCGCAACACGAACAAGCTGCGGCTGCGGGACATAGACTCGATGGAGTTTGCGCGCCAGATCACGCTGATCCAGTGCGAGCTGTTCCGCAAGATCGACAAGTTCGACCTGCTTGCGCGGTCGTACCGCTTCAACCGCATTTTCAAGCACTCTGAACCGGTTGGGTCCAAAAACATCGCCAATTTTGTGCGCAACTGCAACCTTATTACACATTTTGTCATCTACATGATCCTGCGTCAGCGCGATATCCAGTCCAGAGCAGAGAACATCAAATATTTCATCATTGTTGCCGACAAACTGCTCAAGCTCCGGAACTACTCGACCATGACGGCGATTATCTCCGGGCTCAGCTCGACATCAATCAGCAGACTCAAGAAAACGTGGGTTCTTGTACCGAAACACCTGATGGCCAACTTCGAGAAGATGGACCAGCTGATGTCGATCGGCAAGAACTACAGCGAGTACCGCAGCATCCTCAAGTTCGTCAACGAGGACTCAGAGCCATGTCTGCCGTTTTTGGGCATGTACCTGTCGGACCTGCGGTTCCTCACCGACGGAAACCCAGACTACCTGCACAACAACCGCAACCTCGTGAATTTCGGCAAACGGCTGAGCATTTACCGCACCATCCAGGAGGTGATCAAGTTCAACGCCAAAGCCTACCATTTCGAAAAAATCGACGAGTTATGGTCTTATTTCCATGACATGTGGGAGCAGCTCCCGGACGACGACAAGCTATACAACATTTCGCTGAAGCTGGAGCCGATGGTCAGTTTGGTGACCCAGCAGGATACCGAGAAACGCGTGCGAGGAGTGGAAGCGCGCGTGTTCAAGAGAAACGTTCCCGCCCGCTTATGATCTGAATTAATATACGAATGTCTACTGTTTGGCTGTAGCTTTCTGTAGCAGGTAGCCATTGATTTCTTTTCGCAGCTGGAGCGAATCTTTTTCGCAAGTGTCGATGGCCGAGTCGAACGACTCGTCGAAAGCCGCAAAGTCGCTCCAGATGCCCAGGATCTCGTCCTCGCCACTGAAGTTGACCGCCATTTCGTGGTCCGCCCCGCCTGAGTACCCACACGAGGCCACGGACCGTATATTAAGACCAGAGTCTACCAGAGCAACACTCACGCCGTTTACGATGTTCTTGAGTGTGTAGACCAGCGAATGGGCAGGGTTCAGCGCCACAACCTGCACAAATATCTCGATCGAGGATTTGGGGTAATTTTGCAGAAGGATCAGACTCTGGAAGTTGGAGAGCATAAAAGACTCCAGCGACGCAACGAGCCTCTCCTTGTCTGGGGTTATATTCTTTCTGTTGTCTTTCAGGTTGTCCAGCGGCAAGAACTTTGAGAGCTCAACGCTCACCTTCAGGCTGGCCTGGTCGTTGAACGATCTCGCGAAGTTTGGACGAGGCCCATAGATAGACGTAACAATGATGGTCTTGTCGTTCTCCAAGTACGACGATCCGCTGCAATTTTGTATGAGTCCGGTCTCCAAGAAAATCTTCGGATCTATGTGCTGCGCGGGAGGCCTCGACTCGGCGAAAACCAGCGGCTTGACATTCGCAGGCCCCACATTTCTTCTTCTGTCAACGTTCATTAGCTAAAATATTTTTTGTTATTTTTTCCCATGAACCAGCTCCAGGATTTGATAAACAGCGTGAGCAAAAGTTCTACCGCACAAACACTTTTGCAGAACGAGCACGTGCGCACTGCGTGGCACGCTCTCCAGAAAAATGAGAGCTGGCTCCTTTACGGCAGCCTGTCGCTCGCTGTGGCTCTCCTAGTGAGCAGATCGCTCGCAGCCCAGCCGAAGCCTAAGAAGAGGAAGAGGTCGAAGAGATCCAAGTTGCAAAAGCCCGAGCCGCCCAACATGAGCCCAGAGCAGCAGGCGCAGCAGGACATCGACGCCATTTTGCGCGACTTTGAGACCAACTACGTTCCGGAGATGGACAAGTACATTGAGGCCGTGGAGCAGGAAATCGCCAAACCAGGCCCCTCCAAGCGGAAAGGCAAGAAATCGGCAAAGAAACCGGACGCCTCCTACAAACAGAAGTTTGAGTACCAGTACCTGTACTTCAACGAGAGCTTGTTGAAACTGTTGATGAAACTGGACTCTGTGGAGATTTACGGCAGCCAGGACCTCAGAACCAAGCGCAAGCAGTGCATCAAGATGATCCAGAACTATTTGAAGAAACTCGACTCCTACAAGCCCGAAATCGATAAGCTTACCGTAAAGGGCCTGTAATTTCTGTTTTGGCTGTGCTATTTTTTTTTCAATTTTTCTCTAGACGGCATGAAGGAGAACCTAATTGGAAAACTGGATTTGCTGCAGTTCCGGTACGAAAACTTGGATCCCCCGCGGTTTCCGCTTTCTCGCAAGCTGGCAAAGTCCAAGAACGCGCACCATGTGAAGCTTCTGATGCTATCTGAGGACGAAGCTTTCAAGATGATCAGACAATTGAAAAGACAACTATTCGAGCGCAAATACCATTCGGCATATCTCAAGTTAGAGCGCCTGCTGGGCGGACAAATCAAGCAAGTGCTTAAAAACAAGACTACAAAACCCGAAGACCGCATATTGTACGAGAAGCTGGAGAGCGAGCTGGATACCGTGATAAAGCAGAAACTGACCAAGCTGGGGTCCAAGATATTTCACCGCGAAGAGGTGCGCGAAGTCCCGCCAACATCGTTTTGGGAGGACCGTGAGAAACTGAAAGGGCACACATACGAGACGGAACTAAATAATCTCGTGTCCAAGCTGTTCAACAAAAACACAGTCAAGGAGGTGGTGCAGCAGACAGAACACAATTTCAAGCTGGTTCTTGGCGTTGACAAGAGAGAAAAGAAGCCCGAGACTGCTAAGCGGAGCGAAAGTGAGGAAAAAACGCCGAAGGACGAGTCTGATAGCTCTGCTGACGAGTCTGACGAAGTGAGCGTTTCTGAGGACACCGAGAGCTCTGACGATGAGAAACTAGATACAATCTATTCGAACTACAAATCCATGGTGGCGGGGTCGTCGGACGAGGACGAGGACGAGCCTGAAGAGGGCGTGGATTACAACGAGGTCACAGACGAGGAGCCGAGCGAACAGTCAAGCGAGTTTGACGGCGAGCAGCCGGACTACGAGACGGCAAAGGCCGAGCGCAAAAAGCTGAGCAACGACGACTTCTTCAGCGAGCTCCAGCTGCCTGCTTTGGCCGGCGGGTACTACTCTGGCGGCGAGGACGAGGAGGAGCTGGAGCAGGCCGAAAAAGACATGAAAAAGCTGGCCAAGGAGCGCAAGAACAGACGGGGACAACGGGCTCGTCAGAAAATCTGGGAGAAGAAGTACGGCAAGAACGCGAACCACATCAAGAAGGAGCGCGAGCGAGTGCAATCTGAGAGAGAAAAGCAGCGTCTGGCGTACGAGGAACGGGTCAGGAAGCGAGCCGAGAAAAAGAAGCAGGAGGAGGAGAAGAAAAAGCAGGATCGGGAGAAGCTGAACAAGCCGGCCGCGGCCGACAAAATGCATCCGTCGTGGGAGGCCAAGCGGAAGGCCGAGGAGGCGCTGAAAAACGCCAAGTTCCAGGGAAAGAAGGTGAAGTTTGAGTAGTGACGAGGTGTAGATATAGAACGGAAAAGAAAATCCACAGCCTGAAAAATATTTTTATGTTCAGAGCACTGCGACTGTTGCGTCAAATGAGCTCTTCCGTTCCGCAGATCCGGCTCAACAAAGCTGAGACGCAGATCGTCAATCTTCTGAACGAATACACGCGGTACTTCAACGAGCACAAGACGTCTGCGACGCAGCAGCCTCTGGAGCTGCGAATCACCGGGGGGTGGGTCAGAGACAAGCTTCTGGGCCGCGAGTCGCACGATATCGACATTGGCATCGACCACCTGTCGGGCGTCGAGTTTGTGACCCAATTACACGAGTATATCAAGGCGCAGAACGGCGGGAAGTCGGTAGAGAGCGGCGTCTACAAGATCGAGAAGAATCCAGAGAAGTCCAAGCATCTGGAGACGTGCACGACAAAACTGTTTGGGCTGTCGATCGATTTCGTCAATCTGCGGTCGGAGAAGTACGCCGAAGACTCGAGGATCCCGCAAATTGAGGTCGGAACGGCCGAGGAGGACGCTTTCCGGCGAGACGCGACGCTGAACTCGCTGTTCTACAACCTGACCACGGGCCAGGTGGAGGACTTCACGGGCCGCGGGCTGCAAGACCTGCGCGACGGGGTTCTGCGCACGCCGCTGGACCCGCGCAGGACGTTTTTGGACGACCCGCTCAGGTGTCTGAGACTAATCAGGTTTGCGTCGACGTACAACTTCCGCATCGACGAGCTGGCGCTGGCTGCCATGCGCGAGGACGACATCAAGCAGAAACTGAGGGAGAAAATCAGCAGAGAGCGCATCAACGTGGAGTTCAAGAAGATCGTCATGGGCAGGAACCCGGTTTATGGCCTGCGGCTGATCGAGGACGTAGGCTTCTACCAGCTGTTTGAGTGCGAACAGCCGGGCTACGAGTCCGGGAACGAGGCAGTGAAGACGGCCTTGAAGGAACTGGTGCAAAAATACGACTCTGTCGAGCAGGAGCTGAAGAACAACGAGACTCTGAACAGCCTACTGGAAGCCGTCTACGCGTCAGATATCAGCAAGCAGTCCTTATTTTTGAACCTGATCCTTTATCCGTGGGGGGACGAAAAAATAGCTTTGGGCAAGCACACCATTCCAGTGCCGAGCCAGGTGGTCCAGGACGCCCTGAAGATGCAGCTCAAGATTAGAGACCTGGTGGGGCTGTGCTGCTCGACGCTCGAGAAATATAACTCAGCATATCGCCAATGGAGCAACATCGCGCGGTCCGAGATTGCAACGACGCTGCTGATTCCGTACAAAGAGGAATGGAGGCTCATGCTGCTCACCAACATAATTGTCTCAATTTTCAGGAGTCCTCAGAATACACACGAACTCGTCGAGAACGGCGCCAGGTTCGCCCGCTACGTCCAGTCGCAGAACCTCGAGGATGTGCACAACACCAAACTCCTGTTAAATGGCAAGGAGGTGGCAGCTGCTCTGAACAGAAAACCCGGCCCGTGGCTGTCGGAGACGAACGCCAAGCTGCTGACCTGGCAACTGGACAACCCGTCCTGCTCGAAACAGGACATGGAAGCCTACCTACTCAGCATTTCGGGATGATGATACTTTATTAGCAAATTACTTAGATCTTCTCCTCCTTGACACCGTGCTTCCAGATAGCAACAAATGGAGTGACACCGTCCTCTCTGTAGTTGAGCAGGACAATCATTCCGTCTGGGTCCATGGACTCACCGGTGAAAAACTCCCAGTCCTTGAAAGAACCAACGACCTTCTTGACGTAGGAAGTGGCACCCTTCTCGAAAGCCTCCACCTGGTCTGGAGCGGTCTCAGCCAGGTGAGCCTTGACCTTCTTCATGTAGCCCTTGATGTAGGTCAGGAACGACTTCTTGTCGAACTGGGTCTGCTGCAGTCTGAAGGAGTAGACGACGTTGTTGACGGTCTCAACACCATCGTCCAGGTCCTCAGCACCATCCTCAGCAGATGGGTTAGCACCGATATCGATGTCGGCACCAGCCTTGACCTGCACCATCTGGCAGTCGGCCTCGTAGATGGCTCCATCAACCTCCTTGATGTCGTAAGCGTCAGAGAGCAGTTCGTCGCCGGAAATCACGTCTTTGTAGATAATCATCTTAAGGAAGCAGGGATAATTAGAAACGTGAAAAAAAAAAAATTTTCACCGCATGGAGGAAGCTTCAGCTTACGTAAACCAGAAACTCAAATAAGCCTGCTACTCGACTGCCACGCACTCCCCTGTCAGCTCCGGATCAACAATCACGGAGAGCACCTTCTCGGCGACGTCGTCGCACGTGAGACGCGACGACTTGACTGCACCCTTGGTGACCTGCTTTCCGATGTCCGTCTCCGGCATGAGCCCCGGCATGATTGCGTTCACTCGTACTTTCTTGGACTTCATTTCAAAGGCCAGCGTCTGGGTCAGTTTGTTGAGACCGCTTTTCGAGACGCTGTATGCTACTGTTCCCCGCGCGCAGTCTCTTGCCAGAACTGAGGAAATGTTGACTATGTTTGGATTTTGCAGACGCATCATGCTTCGGGCAAAGAGTTTACTCAAGATCAGCGGAGACGTGAGGTTGACGTTGATGATGTCCTGGATTTCCTGGCTCGGCGTCGACATGAGCAGGCTGGACTGCGGGACGCCGGCACAATTGACCAGGATGTTGGCTGTTTTGAGGCCCTTGTGGCTTTTCACCATCGACTCGATGCCGCTCGGGTCCTTTAGATCGTATGCTACGCAATCGTGTTTTTGGGGATGCGGGCAGGTTTCGTTGAGCTCCTCCACTCTGCGCTGGAGTTTGTCGAGACTGCGCGACAGGAGCGTCACCCGGCACCCATTAGAGCCCAATTTCCGCGCAATAGCATAGCCAAGTCCCTGCGACCCGCCAGTGATCAACGCGTGTTGGCCAGAGAGCATGAAAAAAAAAAAGGTAGCAAATTGCAAATTAAAATTCAGTACTTACTCTTGTATATTTTTTATCAGCATGCAGCTATTTTCAATGCTGACGTCTGGACTCACGTAGTTGAACAATTTTGCCGAGAAGCCGTGCTGTTGCATAGCGTAGACGCGGCTTTCGTCGATCGCCCGTCTGGCCCTGAGCCCGATATCCGTCCTCTCTTTCAAATTGAGCCCCGTAAAATGGTCTGCTCCGTCGCTCTCGCTCATTCCCGGCCGGACGCCACTCGTCGCCCAGCAAGCCATCTTGGACAGATAGAGAAACTCCTGCTGTCCAATGCCAAATTTCTCCCTCAGGTAGGCGCGCGACTCCTCAAGCAGCCAGTTATATTTACAAGCGTGGCGACAACACATGGCCACCAAAAACCCAGAGAACTGGAACTTGGGATCTTTCCGTGCATTCAGCAGACACCGCAGCGTGAGGTCTGTCGCCGTTCCGCATAGATGCTTCGAAAAGCCCACAACCTTGCCCGGAAACGCCAGACTCCTGACTGCGGTCGCCAAGTCCAGGTCCTTGATGTCTGTCTTGAATCTGGTGACCGTAACTGCACCGCTGGTATGCTCCTCTCTCATTTTGGTGTCGAACTTCATCCGCGGCGACTGTCTGTCGACCAGCAGCACCTGTTTGTCCCTTGCTACCAGCGCCGGATCCGTATCCAGCGCTCGCAGAAGATACCTGGCAAACTCGCCGCGGCCGCAGCCAAACTCCACGTAGACAGTGCCGTCGCGAAGCAGGTTTTCGTGCGCCATGTGCCCGATCAGCGAGGCCTGCTGCGTCACGTGCTTGCGGTTACCGACCTCGCTCATCCGCTCTTCGAGCCCGTATTTGTAGTTGATCTGGCTCATTTCGAGGTCTGAGGAGTACAACTGTTTGTGGGCGTCGCGGAACCGGCGCACAAACGCTGCAAACTCGGCGTAGTCCGGCGAACTACTTTCCAGCGCAGGTTCTCCTCGGACGTTGAAGTCCACCACCAGCCACGGAAGTTGGCGCACGCTAGCCTCAAATTCCAGCTTCTTTTTCAAAGTGTTGCACGATTTGAGATGGCGGCGCAGCTTGTCCGACCACACAGTGTGCGACGGGTCCAGAGGACACGGGACCCTGGTGACGGTTTTCCCGTTTTTCGTTTTGGAAAACCGCTCGCCCTGCGGCAGATGGTTGTAGCAGTACTGCGTGTCGCTGCGAAGCTGCACACCGCACGGCCGGCCCTTGTTGGGCAGAAAATATGGACACCGCCGGATGGTCTCAGACATGGAAAAGTTTTAAGGCTGTGAAAAAGGTTTACGCAACGGAATGTTATTCAGTCAGTTCAGTGATCTCATATGTATACATAAGGAGAAGTAAGGAGAGCAAAGTGGGCGGGCTATTTCTTGGCCAGGTTATCCTCGAGCGTGCGCACATGGCTCTCGAGCTTTCTGATGCTTTTCTGGAGAAGTAGCACGTCGGAGACGACAGCATTGGACGAGGACTTGTACTCGTCTAGCAGATAGTAGTATGCGCCGAATCCGGTTATGGACACGCCGGCAAAGAAGCCCAGCAGCACGCCCCTGAGCGAGGTGCTGGACCTCTTGACGGGAGTCGCCACTGTGGACTGGAGTCTTCTCTGGACAATGGACAGCATGTTGGCGCAGACGATGGTGGAAGAGCAGATATGCTTGGCTTGAGGCGAAATGGTCTGAATCAAACAGGTGGCAGGGCTGGAATGCAAATTTCACGCAAAGCTAGCCGGCGTATCACGCTTGTTAATATGTATCTTCTCCACTCAAAATTATTGGCTGGGATAAATCCATTTCCGTTTCAGAGCCGGGTAAACAAAAACCATGAGGAAAAAATTTGGGGAACAGAGAGATGTATTATTACCTAACACTAACCTAACCGAACAAGTCGAATCCCATGTCGTCGTCAGACTCCTCCTCTTCCTCAGCAGCAGCGGCAGTGGCCTCCTCGGCTGGAGCAGAGGAAGCAGCAGCAACAGGAGCGGCAGCAGCATAAGCGTCTGGGTTGGCAATTCTGTCCTTGATAGCCTCAGATCCCTCGAAGGTGTAATCAGTAGCAACGGAAAGAGCAAGGATGTTCTTGTAGTTGTTGATGATCTGGTGGGACACAGCTGGGATGGTTGGGTAGCCAGCAGCCAGCGAGATCTGGGTGATGGTGGAGATGGCAGAGACGAAGTGGCCAACCAACTCCTCATCGGTGATGTCCAGAATGGACGATGGGAACACCTGGCCATTGTCGTAGACTTGCACAACGGTCAAACCATACGTGAAAGGCGAGATGTTCAGCATGTTTAAAAGAGTAGCCTCGGAAGGTCCAACCTTCTGGTCCTTGGTCAGGATCTTGACGTCAGTGGTAATCTCGATGGTACCTCTGGCAATCTTGGTTGGAACACCCAAAGCCTGGAAGAAGGAGGTCTTACCTGGCTCCATACCAGTGTTACCGGCTGGGACATACACATCGCCTGGAGCAATGGCACCGGCTCTGGCTGGAGCAGCAACCTTGTTCTCCAAGATGACGTTTCTGATGGTCTTCAGATCAGAGTTGGTGAAGACAAATCCGACGTTACCTCTGACGAAAGGCATCAGCTTTTCGTAGTCTGGGTTCTCGGCAATGAAGCCTCTCAGGGCCCTTCTCACCATGGTGTTCTTACCCATAAGAACGACGGCATCTTGTCTAAGAGCCTTTCTAATCTCGTGCATTTGCTGAGAAGAGACGTTGTCGACACCAACGATGAAGACAGACTTGTACTCCTCAAGCAGCTGCTTGAGCTTGGAGAAATATTCGACCTTCTTGTCCTTGTTAGCTCCCATTTCGTTTTTGTCACAACGTTAGGCTTTTTAAAGCTAGATGAAGTTATTTCCCGGCTGAATTTTCTGAAAAATTTTAGAAGGGCACCAGCCCAAAAGTATGTCACGTGACACTGTCTTGGCAGAGAACCGTTATCCCTGGGATCCTTTAATGGGCATACAAATAAGTGTCTCCCCAATTAGAACATAAATTTATTCCGCTATTTTATTGCTATACCATGAACCGTTGCCACTTGGACACGCTGCTCTTGGAGCTTCCCTATGACGATCTGGGACTTGCACTCCTGCAATTCAAGGAGCAGCTCAAGCTGAATGAGGACTCGCCGGCGTTTCTCCAGACAGTGTTTCCCCGTCTGGCGGAGGTACTTGATAAGCTGGTGATTCCTGGCCTGGAATGCTACGTGAAGGACAACAGGAAAGACATCCTCGAAAGCTCGTGCGACGTTATTTGCTGGTTCTACAACACATTCTACTCTCATAGCCGCAGCGGAGGCACAGAGCTGATCAGCCCTAATCTCACTCTTGCGCTGCTTTCCTCTTTCTGGACCAGAATCCCAGTTTTCCCGCAATCGCAGCCCGACGGATTGGTGCTAGTTACTTCTGCCTTCCAGATAGTCCTCGAAACAATCCCGCGCACTAGCTATGACGACATCTTTAACTGGCTCAAGGACGCCGAGCTACCAAAGCATTCGAATGCCGCTGTTGACGAGCTCTTTTTTACGTGCGTGCGATCTTTCACGGCAAGAGTAGTGCTCGATGAGCTAGAGACTTTAACACAACGCGGTGGACGTCTCTCAGGGACGCCAAAAGACCTCTTAAACTCCGTTCTCGAGATGTACGAGCGATGGAGACCAGCAGACAGCACAGAAAGAGGAGAGTACCTCCTGGACCGCGAGCTGAGCATTCTCAAGAAATCAGCCAGCTCAGAGCCAGCAACCGTGATCCACGATTCGGCATGCTCCCCTGTCACAGATCCAAATTGCTACAAGTACTTTCTCCAACAGGAGAGAGCCAAATACGAACAGCAAAAAGATCCGGACTGGGTGCAGATCTTTGAGAGTTGCAGAGAAGTGCACTCTCCCAAATCCAGTGCCAGCTCCAGCTCTTTAAGTACAGTCGTGTTCGACACGTCCGACTTCCAAAGCCTCAGGGAACCTAAATCGAGATGCAACGTTTTCCGCAAATTGTTCAGAGCCACAAAACCACTATTCGTCTCCCGGAAAATTGACCCGAACCCTCCAACCTCAGGTCAGCTGTCTACATTCTCTACTATGAGATACAGGCTTCTAGACTGGTTTTGGAGCTTTTGGTATCCAGTTGACGAGCACGATGAGAAGAGGTTCCTGTTCTCGCATTCTTTCTCCAATTAAGTCGCATTCATTATTTCGCTAAAATATTAGGCGAGAAATTCTCCAACGATATCGCACAGGGAGTCGACTCCCCAATGAACTCTTGACCGCTGCTTTTTTCCTTTAATGAAGCTGCTATCTCTAACTTTATGTTGTAAAAAGTACTGCAACCCTTTGAGTAACGTAGGTTGTTCCTTGCATTTATTGATCCGTTCCACCATTGTTTTGTCGTTGTATCTCATGTCCTCTGTCTTGTGCTTTTTGTCTCCGGCACCAAACATTTTCTGCTCGGACAACTTGCCAACGCTGTCAAAGAAACTAATCATAAATATCTCCACAAATAATTTCGTATCTTCACTAGCCGTGAGGAAGTTGACAGTTCGCAAGACATTCAGCGGCAAAGACCCTTCGCCAACAAGAGTGCCGAACAGTCTTCCAAGGTTCAATGTTTTCTTCAGTTTTTCATCTTCATCTTCAGTGTCTTCGAATCCTTCGTGCTCTTCTCCTTCCAGCTCTTTGAGCAAGTCCCATAAGTTGAACTGGAACGTCTTTCTCATGGCGTGGTCTTCGCAAAGCTTTCTGGCGAGAAAAGCGTAGTATGGATTGAAAATGGTCTCAATCGAGGCACAATGCATCAAAATTTTAGGAATTTCACGTTGTTGTGTCTTTTTCAGCCGTAACTTCTCTAGCTTGACGTACGCATCCATGTAATCACTAGCAGACATAATGGAAATGAAAATGGCACGCCTGATGTCCGTGTTCATTCTCTGCTGTTTAGCCAGCTCCAGCCAGTTTGGTTCAGACTTATCCAGCGCATCGGTCACAGACTTCGTAGACTCTTCGACCTTTTTCTCTTCTCCTTTCCAAGCAGACCCAACAAGCCACCATTTACCCTTTTCGTTGATGTTTTCTATATCGCTCAGAGTCACTTTGATGTTGATGGGATCGGCACTCCTGATTCTTCCGAGCTGTTTTTTCAGTCTAGTTACTAGGCCAGTAGTTGCTTCGTTCTCAAGATGCTTGAGCTTGTTGTTCTTTAAGTTGGAAACAGTTTCGACCAGAAACTTGGACCTGGTGCTCATATCCGAGCCAACGTTCTTGTTTAGAGTAAGAACGATTTCCTTCAGCGAGCTAGGGTCATCTGAGCGGAGCTTTGCACCGCAGCACCTGATCACCTTTAGCAAGAGCTCGGTCTTGAATTCCGTAGGACTGTCCAACAACTTCTGTCCAATCACGTCATATATCAATCGGGAAGAAAGCAGATTCAACTCGTAGCAAAACGCAATCAGCGCGATCAAGTTCGATGCCTCCTTATTGGAGCTTTCTGTTTTGATATACTCGCAAAGCTTTTCCACCAAAGTCTGGATGGCATACGCACCGAATTCCACTCCTTGCAAGCGGTAAAGCGCAACGATGACTGTGGCATAGAGAACAAGAAAGCTATCGAGCATCGGCGTCGATACCAGCACAGATTGGAAAACCACTTTGAGTATAGCTTCGTTGACGACTTGGCGCGCGTTTTCCATGTACAGTGCGTTCAGGTCGTTCACGACTGTCAGAAGATTCGGCTCAGACAGTTTGTTGAGCGGACCTTTGACAGAACGAATGATTGTTCGCATCTCTTCATTGTCGTCATTTTCAAGCATCTTGCGACGCAGGGCTGGAGGAATATACTTTCCCGCAGGGACTGGAGCAACATACGGATTTTCGCGCACAGAGGGTCCAGCATCTGTGTCAGACTCGCTTTCGGATGTTTCCAATTCGCCCATCTCCTTCAACAGCTCTCTGTCCTCTTCGTCCAGAGATTCTGTGGTAGAGTCCTCCTCCTCAGACCCTGAACCATCAAAGTCCAGGCCGTCTAGAAGTCCACCGATGATGTCGTGCTCGTCAGTCTTTTTAAGTTTACTCGTTTTCTTGATACCGAGTTTCTTTGCGTAGTATTCAAGATCGTCGTCAGCTTGATCAAAAGCTTTGGGGAACGTCAGTTCATCGGAAGATACCTCTGCATTTGTGTGCATCTCATTATCTGACTCGTCAAATTCCTCGTCGTTGGAAGTTTCTCCCTCCAGTTCGTCGATCTCGTCTTGAAGCTCGTCCTCCTTGACTATTTTCACGTCGCTGCCCTTTTTGGCTCCCTTCAACTTCATCAGCTGGGCCATCACATCTTTCTGTTCGTCGTCAAGCGAGTCATCACTATCATTGGCTGTCTCCCCTTCCTCATTTGCTTCCTCGTCGTCAAACCCCGTGAACTCTTCATACTCTGTCTCTTCACTTTCGTTGAGGTCGCTATCGTCCGCTTCCAGCTCTTCTTCCTTCACGATTTTGAGCATACTATTTTTCTTGTGCTTCTCACTTACCTTTTTGGTATCGCTGGCACCTTTGGCTTTCTTCAATCTATCCATTACTGCCCTTTCCTCCTTGTCTCCCCCTCGCCTTCTCTTCTTCTGTTCTCTTTGCTCCTTCCGTCGCTCCTTTCGGCTAACCTTCCGCTTTTGTCGTTTGAAGCGCTCATCGTTATCGTATTGGCCACTTTCGCGGATCTGATCCATCAAAGCGCCGGGGATATTCACCCCGTGCCGGTCTCTCTTAGCCATCTTGATTAAATATTTTTCGAATATTTTTTTATCGGCTGTGCTTCTTAGTGGCAAACACTTTTTGACAATATTCATCCCGAACATGTTCAAGAAAATCGATCCAAAGCTTCTCACGGATGCGGTCTTCTTCGTCGGAGCCTCGCTGTCCATATTTTATCTTCTCACACATATTTTAGGAGAGGAGGGGCCTGCGCGGAAGTCGAAAGAAACTAAGAAGAAGGCCAAGCTGTCACTTGAGAAGCTAAAGCGTGCTAATCCAGGGCTCAACCTTGAGCTTTCTGAGTATGAGAAAGTGATCCTCAACAGTGTAATTCCGCCAGATGAAATTGGTGTCTCTTTTGAAGACATCGGAGGCCTCGACAATATCATCAGCGATCTACAAGAGTCCGTGATTCTCCCGTTAACATGTCCCGATCTATTCACCCAGTACTCCAACCTGTTGCAGGCCCCCAAGGGCGTTCTTCTGTACGGACCCCCGGGGTGCGGGAAAACGATGCTGGCCAAAGCTTTAGCATCGAAGTCGAGGGCAAACTTCATATCTATCAGGATGTCCACAATTATGGACAAGTGGTACGGCGAGTCCAACAAGCTGGTAGACGCGCTGTTTTCGCTTGCAAACAAGTTGCAGCCGTGCATCATATTCATTGACGAGATCGACTCGTTCCTGCGCGAGAGAAACTCGATGGACCACGAGATCACAGCAACATTAAAAGCCGAATTCATGACGCTTTGGGACGGGCTCACGTCGTCGGGAAGAATCCTGATTTTGGGAGCCACTAACCGACCTGACGATATCGACTCTGCGTTTATGAGACGGATGCCTAAGCGATTCCCTATAAATATGCCGAACGCAGAGCAACGGCACAAGATTTTGGAGAAACTACTGGAAAATGTGGACTACGACTTCGAGCTAGACAAACTCGTGGAAATAACAGACGGTCTGAGCGGGTCAGATCTCAAAGAGCTGTGTCGCAATGCAGCAATCAACTCGACCAGGGAGTTCATTAGAAACAACGTGAAAGACGGCAAGCCGATCAACCCGAACGAACAGATCGAGATGCGGCCGCTACGTGTGCACGATTTCATCGAGAGCGTGACGCCGAGCGACTCGCTGATCAAGAAGCTCGACAAGCTCAAGATCGACCCTATCGACTGAAGTCTACGCAGATGTGCCAACGAACCAGCCACGAAACCATAGATGCGATTCCATGTACGCTTGCCATTGCAAGAGAATTCTCCTTGGACGCTGATCTAGACATCGCTTTGAATCAGTATACCACACGAACGGTATACGGATCTTCGAAGATGTCATCATGTTTTTGTAATGAAGAAAATTTTCTGTATTTATTGCCCGGCACAGCTGGTCGCGCTGCACAGCCGTGGGTTTTATATACTTAACGTCCCGAGTTATGTGCTCTTCTTTCTTCGCTGTAGGCCTTGCTCTGCACATGCACGTAGACCACGTGTGTGCCGCCGATGACAAGCGTGACGAAGAGCAGCAACAGGTTTAGCGGAATAGGGTTCATTTTGAACACCGTGTGCGTGAGTCTGTCCAACGGAGACTGCAGGAAGTTGAAGATACCAGAAATAGTCATGACGGAGCCGTACACCGTTCCAAAGGTCTCAAAACCAAACACTTTCGCACAGTAGTCCTATATGGAGGTGTAGAAGAACGGTCTGTAGCACACGAAGATGAGGACGTTGACAACTCCGGCCGCAAACGAGTTCTTGATGCAGTTGAGCACGCCAATCAGGATCGACACGGCGAGCAGCATAAACATGACCAGCGAGGTGGAGCAGCCGTCGAGGATGCGGCCAATCACAGGGATCGACAGCACTCCGCCGAGAGGCAGCGCAATGTCAAAGATCTTGTTCAGCTTGGCGGACTTCTCGTACGAGCCAAGCAAAAATGTGTACTGCGAATTAACGGTAGCAACAAAATAGTTTAGTCTGAGCATCTGGATGGTGGCAAAAAGACAGATCAGCAGGAACCAGTACGTTCTGAACTGGTAAGACGACGGGTAGCCGTGCAGGATACCGAAGACAGAGTTGGGCGTTGGGGTTGTGACTTCTTCAAGCTCTTCCTCCACGTAGGCCGATCTGTATGCCTCTCCAAGCGAGGACCTTCTCTTGGCTGCTCCTTCAACGGCCAGAAGATGCGTGTTCTCGTTCACCTCGTGAAGCGAGTCCTCGCGCTCCAGAGCCTCAGCCAGCCGCTGCTGTTCCTCGGTGGGGTTGGGGATAAGGTCGACTGGTGGAGTCAGATAGGACTCGTTTGGCATGATGAAGACCTGGACCAGAGCGATAAAGAGCGGGATCACAAGATACAGTTTGTAGAACGTTTCGATTTTCAGAGCGTCCGGCCATCTCGTGTAGGCAAATTTGTACAGCAGAAACACGGCAGAGGAGGTGTCAAAGGCCCCCGTCAAAAGTGCAAGGATTAGCCCGGATTTTTCAGGAAATGCGTTGGACAGCTGGAAGCTCGATATATACGAGAATGGGCCGCCCAGCGCCAACGCCGCGTATCCCACCAGGTAAGGGTCAAACCACGTGATGGATCTGGAGTAGATGAACACAAGACAGGCGAACAGCATGGACATGGCACCTATCAGTCCACACACTCTCGGGCCGTAAAGGTCCAGCGTTCTGCCAATCAAAAGCGCACTGATGTTGGTCAGAACGGCGCCCGCGGTGAACATCATGTTCAGCTTGAGGTCCTGTTCTGTGCAATTCGGCACAAAGCCCTCGGTTAGGTAATCTTGAGAGCTCAGGTTGCATGCGCTCTCGTAGACTCCCTGGTCGACGAGAACAGGCTTGAGGGCCGCAAAGCCGAAGATCGGGCCCGCTCCAAAGAGACACCATGTCACGGCGCATGCCACCTGGAGGATTCTCTTTTTGGCGGGTGTTTCGAAAAAATACATGGTTCAATCTTTCAAGTGCACAGGCGGGCCTGAATGCATATTTATTTTCTCAGTGCTGCCAAAAAAAAAAAGCTGCAGGTGTGGAGGCCGAAAACGGTGAAAAATTGAGAGATTAGATAGAGAGATGCACTGAGCTGAAAAACGGCGTTTTTAGACGGCGTCGGCGCTGGAAGGGCGACTTTGATTTCCTGTGTTATTGTAGAGCCTGGTTTGGTTGCCGGTTCCCAGCAGCCCTGCTCCCAAAGTCCAGCAGCTGTTGCTGGCACCGTACGACAGACAGCTGACCGCAGTTGGACCAGGTGCTCGGGAAACAAGCAGGAGAGCTCCTGTTTCCAGCGGGGACCGCCGTGGCCGCTGCCCGGTTGACGGAGGATTCCGCACTGCTTAGCGCTAATTGGCGCAGTCTCACGACCGGCACTCCGAGTACTGTGCTGTGCCACACTGCCGAGCCACAAATATTTTTCTCAACCCCAGACGCTATTTATTTACATATGAGCGAGTACAGTACGTGTGCTTCTGCCTTCTACTAACAAACAGCCATTTCCGTCTCGCCCGACGTGCTCACGTCGCTGCGGTACGCGTCGGACCGGCTTGTCGCGTCGTCGCTCGACGGCACGCTGTCTCTGATCGACGCGTCGCACAACGTCGAGCAGGTCGCCCTCGACGCGCCTATCCTCGATACTGGGGCCTTGGACTCTGCTATCTTCTCCTCTCTGGCAAACGGCACTGTGCAGAAGCTGGATCTGCGCTCGCGAAAGGCTGTCGGCACTTCCATCGCCCATAGTCTTCCCGTGCAGTGCGTGGAAAGCCATGCGAAAAGGAACCTAATTATCTCCGGTTCGTGGGACAAGACGGTGCAGCTCGCGGACCCGCGGGTCCACGAGCAGCCGTCGGTGATCGATTTGCCGGGAAAAGTGTATGCAATGGACGTCCACCAGGAAACAGACCGTTTTATTGTCGGGATGTCCAACAGACGGATTCATGTGTACGACTTCCGCAGGCTGGAGCGGCCGGTGAGCAGCATGGAAAACGGGTTCCGGTTCCAGACGACCAAGGTGAGGTTTCTGCCGAGCGGGCGCGGGTTTCTGCAGAGCTCGATAGAGGGCAAGGTTTCGCTGGATCTTTTCGAGGACGCAGAAAATAATTACGCATTCAAATGCCACCGTCAAAAGCTCGTGATAGAGAACGAAAGCGTCGATCTTGTGAACCCAGTCAACTGTCTGGAGTTTTTCGACACCGAGTCGCGCTTCTTCACCGCAGGATCCGACCGATCGGTCTGCGTGTGGGACTACAAGACCAAGAAAAGAGTCAAGCAGTACGCCAACTTCGAAATGAGCGTAGTCGCGCTGGCGTACAACCAGGACACCCGCCAGCTCGCCATAGCCATGAGCGACGACTCGTACAAGAACATGACCGGGCTGGACGACCAAACAAACAACAGGCCCGCCATACCGTCGAAGATTACAACGCGAAACATGCATTCATAATTCATAAAAGTACATCATTTATCCGTCCACAGAATCGATCGACTTCACCGGAGGCAAGCTGTTAGACGACTCCACGCTCTTGTTGCGCCTGTGCGACACTGTGTCGTCCGTCTGGTCGTCCTCATCCCAAATATCCCGAACACAATATCTAATCCAACGCCGTCTTCTCACCTCTCCTCTGGTTTTCTTTTCGTTAGTCGTCAGTCCCGCCTGGTACGAGAACTTGGTCACGAGGTCGTAGCACCACTTCTCGTCGTCGTCAATGTCCATGGTCTCGTTCAGGAAGTTTTCTCTGATCCACCCCTCGGGAGTCAGATCCAGGAGCCAGCCGTCGACGTTTCTGGTGTTAACTGCCGTCTCCACGTCCACAAACTTCCAGCCCTCGGGCGGTTTCACCTGGCTCAGGTGCAGCGTGCCCACGAGCGGCAGATTGTGGAGTCGCGCGTGCGAGTTTGCCGGATACGGGTCGGACGCAAAACAGATGAGCTGCCAGTTGTGCGTCTCCGGGTCCAGATGCTGGAGCTCAAAAATCTCCGTCTCCTTGACCTCCTTCTGCTCGCGCAGGTTCAGCTCCTTGTTGAGCCACAGCTCCAGACGGTTTGACATCATCAGAAGCCGCAAACGGGTGTCCTCCGAGTAGAGCATGCCCAGCAAAGCAGACCGGTAGTTGGGGTGCATGGCGGCGGTGGCAGCCCACAAACCCACCGACAAGGTGACCTTGATGAAGGGCAGCATAGTCGACAGCAGCTGTGCGCCGAATAAGGTCAGCAGAATGCCGCTGGCCAGCAAAGCGACGAAAACAAAAATGGTGATGTTCTCGTCCTTGAAGTAGAGATAATTAACAATCAGCGACGTCACAAAGTCATAGCTCATAACGTAGAGTAGCATGTGGTTTTGCAGGTCTGTACAGTTCAGGACAAACTCGCGACTCAGCTCAGGCACCGGCCGCGGCACGTCGACGTGCGAGACGGACGGCCCCTCTGCCGGGACCGGGTTCCTGTTCTGGAGAATGGTGTGTTTGTCGGGCGGATGTCTTTTCATGTAGGCGGGAACAATGATCTCGAAACACGTGTAGAAGAACGGCAGGCTCAACAACAGTATCGGCTTCAGAATCAGCAGCGTGGCGACATTCAAAAATGTCAGTGTGTAAAGAGGCTTGGACCAGCTAAAAATAATGATTACCTGGTCAATCAGCACAAACGGAACAGACAACCGAGACAGCAGCTGGATCGCGTTCTTGCTCATCACGTTCAGACTCAGCTGTGGACGCGACTTCTGCATCTCAATTCTCTCTAGAATCGATTGCAGCTCCTCCCCGTCCTGAGTAGTGGTGGTAGGCAGGGCCATTGACAGAAATCGCTCGAACATTTTATCGGTCAGCGTCGTCGAATGGTCTTTGGACGAGGTGAACATGTCGTCAAAGAACGAGCTGGACACCCGCTTGGCCGGCGGGGTCTTCTGCGGCTCCGAAAAGGACGACCAAATCGTGCTGCTGGCCGCCATCTTGGACTCCAGAGGGCTCTGTTTCGAGTCCACCGACGCAGCGTCCGTGTCGCCGCCCGTGCTGGTCATGGCCTGCGACAGCGAGTCCCACGACGACCACAGATTGTTTACCATAGACTCCATGGGAAGAGCTCACAAATTATTTTCTGTAAACTTGCTGGGCCGGAATCACATGGCACGGGTGAGCCTGGCGTCCTGTGTTCTGCGGTTTTTTGTGTTACGTCATCTCTGAGTCAGCAAGGACACGAGGTCGTGCTGCAGGCCTGTGTGCGCGCTCTTGAGGCTCACGAGGCGCAGCTTGAAGTCGAACAGAAGCTCTGTGTGGCCGTCGAGGAGGAGTCTCGTGTCGCGGTACTCGAGACCGAGATACTCCAGCAGGACGTCCTCGTTGGAGCCGAGGATCGGTTTACTCAGCTTGAGGTTCTTCGGCTTCTTGTTGGCCACGAAGTGGCGGTAATCGGCCACCAGGTCTGTTTTGTTGCAGATGACGATCATTGGCAGTTTCCTGTGTTCGTTGTTGTACACAATAATCTCGTGGAGCTTCGTCCTTGCCTCGTCTATGGTGAGTGTGTCTGAGATGTCTATGAGGAAAATTATGAGGCTCATTTGCGGGCTGGCGATGATTTCTGTCCACAGATACTGCAGCTTGTGTTGTCCGCTGGGATCGTGGATCTTTAGCAGGAGCTTGCTGGGCGGGGCGGGTTTTTTGGTGTTTGCGTCGAGCAGGGGCGTTGTTTCGGTGGACATCTGGGCTGAAGCCGGCGGCGTTGTGACCAAAGCGTGCATGCGGAGCGTGGTGGTGGTCTTCCGGAGCGTGGGCAGCGTGTCGGTTCTGAAGGTGTTGTTCTTGAGGACGTCGACGAGACTGCTTTTACCGGCGCTGCTTAGACCCAAAAGAGCCACGTCGAGTTGGTAGTACTGGCGTTAGAGGCTGTCAATTGCGTGTGCTTACCTCTCGCGGCTGGACCCAGCTGGATATCCATTCACAACAAATCACCATAAGGGGCCAGGAAAAACTATTTGTGAATAAATTGCAGTGCAATTGTGTATTTTTTTAATCTTATCTGAAAAATTTCCAAACTCGATGAGGCCATGCTCAGAACGCGGCCTATAAACGAGAGCGAGCTCGACAGGCGGCGCGAAAAGGACCTGAGCGAGTTCAATTTCCCGAAACTCTTCAGCAGGCAGGTTGATTACGCCAAGGTCGACCGGCCTGCGCTCGAGTCGTACATCGAGCAGAAGACGAATGAACTCGTTCCTGACGACGACATAATTGTCGAGTTCATCTACAACCTCGTGTTTGAGGAGAAAATAGGCCCGAAAGATCTGTGTCTGCAGTTGAAGCCGATGCTGGACGAGAAAACACTGGACTTTGTCCACGAGCTGTGGAAAAAAATGATCGAGAGCGAGCAGGAGAAGAAAGACACCTACAGGGAACGAGACGGGCGCAGAGCACAACGCGTGCACGACGATCGGAACGAGGATCGACAGCGGAAACTCCATGGTAAAAGCAAGTCCTTCAAACGGGCTAAATACAAAAGGTCCTATCGCAAGTAGCTAGCTATTTTTTCCTGAAAAGACTTCTGAAGAAACCCTTCTTTTCCTTTTCGCCAGAGTCGGACGACTTCTGCGGCTGCAGCTGCGGCGTCGACACGGTCGGACGCAGCGGGTCCATTTTCAAGGACCCACTGCTGTCCTGGGAATAATATTTCGGGTGGCTGATGTCGAACTTGAGAGACGTCTGATGACGAGGCCTGCTGTAGTCACCAGACGAGTCTATTTGGATGGCGGGGATTTTGGGTCCCTGTGGAGACTTTGGCGTCGTAACGGGGTCGGTGTCCAGAAGCATCGACCGTGCACGGCCGTATGTGGGGTCTGGCGCTCCCGTGAGCGTTCGCACCAGCTTGGCGCTCTCGCCTCCGTTTTTTGCGCTCTCGGCAAGATTCACGCCGTAGTGGTATGCAGCAGCAGAGACGACCTTGAGCCAGTCCTTATACTTGTTTTCGTCGTCTGGTCGTTTCAGAATGTCAGAGAGTTCGTGGTATATTTTCATGTTGGTCAAGCGTTGCAGTCGTCTGAGCTCGCCCGCCGGCGAGTCCGTGTTCTGCTCCTTCATCTCCTTCTGCGCGGTGATCGCCGACTCCTGGTCACTCAGCTTGTACGAGCCCACGTCGTCCAGATCTGCCACAAAGTTCGGGTCGTCGTAGTTATGGTGCAGTTCGTCCATGCGCTTGTTCAAAACAGCAAAAAGCTTTTTCTCGAATAGATCCATGTTCAGCGACGGCACGATCACGACAGGAACGTGGAAATTTTTCACCAGGCGGTCTGTCACCCGCGACGTCACCCACGACCGCGTGGAGGCTGCCTTGGTCGGCTTCGCAGCAACCACCACCAGCGACGGCTGATACAGCGAGTACATGTCTTTGAGCACGTCCTTGGTGCCTCCGACAGCAAGCTCGATCGTGATCTTGAGGACCTTGTTGGGGTTGAGGATCGCCATGATGTACTTCATGATGTTCTCGGTCACCACCTTGGCGTACTCGGGCGAGTTCCGGATATACTCTTCGCTGGCGACTCTGCTCTGGTTAGAGCTGCACGAAAGACGTCGCGCAAACAGCGAGCGCGATCTGGGGTTGATGGCCGCCGTCACGACCATGCTGTCGCCGTCTTCCAGCAGTCGGTTACAGCACCAGTCCAGAGCCACCCACGTATGTTTGCGGCCAGATATGTAGCACATGATACTCCTGTCCGGCAGCAGCGGTCTTTTGGAGCCCAGCTGCCTTAGGTACAGCTTGTCGAAGTCTTTGTGCTTCTTGGTCAACGTGCATGCATCGTGCGTGATAATGGGGCTCGTCGGGTACTGTCTGGAAGTGAGGGCCCCAGCAATGCTAATATTTCTTATGGGCGACACGGACCCCATGCGCCTGTCAAACGGGTGCGACGGTGACAGGCTGCGCTCGCACGAGTTTGCACGCATGCCCTGGTGCGGCGAGGAGTCCCGATGCGGAGATCGGCCCCGAGAAGCCAGATAGCTCGAGCCGGCAGACGGCTCGTTGCTTTTGAACCCATCCCAGCCCGAAGAGTTTAGAAGCTGCTCGCGTCGGCTCCAGCGGTCTCTGCCCTGCACCAATCCCACATCGTCGCTGTCGTCGTCGCCAAAATAGTCGTCGTTATCCGCAACCTGGATATTCACCGTATCGAAAGACACTCTGCGTTTATAGTTCGCGGTCGTCCGGAGGGGCACAGAGCTGTTGTTCTTCGCGAGCTGCGGCTTCTTCTCCATATGCAACACAGTCTTCGCGCCCAAAGGCTTGAACTCGTCTATCACATTGTCCAGATGGACCGTCTTGTACGCAGGCACAGTCCTGGTGGTGTCGGCCTGGTCCTCGTACGTGCCGGAACCCTGGTGCGTCTTCGACCTGCTCAGCGGATACAGGTGCGACGCCTCGGGCTTTCTGTCCTCGTCACCGGCACTAATCGTGTGCATCAGGACGTCGCCCGAATATGGGGTGGGTCCCACGGTGGTTGTGGGAGATAGCGTCGTGCCGCTGGAGCCCATCGATAACCCGGCCGAGCGGGCCGAATTGTGCCGGCTGGATTGCAAATGCGACATAATTAAACACAGCGGCAAATCCAAGTGCTCAAGCTCGTTGCTGCGTGAATTATTCCTGTACTTATCTTCCTTTATTTATTCTACTGAGAATCATTTTTTGTCACACCTCGCACCCCGGGTTAGCCCTGGCTGTTGACGGCAAGTTCCATGATGAGCCGGGTGGCGAGATGGAGGAACGGATACGCGCTGAACGACGAGATCTCGTCCGAGTCCTGCAGCTCCTGCTCAGCGGGGCCGGATTTCTCCGGGCTCTTGGACTCCCAGCCGTCAAACTTGAAGTCCACCAAGTAGTTGTTCGGCTCGAGCTGGAAGAGCTGGATCTGCATTTTCATCAGGTCGGCGTCCTGCTCGCTGTCGGCCACGGTGTATCTCCAGCGCACCTTGATCGTCCAAAGCTCCTCCTCGGACGGCCGCACCCACTCTGCGCCCAGATTTTTCAGGGCCCTGTAGATCTCGCCCATCACGTCCAGCGGATACGACCTGGAACGGATGCCGAAATGCCATCTTGTTCTCGACTTTTTGGTGCTGATCGGCTGGATCGACGCAAGCTCGGGGCGCAGCTGCACCATCGACGCTCTGTGGATCTGCGGCAGCGACGAGGGCAGAATGGCGATGGTCGAGCTCGGATTGTAGTTGGTTGCATTATCGGGCTTCGGGTAGTCTATGTTCGTCGGCGTGCGCCATCTCGCATGGCTCGGGTCGTTCGCAGCCGTGTGTAGCTTGTGCTGCTTGTTGATATCCTCCACGAGCTTCTTGTTGCTCTTCATTAGTTGGTAGCTGTCGAGGATCTCCTCTGTCTCTGGCGTTCTGCCTGTTTTGATGGCGTCGATAATCTCCTCGCGCGAGTAGCCCATAGCAATGGCCAGGGCGTTCACCACGTCCTCGCTCACGTCCTCGGGTCCCACCTTCTTCTCCGCAACAGCGTCGTTCAGCAGATACTCCGGCAGTCCCACCTTGAACCACTCGTCCTCCATGATCTCCTTGATCGTGATTCTGTTGAGCGGGTTCACAACGAGCATCTTGGTGAGCAGGTTCTTGGCACCCGGCGAGAGGTCGTGCGGCAGCGTGTACACGCCGTTGCTGATCTTCTTGAAGAGAGCGGGAATCAGCTCGTCGTCAAACGGGAGACGGCCGCACAGCATCACGTACAGGATCACTCCGCACGACCAAACGTCAACCTCGGGCCCTGCGTACAGCTTGCCGGAGATCACCTCTGGGGCAGCGTAGTTCGGCGACCCGCAGCTGGTTTTGAGAAAGTTGCCGTCTGTCATGATGTTGCTAAGGCCGAAATCTGCAATCTTCACGTTCAGCTGGTCGTCCAGCAGCAAGTTCTCCGGCTTGAGGTCTCTGTGGACGATCTTGTGGCGGTGGCAGTAGTCCACGGCGGCGATGATCTGCTGGAAAAACCGCCTCGCCTCGTCCTCCTTCATCCGCCCGTGCTGGATGATGTAATCGAACAGCTCTTTGCCCGCGTACTCAATCACCATGATGATCTCGTCCTTGCTTTTGATCACGTCATACAGTTTGATGATGTGCGGGTGCCTCAACAGCCGCAGATACGAGATCTCCCGCTCAATTCGGCCCTGCATGTCCGATTTGGACAGGGTCTTTCTGTTGATCATTTTAAGGGCCACTCGCTGGCCCGTGCCCGTGTGGTACGCCAGCTTCACCTTGCCAAACGAGCCCTCGCCCAGCGTTTTGACGATCTGGTACTTGCCTATCCGGTTGGCCGCCCCCGCCGCAGGGTGGGTGTGGTGTTGTTGCTCCATCTCAGACAATGTGTCGGTAAGTTTCGTTGCTGCGACTCCACTATTTTTTTTATTTCCAGAACCGGGTCGTGCACTACTTCATTAAACCTATTTAACGAGTTCTGATGATGCCGGCTGCCATCAGCGTCATGATCTTGCGGCTGACGTCTGGGTTTTTCATGTGCTCCTGCAGCGCGGCCGGGTTGCTCTGGGCCTGCTGGAGAATCGTCTGCATCACCGGGTCGCTCAGAATCTGGACGACCTCGGGATCTTTCTGGATCCGGGCCATGGTCTCTTCGTACGTTTCTCCCTCCAACGGAGCAAATCTTTGCGCCATGGCCTTTTGGTAAAGAGAGTCGATCTCGTTCAGGTTGGCTGTCGAGTTGTTTTTCAGCTCCGCCTCTCTGGCGGCGGTCAGTGTGTCAAGACACTTCCGGTACTCCTTGATGGCCAGCTCGGCGTTGGCCTTGCGGATGTACGCTCTGATGAAGCCTGGGTCCAGCTTGATGGCCGTCTCGCAGTCTCTGATGGCGTCGGGGAACGACATGAGCTTGGCGAGAGCGGCAGCTCTGTTCGAGTAGCCTCTCACGTCGGACGGGTCTCTCTTGATCATCTCTGTGTATGCTTTCACGGCGTTCGGCCAGTCGCCGGCATTGAAGTACTCCTTGCCTTCCAGTCTGGCCTTTTCCGCCAGATCCTTGTCGATGTAGGCCTCGGCCTCTCTCTTCTTGACCTCCTTCTCGGTGCTTCTCAGCTTGTTCAGGACCTCAGGGGTTCTGTGCTCAGTCAGCGACTTCTCGAAGTACTCGCAGGCCTTCTTCAGGTCGTCTTTCTTCAGATACGAGTTTCCGATTCTCGCAAACGACTTGGCAACAAGCTTGTAGTCGGCACGCATGTCTCGTCCCTCGTCCACGGCTTTCAAGCAGGTCTGGATAGCGGCATCATAGTCCCCCTTTTCGTATTCGGCAGCAGCACGGTTGTTCAGGTAGGTGATGTCCTTGTGGGTTTCCCATGCCTTATTATACAGTTCGATTGCTTCGTCGAATTTTCTCTGCTTGTACAGCGTGTTGGCCTCGGCCTTGTACTTGTCGGCCTCGACCTTCGAATCGTCCACTGGCTCCTCGGCTTTTGGCTCTGGCTCTCTCTTCTTAGCTGGCTCTTTTGGTTCTGCTGGCTCCGCGTCCTTCATCTCGACGTCGTTGTCTGAGGACGCCTGGGCAGGGTTCGGAGGGGCCGCGCCAAGGTCGATTCCCAAAACGGCCGCCAAAACCGTCATCAGTCTCTGATCGGTGAACATCTCGGTGCCCAGGCCAGCAGGGTTGGTCTGCAACTTCTTCACTTTCTCCACAAGAGATGGGTCTTTCATTAGCTCGGCGGTCTTTGGATTAGTCTTGAGTTTTTCGATCAGGCCAGGATCAGAGAAGATCTTGCGCATTCCCATGGTTGGGTCGCTCTGTGCCATCTGGGCCTCGGAGACGGCCTCGAGACCGCTTTTGGCCATTGCATTGCTTGGATCAAGCTCTAGAGCCTTCTCGTACGACTTCTTGGCGTCGTCCAGTCTCTCAAGCCCGAACTCTGCTGCTGCGACACGGTTGTAGCCTTTGGCCCAGGAAGGGTTGATTTTGACACACTCCTGGGCGTCCTTAAGAGCCTCCTCGTATTTCTTCAGCGACGCATAGCACGCAGACCTGTTTGAGTAGAGAACGTGATTAGGAGTAGACGACACCTCGATCGCCTTGGTAAAGTACTCAATGGCCTTGTCGTAGTCCTTGGCAGAAAAAGCGGCGTTTCCCTGTGTTTTGTATTCTTCGGCAGACATGTTAGTTGATAGAGAAAACTGTTCCTACTTATAAATGGTGTCCGTTCTTTTCTAGAAAAAATACCGCTCATCCTTGCACGGAGACAGTGAGAATAATTGCATGAAAAATAATTTTATTCACAATGGATTCCTTTGCTACCAGCACCGCCGCGTTCGAGAGCTGGCTTCATAGACATTACGACTACATCAGCGATGACATTGAAATTGCAGACCTGAGAAATTCGCACGAGGGACGCGGTTTGCGGGCGCGCAATGACATCCAGAAAGACACTGTTCTGTTCCGTCTGGCAAGAGATCACATACTAAATATTCGCACAGCAGCTTTGGGCAAGCTCAAACCGGGAAACCAAGAGGTTCTTGAGACCCTGAACCAGTGGGAGGCTCTCATTTTGTGCTTGGCATACGAGATGATGCTAGGCGAGGAGTCTCAATGGAGCTCCTATTTGGCAGTTCTGCCTGAAAAATTCAACTCGCTAATGTTTTGGTCGTCCGAGGAGCTTGAAAAATTGAAGCCATCCAACGTTTTGCAGAGGATAGGACGCGAACAGGCCGAGCAGATGTACTCCAAGCTTGTGCCTGAGTATTGCTTGCGCCTGGGAAGCAAGAAATTGGTGGAATATTTGACTTTGGACCGGTTCCATGTGGTGGCAAGCATAATCATGAGCTACTCGTTTGATGTTGACGATCCCGAGGACGACCCCGAGGACGATGCTCAAGACGGGGAGGATGAAGAGGAAGAACTCGAAATAGATCAGGAATGCATCAAGTACGACGGTTATCTGAAGTCGATGGTTCCACTTGCCGATACTCTGAACTCAAATACGCATTTGGTGAATGCGAACCTGAGCTACGAAAACGACGCGCTGGTTATGACTGCTACTAAGGACATCAAAGAAGGAGAGCAAATTTATAACATCTATGGTGAACTGCCTAACTCCGAGATTCTGCGAAAGTACGGCTATGTGGAGCTTCCTGCTTCCAAGTACGAATTTGCTGAGCTGCCTCTGACGGTGATCAAGCAGACGTTTGTGGAGAACTATCTCTCGTCGATGGACCGCAAAATCAGAGAAGCGCTATTCGACAAGACTGCCGGACTGATCAGCGAGTCCGAGTACTTGGACGAAAGTCTGGAAGACCAGGACGGGGGTATTGTTTTGGACGCGTACGAGGTATTTGCCGATGCCGACGTGCTGCCTGAGCTCTTGCTATTAGTCCAGATCCTGACGACCTTCTATGAGAGTGTTGAGACGGACTCGAAGTGGGCCAAGAAACTTGCGAGAACGCGGTCTGAGCTGGAGGCGTTCATCAACAGGTGCATTCTGAAATCGTTCCAGTTGGTGGAAAAGAAAATTATAACCAGCAAGTGCGTCGCGAATCTTTATAAATGCGTCGAGGGACGCATTGCCCAGTACGGCGCCGCCCAGGACTATGAGATTCCGGCCAGCTATAGAGAATTCGACCGCGCAGAGCTGGCTGCGATCGTGCTGAGGTGCGAGGTGAACTGTCTGCGCAATGTGCTCAACAACTTCCCAGAAAAATACGAGCGCATTGACGACTCCAAGCTGCTGAAAAACGTGCTCAAGCGCAAGGCCGAGGCAGATGCACACAAGCACAAGAAGCAGAAACCTTAGTCTTTTTGCGGGCCGCCGGTGCACGCGTTCTGCGATGTCTCCGACATTATACTCGAGCTGCTAGACGTGCTTGTACGCTGCGCAAGCACTTTAATCCGCGGCCGTGGCCGCATGACCTCGAATCCCTTGGAGCCGTCTTTTTTCTCGTCTCCCTTGGCCTCTTTCTTCTCGAACTCCATGGACGCAGCGCGATACAGCTTTCTTTCTCTCTCCTTCCAGAGCTTCATCACTTCTGGGTCGGGTTCAAGGACTCCGAACGAATTATAATATAGATCGGCCTCTCTGAAGGCCAAGTCCGATTTGGGCGTAGGTTTCGTAGACGGGCCCGTCGCCACGGCAGGCACCACGCGGTGGTCTGTGAACTGCAGAGTTTTCGAGTTGACGGACTGCGTTCCGGACGCGGTTCGAAAGAGCGCCGGAGGCTCGAACGTCCAGTTGTTGAACGACTCGTCGAACGACGCCAAGCTGGGGTTGTCGGGCAGCAACGGCACCTCGATGAGATTGCCGTGCTCGATGTAGTCCGGAATGTCGGTTCCTTTCTTTCCCTTTCTGTACTTGATATACATTTTGAAAGTGGTGTAGAAGTTGTAGAGCGTGGGGACCAAGAACACAAACACGAGGGCCATGAGCTCGATAAACAGGATTGACCACGCGATCCGGGTCCTCACTTTTTCGCTGTCGTTGATTCCATCAATGAACGCAATGTGCAGAAACAAGATAATAAGCTTGACGATGGCCAGTGAGATCTTGGTCCTGTTCGTTCCCGTGTTGGAGTAGTACGGAGCCCACAACAGCATCACACACAGAATAATCGACTCCGAGCAGATAATCACAATCAACTGGATGACGCCGCTGAACTGCAGCGCGCCGACAGCAAAGCTGAACACGAAGTTTCCGAGGAAAGTGACGGCAGCAAACCACAGAGCAGACGTTTTCAGATGCACGTAGGCCCATTGCCAGATCAGAATCACATTGATCGACCTGTAGAGCATGTCGCGTCCGCGCTTGAATAGGACGAACCGCACCACATAGTATATCTGGAGCAGGAAGTAGAGGGCCAGAAGAAGCGAGGCGGTGACGGTGACCCAGGCCGGGTTGCTCCGAATCTCCGGCTGTCCATACAAATGCGTGTGTGGAGCACAGAGCACAAAAAACGAATATACGAGGAACGGCGTGGCGATGTAGCCAAGAAAAGCGGCAAGTACGTTTCCGATAACGATTAGAAACGAGAGTCTCATGTAACGGGGCAATGTGGGGCGGCAGTCTTTGGGCTTCAGCAGAAGCACCAGCGAGCAGATCCCGTGGTCGATAACGCAGGCAATCGAGATGAAGATAAGGGCGGTGATCAGGAACGACGACCAAATCGTTGGCAGACCGTCTTTGCCGAAGCCAGAGCCCAGAAGTCGTTTCAGCCCGCCCATCCACATCGACTCGTACACGCCGTCGACGCCCCTGGCGGCGTGGTCGTGTAGCAAGTCCATGACGCCTGCCCAGCGCTGCGAGGCCATTAGGGGCTGAAAGAAACCGGGGAATTGGAGATTCAAGCCGGCCATGAAGTGGATAAACTGAATGTAGACCAGATAGTCTGCATAACTCGGCGAGAGCTGGTTGAGCAGCGGCGCGTTGCATATGGACGCCGCCTTGTACAAGAACGGGTTTTGGGTGTCAATGTACGGCGAAAGCTGGTACCCAAGAATGTTCGAGAGAATAATTAGCGACAGCAGCAGCGCCGTAAACGCCACCATGAAGTTCTGCAGCGAGCGTTTCTGGACGGTACTGAACTTGGCCAGAGAACAGCCAATCACCGTGTGGTTGGCGTCCGAGTTGATGACAGTGACGTCCAAACTGTATGTCCCAAAGGGAGAGTGGTGGCCGATGTAGAGCGACAAGTCCACCACGACCTCGTCTCCCTCGTATATGGGACACGAGTCGTAGGTCTCTTCCGCACGGTCCAGCAGCAGCGGGGAGTACTCTTCCATCCAAGTGTCTCTCTTTTGTATCATATCGGACATGTCTGGCACGCGAGTGGAGTAATTTATCAGCGAGCTGTGAGCAGTCGAGGAGGGCTGCTGGGAGGTCGTCGTGCTAACAGGCTCTTCTCCGTCCGCACGGAGCACCCTGGAGTAATTGCACAGTCTCAAGTACTCGTCATGTATCACGTCGCCAACGTATTCGAGCCGGACGTGGAGCGTCGTGTAAGTGTTTGTGGTTTCGTTCACGTCCACAATATACCCGAGCGAGTCCATGGCGATGTACATCTTCAGCAGTCCGTCATCGCCGTTGTAGGACACATTGGTGAACAACGGGGAGAGAAGCGTGTTGTCCATTCTTCTGGGCCAATCACAGCCCCTGACGCTCAAAAGAGCGCTCGTGACACCCTCTGCAAGCAGCAGTAATCCCAGAAACAGCAGCGTGGTCATGGCTGCAAATTAGGGACAGCGAGGGTGAAAAGACGGTAATTTGCTCTGGGTATATTTTTCTGAAAATCGCTACCCCTTTTTTATTTTTCCATTATTGCGTGCAGACTATGTATGTATCATCAGGCAATATTTTTCATGAGGTACTCGAAAATTGAAAAAAAAATCATGGTGGTCACTATCGACCGCGTGATCGAGGGCCCGAGCCCGCGGTAGAGCTCGCGCGTGGGCCACCTCAGTTTGGGCGCTACCACAGGCAGCTTGTCGCGGCCGGCGACCTCTCGCAGAATGTTGCGGATCACGTCGCGCTGGTACTGCGACTTGATCGTGTCCACCGGGAACACCAGGATCCAGCTGAAACACCCGGCCACCGCCCCGGAAATCGGCACGCTCAGCACGTTGATCGTTTCCCGCAGCCCTGTGTTCTGTGTCACGTGACCGTTCCTGGTCTGGATGAAGAGCTTGACTGTCTCGTAGAGTCCGTAGAAAAGTCCCGAGGACACGCCGTCCTTGGTGAGGTGGTACCTGTACCCCGAGTAGAGTCCTCTGAGGCCCTCGTGCCGCACAATGGTGGACGCCACGCTCGGAAGACTCGACGGCAGCTTGTCGCGTTGCAGATGCACGTACTTGCCGTTTTCCTTGGAGTTGTTGACCAGGAGGAGGATTTGCTGGAAGATCTTGGACAGCTCAAATGGGCACGCAAACAGGGACACCGCCGCGCCTGAGATGGAACCCGCCAAAACGGCAATCGGGATGTTGTTGACCACCTTGTCGATCTGGGCCTGTTGATCGGACACCGGCGCCGTTCTATAGACTAGAGGGTGGCTGCCCCAGATCGGGGCTCCCAGGAGGCTCACTATGGGCTTTGCTTCTGTGTAAATAGACACTCCGAGCGACCGAGCGAAGGCCGTAGAGATAAGCGGGGCAGAAATGCCCCGGAAGAGTCCGCGGACGCCCTCGTGGTGGACGGTGGCTCGAAAGCACGCGAATGCGTTGGCAAAGTGGTGGGTCTGCATCCGCGTCTTCATGGAGTCCAGGGGGAAGCCCACAGAGGTGGAGACCAGTGAGGCCGTATAGGAGAGGATTCCGGATTTGTAGCCCGTGAGGGCAGCGGGGAGCTGAAAAAAGGGGTCTTCGTACGCGATGTCCCCCGTTATAGCAGGGATGTGCGTAGACGCCTTGTCTTGCAAAGACGACATTGCAATTAAAGAGGAGCGAGGTGAATCGGAGATGAAGAAATTTCTAGGGCACAGCCGCAGCAAATACTGGATATTTTTTTTTGTATTTTTTATTTAGGCCTTTTTTTGAATTCAATTACTGGCATTCCTAAATGTTACATGTCGATGGCATCTTTAAAACTGAGAATGTCGTTGAACCGCAGTCCGTTGACGTCGATATCGTGGTCGCGCGATTTCTCCAGCAAGTCGCCGACCTCCGCACGGTCAACCTCGTCGTTGTCCTTGCTTGCTACCAAAATCAAACCGTTGGACCGAACGGACTTGACCAGGTCCGGACAGATCGAAAGCACCCTGTTTGGGACAATGATGCCGAGTAGGTTGTTGGTGGTGGCAAAAGCTATCCCCAGCTTAATCGACCGCGTGAGCTTGTCCTGGTACTGTAGGTCGTTGAGATACACCACTGAGTCCTTGTTGATGGAGTCGATGTTGTCAATCTTGAGCTCCGGCTTCTCGACCTCCGACACGTCCACGGAGTCTGTGGGGAACCCGTTAGCGGTGCACGGCTCGAACCTGTGCGTGTCAAAGTTATACTTGATTCCGTTGATGTTGTAGAAGACGGGGTAGTTGGGCTGCTTCCAATTTAAAATTGTGCACACCATAGCGTTGTCGCTGGACAGAATTAACGACCGGTTGCGGTTTCCTTGCGTGCGCAGGCCGCGCACGTGCGTGAACACGTCGTTGAGTATCAGGTCGATGTAGTTGTTCATGATATTGTCGGTTGTCGGGCTCAGGTCGGCAGATTTGCACTTTGCTACCAAATTATATGCCGAGACCGAGTAGCACTTCATGTTTAAGAAATTGAGCTCGAAAACGGACGGAAAGAAAATCTCCAGGTTCAGCGACACGTCCACGGCGATAATCTGCAGGAACAGCTCCAACGGAATGTACAGTCTGGCCATGATGTCTTCTAATTTTTTCAGACCGTCGCTCAAATTTTTCACCTCCCGCAGCTGAGCACACAGATCTTCAAACGCGCCCGGCGAGTACAGCAGCCTGGACAGCTGGTCAAAATCAAAATTGCACACGGACAGGACAACGCCCTGGAACGTGATCTGCCAGCTCGGACACACCAGCGGGGTCCCGTCGCTCAGATAGCACACCTTTACGCGGTAGTACTCGCCGCTCAGCGATGAAGCCGTGACGAACGAGATCGACTTCACGGCCGCCGCGGAGGACGACGACTTCCAGTACGTGTCGTACATCGAAATCTCCAGCGGCCGGCCTGAGTACGGATACACGATCTCGTAGTTGAACCGGAGCGTGCCGATGCTGCGGAGCCGCAGGTCCACGAGCGGGACCTCGATGTCGCCGTTGAGCTTGGCGCCGACTCCGGGGCACCTATTTTGGAGCAGCGTCGACGGAAGCGTGCCCTTGGCAATGAGCCGAGTTCCAAAGGTCGGGAACAGCTCAAAGTCGATCGCAAAGCCGTCGAAGGTGTCTGTCTGGAACGTGATGGACTTATCGTTGTCGAGGACAGGAAGAAGCAGGTTTCGCGGGATCAGATCGTTCTTGTCGCAGCTGATGGTGATCCGTCCGGGTATCGAGGTGAGGAAAGTGTCCGGGTTGAGTCTGATGGAGTTTCTGTTGGTGTAGAAGGACAGCTTGAGGAAGATTCGCTTTTCCAGGAAATTGTGGCCGTACTTCCGCAGAGGAATGATCGGCGGAGGCAGTTCCAAGTCGGGAATCATGTCGACGTTGCTGATTTCAGAGAGAGACGGCATATCGTCCAGGTTGGGCGGCACCATCGGGGACATCACGTTTTTCGTGTAGCTCAAGGTTGGCGCCTGCGGAGGAGCCAACTCTGGCTCCTTTTGCGGCTGAGGAACGGCAGCGTTGGCTTTTAGCGACTCGATCAGAACGTTGGCGACTTCAACATTTCCCTCCCAAAGCGCGTAGTACAGCGGGTTAAAGCCGTCCTCGTCCTTGATGTCGAAATCGGCTCCAAACTCTATCAGTTTCTTGGTGGTCGAAGCGTAGCCCTTAGTGACGCTGTAAAAAATTGGCGTCCACTTGTTGAGCTTGTCTGTCTGGTTGATGTCGGCGCCGTACTCAAGCAGCAGCGGGATCAGATCGTCGTGGCCGGCCGACGCGACGATGTGCAGCGGCAGCAGGCCCTCGGCGTTGCTCTGGAACGATTTTGTCAGGAGGCCCTTTGCTTTGGCTTCCGCGGGCGTGCTGGCCTGGCTAAGCAGCAGCTGCACAACTTCCAGGTTTCCTGTCTTGCAGGCAACGTTGAGAGGCAGGTACGTCGGCTTGAGGTCGTTTTGCTGCGGAAAAGCGTTGGCTCCGTGCTTCAGCAGTATCTCGACAGACGTAACGTGGTTGTTGATGATGGCCATGAGCAGCGGCGAGATCGACTCGTTGTCGACCACGTCGATCAGACTTTCGAGCGGCTTGATGCGCGGCGCGTAGTCCAGAACAAGCAGCAGCAAGTCGTCGCGGCCGAGCTCTGTGATGTAGTGCAGGCACGTGCGCCCGGTCACGTCCTTCAGCGTCGGGTCGATGTTGTTCTCCAGACATAGCTTGACGATGCCCACGCGGTCCGTTTTGCACGACGCGGCCTCGTGGAGACACGTTCTGCCGTTGAGGTCGTCCACCAGCGTGATGTCGATGAATTCTCTGAAGTTGTCGTAGAAATACTGCAACGCTTCGTCCGGGATCTGCAGATTGGGTATCAGCAGCAAGAACACCTTGGAGATCGTGAACCGCTTGCTGTCGGGGCTCAGCTTCGAGAGGACCTGATTGGCCCACTCATGCAGCTTCGCCACCTGCTCCTCCTTCGACTGGTTCGCGTTCTGCGCCGTGATCTCGTAGAAATCCGTGTACAGCTCGTCCGACTCTCTGTCTCCGCGGGCCAGCTCGCCCTCGTCCACCTTGGCGCTTTCCTTGGTCTCGTACCGCACAAAGCCGCCGCCCTCGACCTTCGCCTCCAGCTCCATCAGATTGTTGGCCACCAGGTCGCTCAGCTCGATGATCTCGTCTCTGTGGAAAACAGGCTGCACGTTGACAGCAGTGGACAGGTAGAGCTCCTTTGTTCTCGACTTTGACCGCTTGTCCCACTTCTTGAGCACCTTCGTGAACCCTGTCTCGTTCAGCTCGACAAACTGCTCCAATCGGTCTAGATCCTTGGAGAACTTCTTGAATCCATCGTACAGGGTGACAAACGCGATGGAGTTTTTCGTGACATTGTCGAGACGGCCGTCCAACAGCGCCTTGTTCTTCTTCTCGATCAGAATGTCCAGCCGGAACTTCAGCTCGGACTCCTTCTCCAAATAGAAGTTGTTGACCTTCTCGAGCTCTCGCTCTAGACGAAAGAAAAAAGAGCCCTTCTTGTCCTGCAACGACTGGTCATTGCTGTTGTTGGCGACCAGAGCGTTGATCAGCTTCTTGAGCGCTTTGTAGTTGATAAAGTAGCCCGAGTACTCGGGCAACTCCAGCTGGCGCGCGGCCAGGTACTTGCCAAACTTCATTAAAAGTACGAGATCCTGCCAACTTAATTTCACGGTGGAATTACGTCAGCGAAATTACAGGCCCTGGACGCCCGCACAGAGGGCCGGCCGGCGATCTCTCAGAGGGCGGAGGGGAGCGCTGGGGGCCCAGAAGGGGCTGCGAGGCAGACATGCGGCAGACGGCCACGGGAGACGGGGGCCTTCACCACCCGCGGCGCGCCTTATTAGAGACACCGCACGTGCTACCAGGAGCGACGATCGACGCGGGACGACCCGTTTGTCTCATTATCTATTATCGTATGCGTAGCGTACGTACGTTATATAACATAGTTTTCAGAGTCCAGCCGGCACGTAGGGCGGCGAATAAATCGTAAATGCAGTAGTGGCTCGTCACGAGCGCTAATAATAAGAATATGGTGTTCATGACAGTTCCCCGTTGATGAAGCTTTCGAACTCGAGCTCGACATCGTGCATGCCGTCGAACTCGTAGAAATCGTGGAAATGAAGATCATTTTTCGATTCTAGGCCCAGCACGAGGTCTGTGGTTGGCGGAGACAGCATGGAGTCGGCCGTGTCCGACTTGAAAATGGAGAAGGAAAGCTCCTTATCGGGCGACGAGGGCAGGTCGGCCAGCTTGAAGCCTTTTGGCGACAGCGACACCAATGTGGAGCCCGAGAGACTGTCCATGGTTTCGTTTGTTTTCGTGAGCGAGATGGAAGGAGTAGGTGTCAGGTCGGCGCCGTGGTCTGGATGGCGGTCTAGAAGATCGAGGTGGTCGTCCTCGGACAGCGCTGGGGACGAGTAGTCCATGTCCGGGTCGTCGAACTTGATGAATTTGTCCATTTCCTCGGTTTTCGGAGCAGCCGGCTGCTGGACCTGCTGCGAGTGGTTCAGGTCGATGAGGGACACGATGAGGTCATTAATGTCGTCATCGTGACTTCTTTTACGTGGAAATGATGGCGATGGGGTCGGAAGGGTCTCGTTTTTCTTCGATTTCTCTCGAACTTCGTTCTTCAACTTTTTCAGGTCGGACACAAGCTTGATGACCTCCAGCTTGAGGTAGTAGTTTTCTTCGTTGATCTTTAGAATCTGTTGCTTGAGAGGATTGTTCATGATGCTGGCCTCCAGGTCCAGCTGAGCGTGCGGCGTCTGCTTAGACAGCTTAGCGTCCTTGGGCTCTTTCACGGAGTGGGCATTAGAGTTTACGGCCTGCGAGGGTTTTCGACCGGGTTTTGGCCGAGGGGGCAGAACCCATTTACGAGACGTTTTGATCTTGATCGGCGGCTGTGCTAGCGGGTCTGGCGAGGTGCCCGGACTAGGACTGGCGTTGGTCAGAGGTGTGCTGATGCTTGTATCAGTTAGTGCTGGAATGTTAGCTGGACAGGCGAACGACAACATACTTTGATTCGACATGACTCATGGAACCCATTGAATTAAAAGATAGAGGTATTCAACTTTTGACAAAGGAAATCCAAAGTATATAAAAGGTTGGACGGAATCGGATGCAAAAAAATCGGCACCCCAACTTTGATGCTTCGCAGCTTGTATTGTCCAGGAGCGTAGTTACTTGATTTGGATTTTTTCCACCCCCATAGGCTGTCGCTGTTATTGTGGGTTATTATTTGCTGCAATAGAACTGGTACACACACGACCGCGACTCCGCGACATGCAGTATTCACCCGGTTGCTTCCGCGCTAGAAAGACGTCGGGGCTCACGCGAGCGCACGCGACTGGCAGCTTCCGTGGCATGGGCGCGCATTGCCAGTGGCCTTGGAGCACTGGCACAGGGTGTGCGTCCGACGCCCGCTCCCTTGGGCCGGAGGGACCGGACTGCGGGACATTTTATTTTCCACAAACACCCCCTTTGCTGACAATTTCCCGAGCCGAGAAGTTCTTGAAAAAGGCGCATTTCGGCAGGTGGATCTCTAAATCTACTCATCCCTTTGTCAATTTTTTTTGCGAGCATTTTCCAAACGTTCCACGGTGCAGCAAGCATTACGCAACTACAACAATCCGCAACAAAAGTACACTATTATTAGGATCTTCCCCCACACCTCTACATCTTCATGAAATCTATGAGGTCCAACGTTTTTTCCTGTTTCGGCTGCTTGTTTTTCAGCAGCTCACTCAGATTGTTCTTCTTCCTCTTGCGCGCGCGCTCCTTGCCGCTGGTTTTCTCCACGGTCTTTCCCGCCTCTTTTTCTTGCACCAGCACGTCCTTCGTCATTTCATGCTTGCATCCCAGACATCTGTAGCACAGCGCCCGCTTCCGAACTCCGTCCTTGCTCTCGTACCGCACACGAATCTGCAGATTGACTCCCGACACAAGAACCTCCTCGCACCGGTGACAGAAAATGTACCCGTCTTCTCCCACCGCCTCCGGTAGCACGAGACTGTGTCTGTCGCACGTCCTCACAAACCGCCGCCGCAGCTGCCGCCGCAGCCGGCGGTCTTTGGCAGCGTGCGCCAAGTTGTACTGGTAAACAGCCTTATCAGCCATGGCAAAACATCGAAAAAAAAAAAATAAAAAAAAAAAATTAAAATCCAGCATAGTACAAGTAATGCCATCTCTATTAATGCAATGATCTAAAGTCGGGCTCGCCTCCTCTTCACAGGACTGAACTTAGGACTCGGCAGCTCGAACTCGCGCTTCACACCGCCACAGATCCCAGTGTTGTTGGTGCTCTTGGTGTTGGTCACATTCCGCAATGCCGTAATAGGCTTTGCGCTCATGCTCTCGGTCAGGATGTTCTGCACGTCCACCACCCTCGTCTTGGAAGGTGTGGACGGCGGCGTGAAGTAGACCGACGTCTCCTCGGGCTCCTCAAACAGCGCAGGGATCTGTTTCTCGATGTACTCGCACCACTCGTCGCAATCGCTCTTGATCTGGTAGTCGATCACCTTGTCCCACGCGCTCGGGGACACCTCGCAGTCGTTGATGAAGATGACCTTGCCGTCCTGCCTCTCGTGGATGCGCCTGCTCAGCTGGCGCACGAGTTTGCGCACCCCGTCGACTTTCAAGGACGTGCCAAAGATGATCAGCAGATTCGGGTTCTTCGCCATGTCGCTCGTGAGCCCGCGCGCGAGCGAGTCTGCGTGCGGGTGGTGCTCGCCGTAGAGCACGATATCCGGCCGCAGCACGCCCACCGCGGACCGGCTAGCTCTTTTCCCCTGCTCCGCGCGCTCTCTGTATTTTGCCACGCAGTTCGGGCAATCGGGCAACTCGCCCTCGCGCAACGTGTCGCTGTTGGCGCGGTCCCACGCGAACCGGCTGAAGCACATGGTGCAGCTCAGCCGGTTCAGGTCGCCGTGCAATTGCACCACGTCGAGCTCTTTCCAGTTCCTGTCGACGCCGGTCCGGAGATCGCACTGCCGCTCCAGCCCGTCAATGTTCTGCGTGTAGCATTTCAGCAGCTTGCCGTGTTTTTTCAGCCGCCTGATAAACCAGTGGGTCTTTGTAGGCCTGGCAGTGCACGTCTTTGTGTAGAGCTGTTGCATGAACTTGCAAAACAGCATGATCGACTCGTCGTTTCTGAACAGCGAGATGTCAAACAGGTCTTTGCCCTTGACAATCGTCTGCTGTTTGTCCGACCGTTTCGCCAGGTTGTACAGCCCGTGCGCACTGCGAAAGTCGGGTATCCCCGCACTGCAACTGATGCCTGCGCCGGTCAGCACGACGACCTTCTTGCTTTTCGCGATGGCTTTGTTGATCTGCACGAGCTCGGCCTGTGACTTGGCGTCTAGCTGGAGTACCTTCATTGCTAAGAAGAATTCGCGGAAGCGAAACCTTCTTGGTGCAAACACTTTTTTCCGAATGGGGAAATATAAAAATACTCCTGCCAGGAGCGAGAGCTGCGCGCACACGGCTGCTATCTTTTTTTCGGGCGGCCCGTTCGCGGCCAGAAAACAGCCCTCGCCAGCAGACGCCCCGGTACGCGCCCTCCGCTGGCCATCTCGCGCATAAGTGGCAACACCACCCCGAGTGTAACTACACCTCGCACCGCTGGTAATTTACGGCATCACGGCTTTTTTTCGCAAGTCGCAAGCGCGAACCCTGGCCACGACAAAAAGATCTGCGCAGCACAGGGCGAAGGCGGCGTAGCGCGGCGCTCGGGGCCGACTGCCACCAGAAATTGCACCTCTCCGGCCAAAATCTGCCGCCGCAGCGATCTACAGCACACCCATGAGCGCTACATGCGTCTACTGGCCGGGTCTGTTCATGAGTCTATTCCACGAATCAATTAATTAATTATACGATTAGTCGTCCCAGGCACTGTAGTTTTCTCTGCACAGCTTCTTTCTCAGCTGGTGCCCCCACTTGTAGAAAGAGAACGGCAGCAGAATCATGGCCGTGGAGACGAATGCAAGCAGCCACGAGGCCCATTGCAGCCCCAGCTTGTGGTACATTTGCAGAGTGAATAGCGGGAACGCAGCGCCGCCGGCTGATCTGAGGAACACCTTGGTAGCCAGCGCGGACGCGGCGTACTTCGCGTACGTGTCGATGATGTAGTTGTTCAGCGAGTAGTAGATCAGCACCATGCCGTAGCCGAACGCCAGCCCGGACGAGGCAGGCCCCACCCAGATGATGTGTTTGTATGAGGTTGCTCCGAGGATCCACAGGGCAATGGCCGGGAACGGCGCGCCGATCATGGCGCCGACAAGACGGTCCTCCGGCGTCGGCTGCCTGTGCTTGACGGTTTTGACGTAGTAGTTCTCGAGCACCGGCGTGGTCAGCAGAGCGAAGAAGGCACCAATCAGGATCGGAATCAGCATCATGCCGATCAGGTCGTCGCCGTAATTATACAGCTTGCCGAACACGGCCGGATACGCAAAGAAGAACGCGTACAGCAGCGAGTAGATCAGGCACACGTAGAAACACATCATGTCCAGCACAGGCTCCGTGAGAGCAAACATCAACGGTCTGTACAGACACGTCTGGACCAGCTCCTTGAGCGACATGCCGACGGCCTCCTGCTCGGTCATGATTTTGGGGTTGCCCGTCTGCTTTCTGAGCTTCTTGGCTCGTTTTTTCAGGATCACAGGCGCATACGTCTCGGGGATCAGCGACGCGACGATCCACATGAAGCCGGCAAACGCAAAGTTGACCCAGAAGATCAGCTCGAGCCGGCCAGAGTACCGCGTGATGAAGCCGGCCACGAGCGGGCCAATCACGGGGCCGCCGTACGGAGCAGCAGCAAAGTATGCGATGGCCTTGCCTCTGGTCTCGGTCGGGAACAGGTCGGAGATCGAGCCGCCCACGTTGGCAAGCCCGGAGGCCGCGAAAACACCGCACAGGAACCGACACACCAAAACCGTTCCGATATTAGGAGCAACCGCACAGGGGATGTTGAAGATGAAGTAGAGTCCGAACGAGACGAAGTAGACCGGTCTCCGGCCGATCTGCTCCGACAACGGCGACCACAGCAGCGGGCCCACAGAGAAGCCGATCACCATCAGCGAGCAGGTGAGAATCGACACCTCCTCGCTCACGTGGTACTTGTCATTGATCAGCCCCAGAGAGCCGGTCACCACGGACGAGCCAAACGCCACGCACACCACCATCATCGACAATGCCATGGTGAACGTCCATCGCAGCGCAGGCCTCCAGTTCATAGGGTTTTCCGGGTCGTTGATCGTGAACGTGACGAACTCGATCTCCGGATCCAGCTCCGCAACACCTCCCGTATCTTTCTCATCGGACCCCGACGAGCTTTGCGAGTCACCCGGCGGCTTGGTCGCCGCCGTGTGGCTTCTGGCTCGGCCTATATCGTGCAACGTGGCCACAGGGACCAAACCTGTCTGCGTTTCCAAGGTGTATTCTTCAGGAAATACCGGATTCTCGACGTTTTGGGGTCGATTCACGTCGATCGCAGAAACCTCGCGCGAAAGACCCCTCTCTCGCAGTGACTTGACGGTCTCTGTCTTGATGACTTTGAGCGACTCTGATCTCGACAGAGTCGAGTGCATTTCTCCAGAAATTTGCGACCTGGCATCCTCCGGGTCGTACGCCTGTGGGGTGGTGCCCAATTCCAGGTCGGACGCCTGCGAAGGCGCCTCAGCGGGCGACCCGTAGTGCGAGCGATCGGGCGACGAGGACGAGTTCAACGATGCTATGGAATGCGACATGTGTTTTTTCAGGTCCACCCATTGGGGATCCCAATGTTTATATACATGCTCCAGCCATTAGCGCGTGACAGCTTGTGCGCACAAAATAGAGCTTCTGGAGCATTTTTTGCGTTATTTCTCTGATATATTTTGTGTGCGGCTTGAACAGGGTCCCATGATTCTGTGCCAAAGTATGCGCCCACACAGAATTGATTCCGGCAGATCGGATCACGCAGCAGAGCAATCGTTGCAAAGCTCGTGCGTTCTCGACCGCTTATCGGGCTGGGAGGGGTGTGCCTGGCTGCCCTTATGGCTGCTACATGTGGGGCGTCGGAGTGCGTCTTGGTTCGCGCTCGGTTGGGCACCTGAGCTTGCAATTCATTCCGGCACAAAAATTACGCGGATCGAGCACAAACTTCGCATCTTTTTAGCTTATTTTTTTGTCTTCTTGAACCAAACGACGCGGGCACTTGCATAAATAAGTGGCGAACAATATGCTGCAGCTATAGCCACAGCTGCCAAAAAGATAAACCCGAGTATCGGCTTCCTTGAGTCAGCGACCTCGTCCTGGCGTCGCTACGGCTGGTGGCGCGTCGATCGGCGGGTCGGAAAAAAATATTGAATAAATCAAATAAAATAATTTTCGTCAACCATGCTCGTTCCCTCATACTGGATAGCTGGTCTTCGGCGGGCAGCGACACTCCGCCACAGCCAGCTGAGAACTCTGAGGACGCGACCGGATGTGGTGGTCAAACGCCGTCCGGCGCAGCCAGATTTGGCACACCCCGGTGGCCCCCCGAGACCCCGGTCCAAGTTCCAAAGGGCGAACTCGTCAGATATCGAGTCCGCCAACATCAGCAAGCCGCCAGCACAAATAGAACGCGAGATGAAGCACCAGTTTGAAAAAGACGACCTGGACTATGACCCGGAGTTCGTCCAGGAGCTGATCCAGCAGTCCCAGCAGGAAGAGAAAATGTACAAGGATATTCTGCAGGACCCGGAGAAGGCAAAGGAGTACACTGCCAAGGAGATGCAGGCATTTGTTGAGTGGCTGGTGAGTGACTGTGAGGAGTTTCTGGCCAACCAGGACGTCGATACGGAGCAGCGAGACCGGGAGTTGGAGCAGACTGTCAATCACATAATCAATAGCGATCCGACGCCCGAGAACATGGCAGGCGCCTTTAGTGGCATGGAGAATATCGTGCAAGGGTTTAGGCGCCCTGGCGTCGAAAAGCTCGTGCAATTTTTGAGCATGATCTGCAAAAAAGGTAACGAGGAGCTAAGAAAGTATATTCCGCTGGATTCTCTGCTCAGAATATTCAATATTTCGACGCAGATCAGGGACCTGGAAACCCGCGCAAAATGTATCCACATGGCTGGAAACCTGATATACTCTGCCACAGACGCGCGCGCCGACCCGATCAACGAGATGTTTTATATCGAATCGCTCATGAAGTTCCACAAGGGCCAGACGGCAGAGAGACTCTACAATAGCCGTCGCGGGAAGCCCGATGTGGCCGGCCAGCGGTTCTGGAACGAGCTGGGAGTCCGCGTTTACCTTGAGAATTGGAAAATTGGCGACGCAGAGGCCCTTGCTGCCGAGACCAAGCAGCAGTTCCATTACGTGCACCCTACAATTTGTATCGCGTTTGCAGACTGGTACCTGGCCAAGGAGCAGTTCGAAGACGCCTTTCGATGGTGGGGCGAGCTGCGTGCGGTGATGAACAGCTTGGGCCTGATCGAGTCGCTGCCGCAGCCCGAAACACAGCTCCTGGACGACGAGCAGCTCGTGTACAGCTACCACAACCGCGAAGACCCCGTGACGTTCGATCACGTGACCGAGCTGGCGATCTCGTTTCTGCAGTGGAGGCGGTACGATGAGGCGATGGAGATTCTGGAGGTGACGACGCGGCGCGATAAGCAGTTCCTGTTTTACTTCATGGACAAGTTCTGCACGAGCATGAGCTTCCCGCAACGCGAGATGCTGCGGCACGTTCTGCAGTCCTCGAGCTACCACCCGTCGATGTCGAAATTTATGCTGAGCGAGCTTGCGGGCGCAAACGAGACGAGATCGCTGGAGCAGGCGGAGATCTTGGACGGCATCGTGACCTCTTTGCGCGAGATCGCGGACCTAAACATCATTTCGCCTAAAGAACGCATTGTTGCTTCCTCTATAATGGACTCTATAAAGGCCGGACAGTGTCTCACCACCATGGAGTGTCGGGAGCTGTTCAAGATGTTGCTGCGCATCAAATCGAAGAGAACGTACGTTCTGGCGACACAGGTGCTCAACGAGATGAACGAGACGTTTGAGCGGATGCCTGGCTCCGATAGACTCGAGATATTTCCGCCAGTGTCGTCGCATTTTTACCTGCTGCTGGTGCAATTATTTGGCCGGCAGAAAAAACCGGATCTTGCGAAAATTGAGGCCATTGTGAGGCTCATGGAGTCCAAGGGCATTGGCATGGTGACGCTGATGGCGAACCAGCTCATCCTCACTTACAAAAAAGCCGGCAGGCCGGATCGTGCGATCGAGTTTGCGCAGCACTACATGAACACCAACGAGAATTTTCAGCTCACCAACGATTTCTGCAAAATCACGCTGTCCGTGTACAGATACGTCCAGATGAAGTCGGCCACTCACAAGCTTGCATACAGAAAGCGTTTACAGGAGATACAGGACTTATTCAGAAGGGTGTGCCGTACTCCAGGCTTCGATGTGAGCCTGGAGCTGCTGAACGAGCTGACCCTGACGTTTTTGAAGTACGGCGATTACGTCTCAGCCATTTGCGCGCTGCAGCTGTACGGAATGGTGTGCAATAAAAGTTTGGAGAAGACGACTCTTTTGCTGGTGAACGATTACCTGGAAAAATCGTTTGCCAAAATGAAATCCAAGCTCACAGAATACGAGAACGACCAAATGCTAACAAGACTATCACAATTGCGCGAGACGATTGGGTTCAAGTCTCTACGGAATCTACTGGATAATCCGCTCGATCTCAATTGGAGAGACGCCGCTTCCTACATTATCCGGTACTTGAACGTGTTCGACTTCAATCCCAACCCTTTCTCGCTGAAAAACCACGATGGACATTTTACTTCAACGCAGGAGAACCAAGATGCCAAGACGCGGTTTGAGGATCTGCTGGTCAAATACCAGGAGGATTACCAGCTGCCAAAAATCCGTTTATCGGATATTGTACAATTATAGAGCCATGTATATAGGAAGGCGCGAGGAGTAGATAAAATTTTATCAGTAGAAAAAAAATTAAAAAAAAAAATTAAAAGGGAAACGTTCCTTTGTTAATTTTACTTCTGATAATGCCTCCAAAATTTAATCCAAGCGCCAGCACTTTTGTACCAGGCGATTGGGGCGTTCCGGCTGCCGGCTATCAGGGATATAATGGCGGCTCAGCATATGGCAACTCCACCGGATCAGCTATTCCTATCCGCGTATCCAAGAAAGCGGGCGGAAAGCAGAAACTGTCACTAGATGACTACCTCAGGTCCCAACAGCCCACTCACTCCAGCGGCATTTCTGACTCGGAGGTGTCACAGGTGTCGTCTGGTGCCAACACGCCAAGAGCAAGAGCGATGGACTCCACCACTTCTCTTTCATCGCTCAACTCTGCTCTTCAAAAATTGCAGGTTTCGCCAATCACCGAGCTTCTAAACAACATACAGACGTCCACCAAGCTGTCTGAGATTAGAGAAGAGTGCGAGAAAATTGTGGATATGATTTATGAGCATGGTGCCAGCGCCATCAACGAATGGGATATCCAGCAGGTTCTCGTGACCTTGTCGAAGCCGAAAAATCCTGCTTTGATCCGAGAAGGCTCGATGCTGCTGTTGCAGATTTTGAGCCGGAAGTTTGCCGGCAAGACTCCATACGAGGCATATTTTGTTGACCTATTTGCGCCCGCGTTTGATCTTCTGGCCGATAAAGAGAACACTGTGAAAAGATCTGCCCAGGCTTCCATCGACTCGTTGTATGGCATGTTTCCTGTCGAGGCGTACTCGTCCGTGTTGCTCAGCATGCTGTTGAAGTACCTCAAGTCTAGTGCGAAATGGCAGTCTAAGGTTGGCGCTCTGAAGACGATTGACAAAATACTGCAAGAGGCTCCTGCGGACCTGCTCGAGTCGAGATTTGTCGATGCTATTCCGGTTCTCACAGACATGGCCACAGACTTCAAGCCTGAACTTGCCAAGGTGGGCTATAAATCGCTAAATGACTTTGTGAAGGTTCTTGATAACTTGGACTTGCAACCACGTTACGACTTGATTGTTCAGACTCTTGCAGACCCTCAGAAAGTCCCAAACTGTATCAAGTCTCTTTCTTCCGTCACGTTCGTTGCAGAGGTCACAGAGCCTGCTCTCGCATTGCTGGTTCCCATCTTGGACAAATCATTCAAGCTGTCCTCGTCGTCCCAAGAACAATTGAGACAGACCGTGATGGTCACTGAGAACCTGACCAGACTGGTGAATAACAAGTTTGAGATCGAACACTACATTCCCATCCTGCTTCCTGGTGTGAAAAGAGTTGTCGAGACCGCTTCCCTTCCGGAGGTGAGAGAGCTTGCTACTAAAGCTTTGAGGGTGATTGAAGACGCGCAGGCTGAACAGTCTGACGGAAAATTCCATGGTAGATTATCTCTGGAAAAGGCCGAAGAGTATCTCACCGAAATCAAGCCCCAGATCAACGATTCTGTTATCTACGATTACATGGTCAGGGTTCTGCTCACCGACTCCAATGTCAACGACTGGACGAGACTCTCTGGGTACCTTAATATGAGTTTGGGAAATTTCCTGGATGAGGACGTCAAGAAGACATTTGTTGACAAGACCATCCACAAGCTCAGAGAGCTGTTCACTCCGAACGTTTTCGATGATTCTGAGGAGGACGGTGTTGTCATTGTGAACGCTGACTTCTCGTTGGCCTATGGTACCAGACTCTTGCTCAACAAGACCAACCTCAGACTTGTGAAAGGGCACAGATATGGTTTGTGTGGAAGAAATGGTGTTGGTAAGTCGACGTTGATGAGAGCCATCGCCAACGGACAATTGGAAGGATTCCCTGATAAATCAGAGGTCAGAACCTGTTTTGTCGAGCACAAGTTGCAAGGAGAGGAGGCAGACATGAACTTGGTGGACTTTATTGCATCTGATCCGGAACTGAAGGACGCCTCGAAGGAGCAGATTGCTTCCGCTTTGGAGGAAGTTGGATTCAACAGCGAGAGAAGAAACCAGCAGGTGGGATCCCTTTCGGGAGGATGGAAAATGAAGCTCGAACTTGCGAGGGCCATGCTTATGAAGGCCGATGTCTTGCTTCTGGACGAGCCAACCAACCATCTGGATGTTACCAATGTGAAATGGCTTGAGGATTACCTGGTTCAGCACACAGATATTACGTCTCTAATTGTTTCGCACGATTCTGGATTTCTGGACACTGTTTGTACGGACATCATCCACTACGAAAACAAGAAACTGGTGTATTACAAGGGCAACTTGTCTGAGTTTGTCAAGGTCAAGCCAGAAGGAAAGTCGTACTACACTTTGACCGACTCAAACGTGAAAATGGCATTCCCTCCTCCAGGTATTCTTACAGGCGTGAAATCGAACACCAGGGCCGTTGCGCGAATGTCCAACGTGACGTTCAAGTATCCTTCGGCCGAGAAGCCATCCTTGAAGAATGTTTCCTGTTCGCTGTCGCTTTCTTCCAGAGTTGCTATCTTGGGACCTAACGGAGCAGGTAAATCCACCCTCATCAAGTTGTTGACTGGCGAGCTGGTGCCTAACGAGGGAACTGTCGAAAAACATCCTAACCTGCGTATCGGTTACATTGCGCAGCACGCTTTACAACACGTCAACGAGCACAAGGAGAAAACGGCCAACCAGTACTTGCAATGGAGATACAAGTTTGGAGACGACAGAGAAGTGCTGTTGAAGGAGTCTCGTAAGATTTCGAGCGAGTCCGAGAGACAGATGTTGGAGAAAGAGATCGATATAGGTGATGGCAGAGGAAAGAGACAGGTCGAGGCCATCGTGGGAAGACAGAAACTCAAGAAATCGTTCCAGTACGAAATCAAATGGAAATGGTGGTTGCCTAAGTACAACTCGTGGGTTCCTAGAGAGAAGCTGATTGCAGAAGGGTTTGAGCCTTTGGTTCAGAAATTCGACGACCATGAGGCCTCCAGAGAGGGTCTTGGGTACAGAGAGTTGACTCCTTCTGTGATCAGAAAGCATTTTGAGGACGTTGGTCTGGACGGAGACATCGCCGACCACACTCCTATGGGCTCTCTTTCTGGAGGACAGCTTGTGAAGGTGGTGATTGCTGGTGCCATGTGGAATAACCCGCATTTACTTGTTTTGGATGAGCCTACGAACTATCTGGACAGAGACTCTCTTGGCGGTCTTGCGGTTGCGATTAGAGAGTGGAGCGGAGGAGTGGTGATGATCTCGCACAACTCTGAGTTTGTTGGTGCTCTGTGTCCAGAACAGTGGATTGTTGAGAACGGAGAGATGGTCAAGAAGGGTGTCACTGAGATCGATCAGTCGAAATTCGAGGACAAAGGCGGGGAGTCTGCTCAGTCTAGAGCAGCGGCCGAAATGGTGAACAAGCCTGCACCTTTGAAGAAGAAGGACGACGACGACTCGCCCGCCAACATCAAGGTGAAGACCAGAAAGAAGAAGATGACCAGAAACGAGAAGAAGGCTCAGGAGGAGCGCAGAAGACTGAGGCATTTGGAGTGGCTCAGCTCGCCTAAGGGCACGCCTAAGCCGGTCGATACCGACGAGGAGGAATAATCTATTTTATATACAGGGCTGTAACAATACATGATAGACCGAAGTCTACTAGTAGGCCACACATTATCCATGCGAGGAAGTACAGGATCTTAGGGCTGAACACTGTCCAGATAAAGAGATGAAACCTGAGGTTGTAGCAGCTTAGGATCAGCAGCAATCCGCTGACGGAGTAGAACGTCAGCGTGACCAGAAGCCGGTGGTACAGTCTATCCCAGTTACGGCCATCTGGCTTTAGGGTGAGATGCAAATAGGCCAGGGACCAGAATATAGGGGCAGCCCAGTTGCAAACAAATGTGAGCAGTCCGGAGAGAATCATATTGTAGCTGGACAGTCCGTTGAAAGAGTTTGTGAGGTCGACAGAGGAGAGCGAGTTTGTGAATCCAAACTGGAAAAAGCTGAGGTTTTGCATTAGGATGGTGAAGAGTGAAATAGCATTGAGGTTTGACAGCGGGACGAGTTTTTTGAATGACACGAGGATCACCAGCAGGAGAAAAAATATGGGGACGTTGTTGAAGTTCGTTTGGCTGATCAGCAGCTGGCTGAAGGTAGTTAATATGGACCGTGTGTAATTGTTCGTCGGGTCTGGGAGTTTCCATATTTTGTAAAATAGAGGTTTCAGAAGATGCAATGCGATTGCGACGAGCCAGACTTTGTAGAACAGACTAAAAAGCTGTTGATTTATTGTGTTAATGTCTGTCGTTCCCAGACGCTGGCCTATCCACTGAATGTAGTTGGAACACCAGTCAGGAATTTCCTTCAATCCAGACCTCAAGTCATAGGTCTCGGATAAGTAAGACAAAAACTTGGTCGAGAAGGTGATGAAACAAAGAAGCGACGTGCTGATAAATGTGACAAATCTCACAATCGTTCCATCACCCTTTCCTTTGACGGCAACTCCCTCTGTGACGTAGAAACAGTATGTTGCGAGAGTTGATGAGACCAAGAACGCAACCACGACAGGACCGATGTCTGGCGAAAGCGATGCAACATACGTCGCGATCTTCATGTTGCTTTTGATGTTGTTTTTCTGCCCACTGTTGTTCCAGGCTTTGAGGAGTCGAAGGCAAACCAGCAGCGCTGTGCAGTAAGATGATTTGGATTTCACGGTTATCGATGCAGCAAACAGCGTGGTGAAAAACCACCAAAGGTGATGTTCCTCTTCAATCATTGACGAGCCGAAGAAGTTGACGGCATACAGAATAAAGAACAATAGATCCACGGAGGCCTCCCAAAGGCGGTCTCGATGATGGGTGAAAAAAAGCGCCAAGCTAAGAAGTGCAGTGAATGCATAGCCAGCCACTCCGTAGAATATATCCGTGTAATTGTAGTCCGATGATGTTTTCAGCAGTTCACCTTTGGCGTCATGAAGAAAGTCTAGGAGGGTGGAGAGAGACGAGACATCAATCTCAGAGTCTAGAGACGTGACCTCGTTTCTGGATTTGTCAGTGAGGACTTTGAGTTGTAATGCGTTCTTAATTAGGACGTTCGTCTTATCTTTAGCCGAATAAAGCGGGAGCAAGCTTTGGATAAACGTACCCAAATTATTAATTGGGATTCTGAGACCAAGCAGGGTGGAAAGAGTGGGCACCAGGTCTATCTGGTCAATGTGGTCAAAGTAATCAAAATCCGCATTTCTCCGAACAGGCGCCTTCTGTCCTGACTGGAGCTTTTTGAATTTCGACGAAACCAGCAATAGACCAGCAGAAACTTCGCCAATCGAGGAGCCCCCGTGGTTTCCAACCTCATTCATTCCATGGTCGCCCATCACCACAAAGAGAGTGTTCTCGTCTTTCTCAACGGTGCTTTTGAATATTCTGCGAATGACGGAGTCCATCTCGCGCTGCTTTGCAGGCATGCTCGCGCTAGTAGGTCCTCCCTTGTGACCAATGTGGTCCAAGCCCAAATAATGAAGGATCAGACAGTCCCAGTCTTTCTGACCTTCTTTGCTCAGCTCGTAATCCAGATGCCGTGTAACGTTGTTGTCCACAATGGTGAAATCGCTCACGTAAAAACTGGCCGTGCCGTCTGTCTTTGCAAAATACGAGGGAAACAGCTTCAACCAGGTGTCGTCTCCAAACATGTTGATTTTCCACCCTGACGCATGCATCTGCTTCACCCACGAGTCCTGGTCCCCCAGGCTGGAGGAGGTGTCTTCCTCTGCAATATTGAGCACCGCATCAATGAAATTAGGCGTTGACCCGGTGGTTATACCCTTCAGACGAGGCAGGGTCACAGTAGGAGGGTTGGAGTAGGCAGTGTATCCCAACGCGTAGCCATCGTTGATGAGCCCGTGGACAAAAGTCATTTGGGACTCGTTTGAAAACAGAAAATCCGCCCGAAGAGCATCGATCACCATAATGACGGCGCGATCAAACTGTTTTGGGGGTTCATCGTAAACAGCAGGAGCAGGGGACTGAAAATTCTCAAGATCTTGGCTGGAAAGAAGGACCTTGGTGGGAAAAAAGCCTTTGCAAAACAAAAGATACGAACAGAGTTGGAGCAGCCAAACGAATGCGAGAAGTAAATAATTCATGGCACCTGTCTGTTCATAATAAACAAAGAAATGAATAGATCGAAAAAGAAAATAATTTATTTTATTTTTAATCACCCCTGTTTTTCCTTAATGATTGCCCTCAGACAGATAAAACTGAGCCGGAGCGCGCTTTTTGCTGGCAGACAGACAGCCCTGGTGACACAGAAGTGCTACAACTCAAAATCGGCCTTCAAGGTCACACCAGGTCCGCCAAAACTCGACAAGGACGACCAGGAAGAGTTTGAAAAACTAATTCACAGAGCCAACACACAAACCGTTATTGACGAGTACAACGAGCAACTCGGCTTCAAAGTCGACTCTGCACCCAAGGTCGACGTCGGAACGTTCTCGCCAGACAAGTTCAAGATCATTCCCGAGTTCGAGGGTAACGTGAACCCAAAGACGGGCGAAGTCAACGGTCCGAAACAGGACCCGCTCAAGCACGGCTCCGATTGGAGTTTCAACGGCAGGGTGACGGACTTCTAGGCCTTGGATAACGCATCAATTAGAGATTTTCGGAAAAATCGGGTTTTATACAGCTATGTCAATCATTAATCAAATACTTGTATTCTTGAGTTCCTGGGTGAGTGACTCGACCAGGCCCGTCCTCACATCCAACTTGGCCTTCATCCGGGCAACCTCGCGCGAATAGCCGGATGGCAGCGACACGTTGACCACCTCCATGTCCTTCAGCGACTCCACGTACTCCTGCACAGCCCGGAAATCGTTCTGCTTCTCGGCAATCAACTTTTGGAGTCTCTCCAGCTGTTTCACGTAGGCCTGTTCTTTGCTGGACAGCGCCGCGTTTGCGTGGTTGAGCGTCTCCATTTCGAGTTTCTCTTTGGTTGCCGCAAGTTCGCAGAGTCTTTTTTGTAGCTCTGCTTGCTTGCCGGCCAGCGCCTCTAATTTCCGTTTCGAGCTATTGTATCTTTTGAGTCTGTCCTGTCTGTTTAGTTTCGCCTCGTTGAGGGTGGCGATCTGGACCAGAAACTGGCTGCGCATCTGCTGCAGCTTTCTGTTCGACAAGGCCACGTCGTTGAACACGGCGATCAGCCCGGTGGTGATAAGCTCTCTAGCCTTATACAAAGACATGAGGTCTTTCGTGTCTGCAGTGAGCGGCTGGTTGGAGTTCATTGCGTATAGCTGTTTCTGGATCTTGGCCAGTGTCACTTTGGTGGCTGTCAGCTGCCGATTTAGATCCAGAGCCTCGTATTTTTCATAAACGTCCTGCGGAACCAGCTCGGTGTCCAGAGCGGCAGACGGCTGTGCGGGAGCGCACACCTCGAAAACAGCCGAGTTGGCAAACGCGTACGAGTGGCTGTAGCTCCAAATGTAGGCGATTCTGTGCTCTGCCGTAGCGTGGGGGATGGTGTACTGGAACGAGTCTGGCTCGCTTGTGGAGGCCGTTTCTGGAAGTCGAACTTTGCCGAGACTAGTGACTCTCGTTGGCAGCTCCGTTTTCAGCAAATCGCGTACTGCCGAAAGGTCGTTCGAGGCAATGCTGTCTGCAAGAACGTTCCACCAGTCGGCAAAGTCCACATGGAGCAGGTCCGACTCGGAGGACGTGAGGAGCACCGATGTGGGCTTGTTGGGCAGCAGCATACCGCCGATGATGGTTTTGGACCCGAACAGCGCACAGTCGACCATTCTGACGATGCCGGCAGCGTCTGGGGCCCGCTGGCCGTCAAAAGCCATGGGCTGGTCTTGGTCGTCAAAGAGCACCGCCAGAGCCTTGTTGTACACGACACAGAACATGTCGTTTTCCATTGGAATCAGTTTTAGCGCGTCCTGCTCGTATAGCTCGTCTGGAAACGGCTGGATGCTCAAAGGCCCGACAAGCTTGCCTCTGCTGAGGTTTGAGGGAAGAGCCTTACTTATCGTGCGGACATGGCCGTTCGACTGCGACAAAAGCGATGCAAATTTCAGCATCGACACCGTCGACAGATCGTCTGCGCCGCTGGCGTTGTACTTGAAACTTGCGTAGTCGAACAACGCGCCCAGCCACTCCGATGAAACAGCGATGTTGGCCGGAAGATAAGGGTAGATCTTGTAGACGGACGAGTCCGAGGACAGAATCAGCAGCGTGAGGTCGCCACGCGGGTTGACGGTGTCTGTGTTTGAGCCGAACGCAAGAGAAACCGGGTCTATCACGTCGACTGAGTGTGCTCTGGCTAGCGGCGCACCTGTCCTGAGCCAGTACGTGTGGGTCGGCTTAGTCAGCGACGAGCCGAGGTCGAAGTTGTAGATGGCGTCTGTAGTCAAAACCACCAGCTCGGCGCCAAACTGCGATAACCTGTTGAAGATAATTTGCACAATGTTTTCTTTGTGTTGTAGATTGATATTGATGGAGTACGCGATCGCGTGACCGATCTTGGAGCCGGGCTCGTTCAGTGATACCACAGTACAATGTGTGGTGTCATAAAGGCACAACAAATCGTCATTGGGGCTCAAACAAAGCCTTGTGGGACTGAACTCCAGAACGTTGTCCAGATAGTGCGAACCGCTCGCCAGGTTGGTGATCTTGATCTTCCGCTCCTCAATGGAGATGATCTCCTGTCCTGTGCTTCTCGTGATGTTCAGCGCGGTGGCCGAGACGTGGAACTGGGCGCTTAGACGGCCAATTTGTTCCGCTAGCACAGACATGTTTGGAAGAGATAAAATAAAATTAATTTTTCTGCGACAAAGCTAAATTTTATTATGCCTGAAAATGGTAGCTATTTGAATACGTCCCAGAACTCGCCAATAGAAATACATTTTGTGCGCCACTTGGCTGCCAGCACAAGCTTCTGGTTCGCCAGAAGCTCTGATTTGGGCAGCTCGTCGTTGAATATTAACAGCCCCGTGCTTTTCGAAAATACACTGCTCAGCTGGCACGTCTTCAGCTTGGCCAGGTGTTTCTCCAGATGCGTGAGTTCCACGCCTTTAAACCCGGTGATCGACACCACCCGGTTCGGGACGCCCTCGAATAAAGCCGACTCGTTTTCCGGATGCGGGACAAACGGCCGCGACCACATGCTGTCGAAGTCTCGCGTCTTGTAGTAGATCGATCGCTCCAGAGCCAGCTCTGTGATTACGCTATCCTTTGCGTCGGCCACGAGCGAGTCCAGCATCGAGCTCACAACCGTGTAATCTGCGTTGTCCTGGATTTTGCCGCGATGGCTTGTGATCACCTTTTTGAGAATGCTTTTTTGCGAGTCTGTGTATCCTGAGCCGAGCGCAAACGACACTCCTTCAAATAGCATCGATTCCGTGCTCACCTGGCTGGAATCCAGCACGGAAACCTGCGAAAAACTCTCTTCCTCCTCCTGTTCCTGACTCCAGTTGTCTTCCAGCCCGCGTTTCAGATTAGACACCTTAATGTTGCCCATGATCGACTTCCACACCTTATTCGTTCTATCCACCTTCCGCACTTTCAGATCGCGCTCCTTTTCATAAGTGTCAAGAGTGCGCTTCGCTTTTTCTGTCTGCAGTTTGTCCTGCTCGGCCTGCTTCCATGCGCGCACCTTTTCCCAGTCGCACGCGTCATCGCGGCGGCCCTTGCTGTTTTCTCCCGTCAAAAAGTACTCCGTCACGCTCAGCATGCCGCCACGCTCAACGCTGTCATATACCCAGTCCGGAGATACCACGGGAACGCCCCATTCGCGGGCCTTGGAGTACCTCAGACCTTCAGGAACGGTGGTCACAAGCACGTCCGACGCCGTGCTGATCGACTCCACCACGCTACCGCCGTTTGACTGGACCATATGTCTGATTTTCGCGCTCAGCTCTGCGTCTAGCCGGCTGATCGACACGCTCAAGTTGTCGAAAACGGGCATGATCTCGAGTTTCTCGGGTCGTAGGCCCACCTCGTCGCCGCGCAGCCACAAGTTGTACGTATTAAGGACGGTCTCGTACGACACAAGCCGGATATCGGGCCGCGAGCTGATGGCATGCTGGTATTTACGGCTCTGGGACCATTTGTCTCTGCCGGAGTGCACGATAAGGATACTGGTCTCGGAGGTCAAGTTGTCTTCAAAGGTATCGTGGGGATACATTTTGGCAAGGATTTTCGTGAGATCAGCACGTTCAGACGCCGTAAGCGAGGTGGACGTTATCACAGCCATGACATGTCCGAGGAAGTAAAAAATAAATTAAACAAAATAAATCGATAAATAAAAAAAATTCAGACGCTTCTATGAGCACAAGGAGGTCCAAGAACACAAAGAGCTTCAACGGCTGCTTCACCTGCCGACGGCGTAAGGTTGCCTGCGACCTGGGGAAGCCTGCCTGTGCCAAGTGCCAGAAAAGCGGGTTTGTTTGCGAAGGCTACGACGTCAAGCTCAGATGGAGCTCCTTTGTCAAATTCGATAAGTACGGCAACCAGCTGCCCAACGAGACCAACCACGAGATTGAGTACTACCAGCGACGATCGATCCCATACGTCAAGTATCCCCCGAACCAGCGATATACGATGTACTCGCAGCTAGACGACGCCCTGGCGTCGCTGGCCAAGCACGAGATCGCAGACGACGAGGACGGATCGCGGCAGCAGGGCCCGTTCGGGGTGTTCCGTGGGGTGTTTGCAGACCGCCAGCCGCCGGCAAAACGAGCGAAACCGGCCAAAGAGGAGAACGGTCCTGCGGGAGCCACGGGCAACGGGAATCTGGGAAACGAGTGGCTGAGCACGGAGCTGCTCGATGCGGCGCTCTTGACGGCGTCTGCGTTGAACGGAGACACGCATTTTCTCGATATGTTCAAGAACGACGCGCTCGAGGCGATCGGCGAGATCGACGACACTGTCCAGCCTGCCGAGACCGTCTCTAACCAGATGCTGCACATGCTGTTCCAGGGCCGCAATAGCCAGAGCGACTTGAACCCGCACAACAGCCGCGAAAACAGCCATTACCACGCGGACTCTTCGTCCAACCTGATCAACATCCATGCCGGCAAGGGTGCGAATATGCCCAAGACCATCATGGAGATCATCGAGACTGCTCCGCTGCCGGCAAGTATCGCGATAGACAAGTTTGGCATCCCCAACACCTCTCTGACCGTCCACCCCATGACGCGCTACTTGCTGAACTACTACATTGAGCATCTGGCCGACATGATGACGGTGATCCCGCTACCCAAAAATCCCTGGAAGTTCATCTATTTCCCGCGTGCACTGATGGCCGTTGGCGAGCTGGCGTCGATCGGCCGCACGTCGAACGCGCGCAACTGTCTGCTGAACGCGCTGCTGGCAGTGAGCGCTTTTAATCTGCAGAGCAAGTTCACACGCGGGTCTGACGAGATGAAGTACTACGTGGATCTGGGAATCCAGCTGCGGCAGCAGGCCACGAACTTCCTCAACAGGTGTCTGGAGGAGGACATTTTGAAGCAGAAGTACAAGGACGTGCTGGTGGCGGTGCTGTCGATGGTGACGATCGACGTGGTTTGGGGCACGATGTCTGGTTGCAAGATCCATCTGGACCACTGTGAGAAGATCATAGAGAAAAAGATGAAGGTGAAGAAGAAGTTGAGCACCAAGGCGGTGATCCTGCACCGGATCTTCAGCTCGCTCAAGCTCATCCAGGACTCGACGTCGCTCGAGAACATCTCCAAGCAGGAGATATTTCTCAACGAAAACAACTACTCGTCGTTCATTATCGGCAGCCCGGCCTCCACAGAGGAGGTCCAGCGGTTCAACAGCAACAACGTGATCGGAATCAAGAAACGGCGCCACAAGCGCGACGCTGCGGCGCCTGTGGCGAGCGAAGAGACTACGGACATCAAGTCGAAGGGAGTGTACAACGAGAAAATCACAGATAACGGAAAAGTGCGCATCGAATACATCGTCAACCAGGTGGAGTCCGTGGAGCACGAGGAGGGCGGGTCGCCGAAGTCGGAGGTGCCGGCGTTCATCGACATCACGCGGACGAGCTTCCAGCCGTCGAAGAACAAGCTGGAGGACAAGATGATCTCGTCGGACGCGATCTACGGGCTGCCGAACTCGCTGATTCTGATTTTCAGCGAGGTGGTGCATCTGATCCGGTTTAAGAAATTCCACAAGGACCAGGGCCTCGAGCTGCCGCTTTTTTTCGACGAGCTCTCGGATCAGCTCGAGTACAAGCTGCTGAGCTGGCAGCTGGAGTGGACGCTGACGCAGGACGACGACGACACGGCGTACATCTCGCCGCGCCACGAGGGCATCTACCACCACGTGATGTCGTTCTACCACGGACTCGTGATTTATTTCTACCGGTTCGTGGAGGACGTCAACCCGATGTACCTGCAGGAGCGGGTAGAGAAGGTTCTGCGCCACCTGGACCAGATCCAGAACATTGTGGAGCAGCACAAGGACACCTGCTACATCATTCCGCTGTTTTGGCAGGGGTTTGTGGCTGGGAGCGAGGCGATGACGGTTTTCCTGCAGAATGGCTATAATCTGTGGGGCCACAAGATCAGCCAGACCGGCGTGGGCACGTACTGGAACGCGCGGCAGATCATGCTGGAGATCTGGCGGCGGAAGAACTACAACCACCAGAACGACAGCTGGCCGGACGTGCTGCGTGACTGGAAGACAAACGTGATGTTGACGTGAATCGTAAGTTTTTTTTTTCAGATTTTTTTATTTTATTTTACGTGGCGCATTCAGGTAGCCAGCTAGCATTTTACCATTTTGCCATCGTTCAAGTCCGATGAAAATTAACACTCTGGTGGCCACGGCAGCGGCTTTCTCTGCCACCGCGCACGGGTTCGGGCTCCAGGAGGTGTCCTCTCTCGAACACAAGCCCAACACGCTGCCTGCGCAGTACCAATACGAGAACTTCCACCAGTTCGAGAACACTCCGTTCAGGGACTGGGACCATTTTGTGCAGACAGTGATCAAAGACAGCTCGAACGTGACGTTTGCAGACATCAACGAGCTCAACGAGCGCACCAGACCGCTGCTGGGGCGTCTGACCAACGAGAACTTCTTCAAGATCTTCCGACTCAACTTGTACAAAGAGTGTCCGTTCTGGTCCAACGCCGAGGGTTTCTGCATGCACAAGAGCTGTGCCGTCGACACTATCGACGACTGGAAGAACCTGCCCGACATTTGGCAGCCCGAGGTGCTCGGAAGGATCGAGACGATCTCCAAGGAGCCTCCAAGCACGAACGGATCGTGCATCGCGACGGGGGCCAAAACGGGCAAGGACTACTGCGAGATCGACGAAGTCAACGACGAGACTGTGTACGTGAACCTGGTGGACAACCCGGAGCGGTTCACGGGCTATGGGGGCGACCAGTCGTTCCAGATCTGGCGCAGCATCTACAACGAGAACTGCTTTAACTTGGGGGCCGAGCAGTGCTTCGAAAAGAATTTCTTCTACCGGCTCGTCAGCGGCATGCACTCCTCGATCAACACCCATCTGAGCAACGAGTATCTGAACTTCGAGACAAAGGAGTACGAGCCGAATCTCAAGCAGTTTATGATCCGCGTCGGCGACTTCCCGGATAGAATAGAGAATCTATACATGAACTACATTTTGGTGGTCAAGGCGCTGATCAAGCTGGACCAGTCCGGGGTGTTGCAGGAGCTGACGTTCTGCGACGACGGCAATTTCCAGACCAAGGAGAAAGAGCTCAAGAGCGAGCTGCACGAGATGGTGCAGCCCTTCTACCGGCTGGGCGACTCTCACGAGTGTCTTTTCAATGAAAATACTCTTTTCCAGAACGACGACGCGGGCCAGCTGAAGGACGAGTTCCGACAGCGGTTCATCAACGTGTCGCGCGTGATGGACTGCGTGCAGTGCGACAGATGCCGGCTGTGGGGCAAGCTGCAGACCACGGGCTACGGAACTGCGCTCAAGACCTTGTTTGAGCTGGACCGGCGCGACAGGCTGAGCACGGACTTCCAGATCTCCAAGATTGAGCTGATCGCGCTCGTCAACACGTTCGACAGACTATCCAAGAGCATTGCCTCTATCAACAATTTCAAAAAGCTGTACGACGCGGCCCTCAAACAGGAGGAGGACGGAACGGTCACGACAGCGCAGGACTTCGTTTTCACACAGGCGCTGGACAGCGCTGTTTTGGGCGAGACGTCGCGGTCGCCCAGCGACATGAAGTTCCCGCCTCCGCGTTCCGGGATTGACCTGGCGGCCGCGTTCAAACAGGAGCTCGGAAACGTCCTGGACGCTCTCCGCTTCGTTCTTAGCAGCTACAGGCTGTTCCCCAAGATGGTGTACAACTGGGTGCTGATCCGCGCAGTGTACTACTGGAACATGTTTGTGGGACACGTTCATGAAGATTTCGATGTTAATAGGTTATACAGGTTAGAATTATAGCTGGGGTGCTGGCATTGATTACTCTTTTTTCTGTGCTTTTTCGTCAAACAGCTTTTTGGCCTTGGAGATCTCTCTGTCCATTTTCTGCAGATCGTGGATTCTGGCGAGCTTTGTCGGGTCTTTGCGGAGGACGAACTTGACGTCCTCGATCTTGAGTCGGTTGCGGCCGTGGGCCAGCCTCGAGTGGTTAGCGGCGACGATCAGGTCGATCATGTACGTTGTCAGCACGTCCTCGAGCGTCTGGATGGTCTCGTGGTTGGGTGTCGGCGAGTCGCCGAACGCGTACAGCAGCGCCTTCAGGTCGTTGCTGAACAGCCGCTGTCTATTTCTGTACACCGGTTTGCGGTAAGATGACATAAATAAATATTAGAAAAAATAATTAAAAGCCTCTTCATGATCTCTAAAGACCGGGTGCTCACCGTAGAGCAGATAAAGGCCAGGATCGGGGCGGGCGACATTTTGGTGATCTACGACAAATGCGTGCTCCGGCTTAACAGCTGGATCAAGATCCATCCCGGCGGAGACAAGGCCGTGCACCACATGGTGGGGCGAGATGCCACCGACGAGATGAACGCATACCATTGCGACGAGACGATCGCCACATTCAAGCGGTTCCAGATCGGCCGCATCGACCACGACTGGGTCAACCTCGTGCCGCCTATCCAGGGTGGCCAGTACGCTAAGGCTGCTGATACGCCTCTTCCGGGCCAGATGCCGGCCGAGGTGGCTCCAAAGTTCCCTGTGGGCGTCGTGCCGACGTCTGCCAGCATCCGGATCGAGCAGGGCCCGATCCGGGACCCGCAGACCGTGATAGAGAACTTTGACAACCTGCTGGTGAAGAAAGATCTCGAAACGTGGCCGTCGCTCGACTACAACACCCAGAAGCTGATCTCGCAGAAATACGCCGAGCTGCACGACAAAGTCAAGGCCGCGGGGCTGTACGAGTGTCCGTACGTGGAGTACTACAAGCAGCTGTGCATCAACGGGGGGCTTTTCCTGTACTTTCTGGTGTTTTTGAAGATGAAGTGGTATTTCCTGAGCGCGGTCGCGATCGGGCTCTGCTGGCAGCAGCTGACGTTCATTGCGCACGACGCCGGCCATTTGGCCATCACCCACAACTACTACATTGATAACTTCCTCGGCGTGCTGGTCGCCGACTGGATGGGTGGCCTGTCCCTGGGCTGGTGGAAGAGGAACCACAACGTGCACCATCTCGTCACAAACGACCCTGTGCACGACCCAGACATCCAGCACTTGCCCTTTTTCGCCGTCAGCACGCGGCTGTTCGGCAACGTCTACTCCACGTACTACGAGAAGACGCTCTGGTTCGACCGCCTGGCCAAGGTGTTGGTGCAGTTCCAGGACCGGCTCTACTACCCGATCCTCTGTTTTGGCCGCTTCAACCTGTACAGACTGTCCTGGGAGTACCTGCTGACGGGGAAGAGTCCGCGCGGAAAGGCGTGGTGGCTGTGGTACTTCGAGCTCGCGGGGCTGTCCTTTTTCTTCTACTGGTTCTTCTACCTACTGATCGGCTCGCTGGAAACATGGCGAGACCGCATCCAGTACATTCTCGTCTCGCACGTCGTCACCATGATTGTGCACGTCCAGATCACGCTCAGCCACTTCGCCATGTCGACCTCCGACCTCGGCAGCTCCGAGTCGTTTGCGGCGCGCCAGCTGCGCACCACCATGGACGTGGACTGTCCCGAGTGGTTCGACTTTTTCCACGGCGGACTCCAATTCCAGGCCGTCCACCATCTGTTCCCGCGGCTCCCCAGACACAACTTCCGCAAAGCGCAGGCGTACGTGCTCGACTTCTGTCGCGAGACGGGGCTGAAGTACTCCATCTACGGCTTCGTCGACGGCAACAACAAGGTGCTGCTGCACATGGAAAATATCGGCAAGCAGGTCAAGATCATGCAGGACTGTCTGCGCAGCATGGCTCTGGAGTCGACGGAGCACAAGAACATATACGAGAAACGGGTCCAGCAGGCGATGACCGGGACGAAAATTATATAGACCGGTATGGATTATATCAGAGAGTCGTAGGCCGGTGTCGCGGTGCGCAGCTTGGGCGCCATCGTCTTGTTCCAGTCGATTGCGGGCGGCGTTGGCTGCGGCGAAGACACCCGCGTCGCCTTCATCGGCTGCATGACGGCCAACGTCTGCTGGCTGTGCACAGTTTGCGGTTGCGCGCTAGCTGCTCCGAACGACAGGATGTCAGGGGCTGCTGCCTGGGCAGCCGGGGCAGCCGGGGCGACCGGCAGGGCGTACTGCTTGGTAGGCTTGAGGCGCAGCGGCGCCGACTTGGACGGAGCAGCCTGGAAGTCCTCGAAGTCCTCTAAGGGATTGGCAGCTGCGGTAGCAGAGGCAGCAGAGTTGACAACGGCAGGCAGTGGAGACGAGTCTGCGTTTGTCTCCTTGAGCTTCGCAGTGACGGAGTTTCTTAGATACGTCTCTATCTCCCCGATGATGCGGAATATGCCGTCGAGGTCGCTTTTTCTGGACACAAAATTAGTGAGCTTCCAGAGCTGGAAAAAAATCGAGTCACGGATCAGCTCCGACACGTCAACCTCTTGTTTCGCGACAGAGATGGTTGGCGGCGACCTGTTGAGCTTATGAAATAAGCTTTCGTATAACCGCACCATGTTCATCAGCAAGTTTGCGTTCTTGAAGTTCGAGGCTTGCGTGTTCTGTACCAGGGGCAGCAGCTTCTCGACGATGATGTAGTTGTCTAAGTTCTTATCGTTCATCCCGCTGATCATAAGTATGAACGCGTTGATGGTGAGGTTCTTGATTTTCAGCGAGCTTGTTGTGCTGAACAGCTGGCAAACCGCCGGAAATATCTGCGTAGTAATGGCGGAGTATGTTTGGTAGTTGAGGAAGACGGCCAGACTGGTGAGCACTTTCTCCTGCAGCTGGACGGTGCTGGGGTCATTGCTGGCAACCACAGACTTTTCAAAGAGTTTGCTGAGCAGTTTCTGGAACAGCTGTGTGTGTTTGGACCCGAGATCGTTCTCGTTTGCGCCGAGTTTCGTCCTGACGGTGTCAATGTTCGAGACCAGCAAAAGATCGTAGCCAGGCATGTTCTGCTCGTTTAGGATTCTGTTGAGCAGCGGGAAGATCTTGTCGCTGAAGGTGAGCTGCGAGAGTTGGTTGCTGAGGATGAGCAGGTTCTGCGAGGCGAGAATAATGATTTTCTGGTCGTCTTCGCTCACTCTCTTGGCAGAAAGCAACGGGGTGATCAGACCAGACAGCAAGGGAATGAACTTGTTGATGAGGAGAGCGCGCGGGAAGCTGGAGAGGTCCTTCGTCAGATTCGCAAGGTACTCGATCTTCTCCTGCTGCGAGAGTGTCGGGAATTCGTCTATAACATTGAGGATCCGAATGAGGTCGTTGTTGAAGATCTTGGACGCCAGCAGGTCATCAACAGTGAGCGGCGTCTGCAACACGAGCACGTCCTTGTTTGACTCCTGGGTTTCTTTCAGCAGACGGATAAAGATGTCGATGTAGTTTCTGGGAATGCTGTTGAAGCTTGCGTGGTTGTGTAAGTTCGCGGAGCCCAGGATCTGTTTAAGCTTGTTAAACGACCGCTCGTACTCCAACAGGCTCGAGTTCGAGCATTCCAGCAGAGACCGTCCGTCGTTGAACAGGTAGAAAATTAGACAACCAACAGAAAAAAGATCGTTGATGTAATCAACGTTGTGTTTGAGTAGCAAGTTTGGCGACGAGTACTGAAACTCAATGCTCATGAACGACGGAAGCCGCGAGTCCAGCGGATCGACATACTTCTCCTGCACTGCATTCTCCAGCACCTCAATAAACTGCATCCCGGATATTTTCCAGTCAAAGTTCTCCGTCACGAAGACAGAGCTGGGTGTCAGGTTCATGTGGACAGTGTGGACGCTCTGGTGGAGAAACTTGAGTCCCGAGGCTATTTGCAAGAGGCCTTTGGTGATGATGATTTCGTCCAGATCGGACTTGTTGAGCGTCGCCAGATCGTCAACCACGTACTCTGTGACGAACAGCATCTTGTTCTTGTGGTGTTCCAGAGGCTCAATCACCGTCAAAAAGTTCGGGTGCTTGAACTTGGACAGGTTGCCGACGTAGTTGCTCAGCACAGTGCAGATATCGTCCATGAGCATTGTGCGGTTCGTCCTGTTCAGAACCCCGTTGGCCTGGAGACGGGCCTCCAGGTCCTTCTTGCTGAACTGCCAGACCGAAACCTTCTTCTTGGTCGTGCGGTGCTTGGCCGGATAGATCGTCCATGTGTTGTTGGAAACAAACAGCGGATTTGCCGAGACGGAATAACTCGACTCGATTCCGCTCCCTTTAAATACTTTGAACATAAATCACCGGAAGTAAATTGAATATAGAAACTAAAAAAATAAAAAAAAACATTTCTGTCTACACTATCACACACTTGTCCGGCTTCGAGTCCTGTTTAGCCGCCCTCTTGTCCTTGGATTTCTCGCGCTTAGCGCGCTCAGCCTCGTACTCGCGCTGGATGTCGCGTGCGAGCCGCTCGTCCTCCTGGCTCTGCAGTTGCGCAGCCAGCTGTTCGTCTGCTCCCGCAATAGGATCGTCTCCATAAACAGCCTCCTCCGCGTGTTCCTGCGGCTTGTCTGACTCGTCCTCACGAACCTCGAAATAGCCGTTTAGCAGCTCATCGTCCGAGCCCTTCACAGTCTTCAATTCCTCCCAAACAATGCCGCTCCCGTAGCCCTCGTCGTTCGCCAGAAGATACAGCCTGTTGTCGAGCTTGTACAGCGTGTTGAAGTGGTCGTTGCGGAAAAATATCACAAACGCGTTGTTCGGGACCAGCTCGGAGTCCGTCTTGAGCGTCTCGAGCCCAGCCTCCGTCAGCTGCGTGCTGTTCTGCGACAGAAAGTCTCTGTACAGCACGTACTTGTGCAGCACCTCCCGCTCTGCGTCGTCCACCTCGAGCCCCAAGACCTCGCTCGCCGGCATCGTCTCCAGCGCCACGCCGCTGTGCCTGTCTATCACGCTGATTAGAAAATCCTGGATCTTGTCAAACGTGTCGTACTCGGCCCACGGCTCCCTCATGAGAAACCCGTGCACCATCTTGAGGTCAAACAGGTCCAGCAGCTGCAAGATGCTGGCTGTCTGGTCCCCGAAATTGGCAACGACGGCGTTGTCGAGCTTCAAATTCACGTTGAGGCCCGTTCCAAGCTGCGGCAACACGTTCAGAATGGCCCCGATGTCCACGGAGACGCCTCTTGTCTCGTTGAGCGTGAGCATCAGGTGGGTCAACTCATTGAGCAGCGAGCTCAGACTGACTTCTCTCGACAGCAGCATCTTCTTGAGCGAGAACAGCATGCTTGGCGGGATGCTGTTGCCGGCCTTTATCGATGTGCTGGACCCCTTCTTACCCACTGTGCTCCACTCCTCGCTGGATATCTCGCTCGACAAGATCAGGGTGTTGACAAGGGAAATCACGAAACAGGGCCCATTCTGGTTCTGCATGAGGACGTTGTTCATGTGGTACTGGCCGAGCCAGTCGCGCCAGTTGATTGTTTTTGTGCGGAACTTGAGGTCGTCTTCCATGGTAAAAGATTATTTGGCACGAATACTTTTTTTGTGGGGCGCAGCGTGCTTGGCGGGGGAGGACGCGGTATCCTGGGGCATGCTCAATTTTTCTGTGCTACGATAGAAATGAACAGTGAACTACTCTGTGGGTCCTATCTCCGGCTGAGTGCGCCTCTGTTTACTAAATAATAAATAATTAGTCAGAAAAACGTTTAAAATGTTTTCTCGACTGTTGGCGGCCCCCGCGCGCTGCCGTCGATTCGGGACGCTTTCCTGTCTGCGGAACGAGGCGCTGCCGCTCACCTCCGACCCCCAGCAGTATGACCAGGAAGGTCGCGTGATTGAGCTTCTGAAAAGCATCAGTCCCAAGCCAGTGCCCAAATCAAAGTTCCCCTACAAGGAGGCTGCAGATAGGTCGAAACGGTCGTTTCTGCCGCGCGTGCCCGAGCTGAATAAGCATACCGTCAACAGGTACATTTATGAGCTGACTAACTTCACGTACGCTCACGGAACTCGCGTGCTGATCAAGGAACTGCTGGCGCAGGTGGTCGAGTCGACGCCGGACCTGCTCTCCAAACAGTCTTATCTGGACATTGTGCAAGACATGCACTTCTACCTAGACGATGCTGGTGCAGAGGAGACGATGGACCGTATGGAGGAGTCTACGGCGTTCAAACGCGACATCGACTTCCACAACGTGATGATGGCCTTCACAGTGGGCAAGACGACCTACGACGGCAGAATTGAGCGACTGCAAAAACTCGCAGCACAGGGGGTCCACGCAAACGCCAATACGTGGTACTATCTCTTCCGCGCTCTCAGAACACACTCCAAACGGTTTGAGCTGCTGGAGCTGATGCCCGAGTACGGCGTCGACCAGGAACCGGTGTTTCGCAGCGCAGTTCACAGCCTGTCGAGAAAGTGCGGATACCGCGAGCTGATCGACTTCTACAATGCGCACGGCTACACTCTGGACAACATGGACACTTATATGCTGAACAGGCTCTGCCGGGCCTATCTGAACGAGGGCGCCGTTGCTGAGGCGTTCGACCTAGCGCACGACATGCACATGTCGGCACGAGCCAGGGCCAACCTGGGAACGTTCTCGGTTTTCAACACATACTTCATCAATAGAAACGAGATATACAACTCCATAGCGTTCTGCCACAAGTTCCAGCACCAGTTCAAAATGAAAGCGAGCCACCTCCTTGCATACGAGCTTATAGACAAATATTTGACCCGATGTACATACTTCGAACACTGGCCGCAGCTCACGCGGTACATGGTGCACATTCTCACGCACAACACAGCACACAAGAACTTCCTACGGGATGGACATTTCAAGCTTTTGGCCAACTACGCTCGAATACACGGACTTCAAGATTTTGTGTGCAGGGCAGTGGAGCCTGAAGACCTGGCGTTCGGCCAGGAGATGTGGAAGGCACTGCATTGGCCTAGAAATGTGATTCCGTCGTCGTTGGACCAGAATAGCGAAAAATTCATCGAAATGGCCAAACTCATCTCACCGACCCCAAAAACAGACAAGGACTTAAACCCATCAGATATATTAAAGTCTAGCTAGCATAGTTATATTGCGGATGGTGAATAGCAATATGTGTTTCATAAAATGTATTAAACGTGTATTAAGCTTGTTTAATCCTCTTCTTGTCCTCCGAAGACGGCGAGCTGTCTCTTCTCTTTTTGCTTGAAAACGTGCTGGTCCGCGAAGACGCGGAGTCTGTGTAGGATTGGCTGGACTCTTGCTGAGAAGGATTGTAGATTTCGCCAAAGTTGTCATCAGTGGTCAAAGACGGATCGACACCGCCGTTTGGGGTCTGCGGAAGTAAAAAATCGTCCATTCTAAAATCATCCATAAGTGGCTGTTGGGTAGCGTTGTTCTCGTCCGGAAGTTTTGAGCTGGCCAGCCGCGATATCCAGTCGTTAATCTGCCGGATCGAGCTTTGCTGCTTGTTCAGCTGCTCGTTGATGTTTCCCATGAGATATTCAGGAGGCATATGAGCATCTGTGTCTTGTTGCAAAGGAGTTGCAGAGGAGAGCGCAGAAGGGGTGGCGGGAACGGAGGATTGCGGCATTTGCGGAGTGATCTCCGGGAAGTAAGAACGAGGCGAATTGGCCATTGAAACAGGCGACTGGAAGTTCGGTAACGGATGTTGGAACTGAGGCGTTCCTTGGAATGGATGCGGCCTATAGCCGTCGAGCTGTTCACTGTTCTGGTTTTCGGGTCCTCTGCGAATCTCCTGAATTGGCGAGTCGCTGGCGTCCGAACCATTGTGACCACTCTGACTGCTGGATGTGTCTCTCGAGGTCGACTTGGACCCGTTATTGTGTGCTCTGTGAGTCAGCATCAATCTGCTGTTGCCATTTTGAGGCTGGTAGTACGAGCCAGGCTGGTGGTGCATCGGCTGGTGCATGTCGAAATCAGGTCCATGTGGATGGTGTTGCTGTCCCTGTGCGTCTCTTTTCGAGGCCATCTCGAGAAACTCGCTGGGAGCCCCTCCGGCATTTTCCAAGAACTTGGACGACCCACCATATAAGGTGACAAGGAATCGCAGAATCTTGTCTAGAGTCTCGGATTGAGCTTTATGTCTTTCTCTAGCCATGTAATTCTCTTTCCAAAGAAGCTCGTTGTCCTGAACGAGTCTACTCAGGTCGTCAGCAATCATCCTCTGTTTCTGCTTCATCGACTCCAGCTCCATCAACAGAGTGTTGATGTCGATGTCGTCGTCCTCCTCCTTGGAAGACCGGTTTCTAACAATGTTGTCCAACAGGTGCTCCTTGTCCTTGATGAAGTTTGGATTTTCAAACTGCCAAACTTCTTCACCCTGAACAAGAGACCCTGAATTGACATCCTGAATTTTGTGCCAGCCGTACATGTTCAACTGTCTCACAAAGGAAGCAAAGTTATTGTGCTTGAAGTACTTGGGCAAGACATGTCTCATAAAGCTCTCTCTGTCGCTCACCTGGAACGCCTTTCCGTCAGGAAGCCACGAGATGTATTTAGAATTGGAAGGATCGTTAACCATGTTCCATAGCTTCATGACAAAAGCGGGCCGTTTTGGAGGTCCGGACATCTGGTTCTGGAGCTTCTTAGGTTTGGGTTTTTTAAATGGCAAAGATTTCACGTTTGAGTTGGTCGTTCCAGACGGCATTTGGGGATTGTCATAGTACGGCAATGACGCATGGGGGTTGTATCTCGAAATCATATAGTTATTTCCATTGATACCGTTTGCATACGGGTTACTGTGCCGTGCGTCTGGTTTGATGGAAATGGACGGTTGCGATGACGTGATGAGCGGAGTATGCGGAAGATGGTCTCCGGTGTTCGACTCGTCGCCCAAAGAGGGCACATCTGATATAGGAAAAGGGTATATACCATTGGACGTGTTGCTTGTGGGAGTTGTGCCTGTGGCGGTGGAAATTGGATCTAAAAGTTCATTGTCCGTGAGGTTGGGAATGTTGCTATCAAACTGGTTGCCTCCAGACTTGTCTGTGATTTCTTCGATCTGTGGCGAGCCGTGCAATTGATCAACAACCTCGCCGGGGTTCACGCTTGGTCGGAAAGCGCCCATGAATATGTGGATGAAAGGTCAAGGGATTCTTGGGAAGGCTGTAGACATACACCTGTATTTTGGCTACCCGGCCTTGTCTTGCCTTGAAAACTAGGTCAGCTTGATGTTTGTGCTCTTCGGCTCCAATTAGTGGGCACACAAGGGGACAAACTGGTGTCGGTGTCAAGAACGGTGTGATATGAACGGACAAAAATACGTAGCTAGCAGCCGTAAACGCAGAATACAAGCCTCGTCAATAGTTGATAATTTGGGAAAACAAAAAGGGAAATGATGCTTGCTAGAAATATCTACAAGGTGCGGGGTGTGCGGACGTCGGCTGACGAGTTCAGTGAAAATTTTGACTTCCTAGGAACACATGCTGCCGCTACCGTGGCGGTGTACGGATGTCCTGCGTTTCATGCTACTCTATCTATGACGACGACGTGAGGCCGCCAGGAACCACTTTGAACGACAGGATGTCGTTCTTGCCCACGTCCACCGTGTCGTCGACGCTGATGCGTTTGCCCTCGACGCCCTCGATCGCCGCAACCGTCACCTCACCCATGATCTGCCGTGCTACCTTGCCGACGCTCGTGCCCTTCTTGACCAGCGTGCAGTCTCGGAACACGTGGTTGCCGGAACTGCCCGTGAACGTCTGTATGTTTCTGACGGTGAAAACGGGCACCAGGTCCAGAATCTTCACCGCTTCCTGTAGCACCTGCACCACGCCAGTAGAGCCGAAACGGAACAGCACCAGGTCTCTGATGTTATCGATGCGCTGCAATAGTTTCTCGTCCAGCGGCCTCAGCCCGCTGTCCGGACCCAGATCCTCGAGCGTGTCTATGAACTCTGTGCCCTCCTCGTAGCGGATGTAGTTTTGCTTGGCCAGCCGGCGCAGAAACACCTCTGTCACGGCACTCGTGAGCACTGCCTTCGAGTCTGGGTACTTCAGCAGGATCTTGCTCACGTTCTTGTCTGCGTCCGGATGGTCGATCTTGTTGAGCGCCAATACCGTCGGGAACTTGAACTTCATGAAGTGCTGCACCACTGTCGTGATCCAGTGGTCGTCCCATTGCTCCAAAGGGGGCAGGTTCGGTATCGAGTCGACTGCCTTGGCGATCAGGCTTGCTGAGGCCCCGTACCCGCCAAACTGCGCCCGCAGCGTGTCGACGATCGACGACTTGGTGGCCGTGTGTCGTCTTACGATCGACCCCCATCTTTTTTTCAGGTTATTCTCGATCCACAGCCGGATCTCGTCCTGCAGCCACTCCACGTCCTGCACAGGGTCGTATCCACGCGTGGCCTTGCCCTCCGCGTCGGTCGTCCCAGAAACGTCCACGACGTGGATCAGGGCGTCGGCCTGGCGAAGGTCGTCGAGGAACTTGTTCCCCAGCCCGAGCCCCTGGGAAGCGCCTGGAATTAGCCCCGCCACGTCGAGCAGCTCGACAGGCACGTGCCGTTTGCCGCCAGAACACCACCCGTAGTTCGGCTTGCACAGGTCCTGCTTGCCGAATCGCGCACACGCACAGTCCACCTGGAGATACCCTGTTGCGCGGTTCGGGTCGATCGTCGTGAACGGAAAGGCGCCGATCTTGGCGTTTGCATCGGTCAGCGAGTTCAGCGTCGTCGACTTGCCGCTCGACGGCTTGCCAACAATTCCGATGAGCGGGTCTCTCCCCATAAAATAAAATGAGTAATTTTAATTAGAGTATTTCGTTTAATTTATTTTATTTTCTCCATCTGCATGTCCCTCCTAGCATTCCAATCGCTCTCTGCAGATGAGAAAATTGTGCAAATCGACTTGATCAAGCTAGCCGTGCTGGGCAACGACAGAGAGAAAGCTAAGTTGCAGGACAGTTTCGGGGTCCTGGGCGAGATCCTGCTGACCGAGTCGAACAAGACGCTTCTGCAAAACACAGCTATCATCGTCCAGTCTTTCAGTTATCTGCGCACCAACGTCGAGTTTCTGCTGCGGTTCAACATCTTTGAGGTGCTCGTGAAAAGCACGATCCGTTATCCGGCCGTTTTAGCAGAGATCAACTTCCGCACGCTGATCGACCTGCTCTCCACAAATTCGCTGTCGGAAAAATACCAGGACGAGCGGGAATACGCGCAGTTTGTGGGCGTCCTGGCAGGCATTCTGCGCGACCCGGCCGCTTCGCCCGCCCTGCTGTTCAACACCTACCTGCTGATTCCGTTTCTGCGCCACACAGAGCTGCTGTGGCAGCTGTACCGGCCGCTCATGAGACGGCTGGCCCAGGTCGTTTCGCCGGTCTTCCAGCAGACGTTGCGGCTGAATTGCCCCTCGGGCGACGTCTCAGTGCTCAAACGGTTTCCGGAGTGCGTCGAGCTGCCGCGTACGCTGCCGGAACACGCGTTCGAGGCGCTGTCGAACGATCTGAGTCCACCGCTGTACGCTCTCGCACATTTGTTGGCTTTGATCGACCGCGCAGACCTGAACTTGCCGCTGCCGCTGTACTTTGTGCTCACCACGTTTCTCGGCTCGTACGACCTCAATGTCAAGCTCAGCAGCGTCAACGTGCTGGTGCAATACACCAAAAAGCATATACGCAATCCGAAGGAAAGAACAACGAGCCACGCGCGGCTGATCGAGGCGCTTGTGCATCTGATCAGCCGCACCAAGGACTCGCACGGCCCGGAGTACACGCTCAGCTCGAACTACAAGATCCCGCGCACAATGTCGCCGCTGTATCTGCTGTCGCAGATTGCCGAGGAGGACCCGAGCAACAGCGACGCGCTCGTGGAGGTGAACTTTGTCGACACGATCGCGTCGATCGTCACCGCGAATTACAGCTCAGACCGCACGTTTCTGGACGAAGACACCCTGTACAAGATTTCGGACTCGCTGCTGATTCTGAGCTGCATTGCCGGGCTGCGCGAGGACTACCGCGAGCTGGTGATCCGGTACGACGTCGCGCCTGTGATTGTGGACTCGATCACGCGGCACGCGAAAATCTACCGCGAGCTGGACAGCCGCAAGCCCACGCCCGCTGACGTGGGCGTGCTCAAGCTATCGAACCGCATTACCCTGTCGAGCTGCTACCTGCTGCGATCGTTGTCGCGGTCGGCCAGTTTGCTGCGCACGTACTTGGTGGAGCTGAAGCTGGTGCGCAAGCTGGTGGACTTGCTGCACATCCCAGACGATATTATCGAGAACTGTCCGGACGAGCTGCGCCTGGACGAGATCCGGCTCAAGTCTGTGGTACTGGGCATTGTGTCCAACTCGATTGTGGAGTTTTCTGCCGTCAAGCACGAGCTCGCGTCTGACGAGCTTGCGCTGCTGCTGCGCCGATTCATTTACGAGTCGCGCTACGACTCCCTGCGCATGAACTCGCTCTGGGTCATCAAGAACTCGCTGTTTGGCGGAAACCGCGAGTCGAAGGAGAACTTCCAGACGACTGTCAGTCTGGACAAGATCTTTGAGCTGTGCGGCGACCCGAACGAGCGGATTCAGGAGCACTCGTTCGACATTTTGCGAAACCTCGCCGTGGGCCATTTCAACTACGCAAATAAGATCATGGCCGACTTTTCTGCGTCCGAGCTCGCCAGACGCACGGGCCAGTCCTCATTCCTGGACTTTTTGTGCGCGCATTTGGAGAAAACATCCAATCCAGACGTCATTGTGGCCATTATCTATGTGGTGGTGCATCTGGCCGCGTCCAACGAGAACAACCGCGCACTGATCATGTGCAACCAGCGCCTGCTAAAGAAACTGGTCGGGTTCTTGGAGTACTCGGAACGCGTGCCGGACGACGAGGACCATTGGAAGATCCGGCTGAGTGTGGTGTGGGCAGTGCTGAATTTGAGCTGGCGCGAGGAAACTACGGGGTCAGACCTCGACAACGACGACGACGACAGCGGCGAGGACATGGACGTCGACGCGGGCGACGGATCCGACTTCCGTCGGTTTCTGAGCCCGAAGAACCGCGCGCTGCGGCTGATCGAGCTTGGATTTTACGACGCTATCCGCACGCTGAATAACCACTGCACGATCTCCGACTTCAAGGAGCGCGCACGGATGGCCATCTTCAACCTCGTGCTGTACGAAAACAAGAACAAGAGCTGAGTTTCGCAGCTGTGTCGGGCCTGTTTCAGGTTTATTTATAGCATTCGCTACGACATTGGGTCGTTCTCGGTGCACTGTGCCTGGTTGCAAAATTCCTTTGAGGTCCAAATTAGGAATGCCGGATCTGAGGCTAAAAAAAAAATCGTTCGGGCTCCCAAATCGGGGCTTCAAAGGACGACGTTTGAGTATTTCAGACGTCTCATATTTCGAAACAGAACTGATAGGCCAGGGTATATAAGGCTGGGCATTCAAATGACGGATAACAAAGCATGAGAGTCCTGTCTTCGCTCGTTATACTTCTTGCCACGGCTCTGGCAGAGGAGTACACCACACTCACTTCGAAATACTGCTACGCCGGCGGCCTCGTTTGCAAAACCACCACCGATTACGGCTCTATCACCACCGTCACCGCAAATCGCGCAACTGTGACCACATACGTCCCCGTCACTTACGTTCCAACACTGGTCACCGTGGATGGTAAGGAGACTTGGCAGCAGGTCAGCTACTCGACGTCTGTCAACGACTATGGCCAAGAGACGGTCGTGGTCACCTACTGCGACATTTCGTCGCAGACTTCCAGCAGAGTCACCTCCCTTGTGTCCTGCGACGTGCCGTTCACACAGACCGAGGGTATTACCATCACGACGACCGGATGGGACGGGCACGTGAGCACGGTCACGAGCGCCACCACCTACGTCACCTCGAGGGCCTGTCCGACCACATTAACGTGCGAGACGTGCAAGACCACCTCGTCGACGTCGTCCTCTGCCTCCTCGACATTGTCTTCTTCCTCATCTGTGTCGACCACGTCCTCCACTTCAATCTCGTCTTCCACCACCTCGTCCACGTCGACTACTTCTTCCACATCCTCTGCGTCGTCGTCGTCATCATCTAGTACATCCAAGCTGACCTCCTCGTCCTCCTCCACTTCCTCCACATCATCATCTGCCTCTTCCTCCTCATCCACTTCCTCAACTCACTCAACATCCACGATGAGCTCAAGCTCATCGTCCTCCCTGTCATCCACGTTGTCGACTCCGGCCTCGACGTTTTCGACGTCATCTACATCGTTAACATCTTCCATCCCACCTTCGACACCTTCCACTACGTCCGCGTGGTCTTCGTCGACCGCGTCGTCCACCCTGTCGAACTCCTCCTCCAGCTCTTCCTTCAGCTATACTTCCAGTTCTACCTCCACCTCTACCTCCACCTCTACCTCCAGCTCCTCCATCACCAGCTTCTCCACATGGTCATCCATCTCGTCAAGCTCCACAACGCCATTATCGAACTCGACCAGCTCCATCTCAAGCCCTGTCTCCTCCTCCTCCTCCTCCTCCTCCACACTCCTCTCCACCTCCTGGTACAGCTGCAACCAGCCCTATGTGGCCACGATCACCGTCACTGCCGGCAGTTCCAGCTCTCTCTCCACGTACACCACGTCGTCCGCCTGCCCAACTGCCACTGAGTCCAGCACCGTCACAACGTGCACAGAGTGCAACAAAGACGTCCATGTGAGTTCTCATTCGGAGCCGGTCCAGTACTCCAGCACGTGGGTGACAGAAGTTTCTGCCTCGACGACGACGGAGACCGTTTGCACCGAGTGCAAGACTAGCGAATCGGTGGTGGAGACGACAGTGACGAACGAAACAACCACGTACGTGACTACCTGTCCAGAGTCTAGCGAAACTACACAGCCGCCAGAGACGAGCTCCGCTCCAGCAACATCTGCAAACACAACCCCAGCTACCTCGAGCTCCTCACTGGCAGAGACAAGCCAAACGGAAAGCTCATCTGAAACTCCAAAAACACCGTCAGCGACAGCCTTTGAAACAAGTACATCAGTTTCCTCGTCTACAGAGACTCCAGCACACGTCACAAGCTCCAGCTCTGGAATCGCTTCGTCTTTGGTCTCTACACCTCACACCCAGATCTCGATTACGGTGGTGAAATCGTGCACGGAGGAGAAGTGCCAGCCGCCAACGACGGGCAGCCCTGTGGTGCAATCCGGCTCCACGCTGGCCTCAACGCTTCGCACCTCCGCCAGTTCCGTTTCCTCGCTCCAGCCGCTGTCGTTCTTTCAGGGCGCAGCATCGTCTGCGTCGATCTCGTATTTCTCGTTCTTTTTGCTTCTCGTCCCATTCATATAGTTATACAATGCAATAGCAATCAATAGCAATCATTCACTTTCGATCTCCATCACCGCGTCGTCGTCGTCGCTCGAGTCCTCTCCCTGTTTCAGGTCCTCAGCGATCATGTCGAGGTCTCTCCTGTTGTCCTCACCAATGAACTTGAGGTTTCTGGTAGGCTTGTTGATCGGTGTCTGGAACGCAGACTTCTGCGGCAGCGGCTCGTCCAGCAGCAGTTTATTGTTCATCTGCAGATTGCTTTCGAGCGCCTTGTTCAGCAGATCCAGCGCGATCGGGTCGTTGGGCTGGATCGACAGCGCCACGTGCAGCGTCTCGATCGCCTTGGAGATCTTGCCCATCTTCAGATGCAGTAGCCCAATCGCAGAGTAGATGTTGACATCGTTGCGCGAAATGCGCAAAACCTTGTTGAAATGGCTAAGCGACTTATCCAGCATGTTCAGCCGCCTGTACACGTGACCAAGGTTGCAGTGAATCGACGACCAGGCCTTGGCATTCGAGTCCAGTGTACTGGCAGCTGCGAGCGCTTTTTGAAAGAAACTCTCGGCCTTGGCCAGCTGCAAGCGGCGGTAGTGCAGCACGCCAAGCTCATTGAGCAGCAGCGGGTCGGTCGGGCAGATCGAGTACGCCGACATGAGGTACTCCTGCGAGAGCGTGAGGTTGTTCATTTGCAAATACTGCATGCCCAAAAACAGGTTAGGAAGGTGGATGCCGGGGAAGAGACGCGAGGCGGTAGCGTAGGCGCTAATCGCCTGTTCGTGCTCTCCCTCTGCAGCAAATGTGTGCGAAAAGCCAATCCACGCCGGCCCAAAGTTAGGATGGATCATCGAGGCTTTGGAAAAAAAGACTCGCGCCTCGTTCGTCTTCTTGATTGAAAAGTAGTAGATACCAATGGCCAGCCATGTGATATGGTGATTAGGATAGTTTTCTGCCAGCTTGTGAGCCATCAGGAACAGCTTGTTTTTACCTCCCAGCTCATGCAAACAGCTGAGATAATTGGGCAGCACGGAGAGGTTTAACCCGTCGTGATTGATGATCTGCTCACACAGGTCGAGACACTGCTGGAACTTACACTGAATGAACAGCAGGTCAGCACGGCTGAGCAGGATGTCCAGATTCTCACCCAAATTGTACTCCTCCTTGAGCCGCTGTTCGGCCTCCTCGAAGGTGGCCATGTTCTTATACTTGTTGAGTCGCGTCGTGTAGAGCAGCTTCACGAGCTCGTTGTTGTTGTCTGCGTCGTCAAAGTTCAGCTCGCTCAAAAGCTCCCACTCCTCGTCGGGCGACATCAGATGGTTGCTGATGAGCTCGTTGAATGCTTCAAAACACTTCACGTCCACCAACACTGCCTCTTTGTAGCACTCCTTGGCCCTGTCGAAGTTATTCTGTTTACTGTACGCGAGCCCGCGCAAGTAGCACATCGACGCCTCCAGTTTGACGCCGCCATCCGGGTTCTTCACCGAGTGATCTGTCTTGAACGGATTCACCTCGCCAATGACGTCCAGCGCCTCGTCGTATTTTTCAAGCTTGACCAAACACAGGCCCGCTAGGTACCTACAGCTCACAGACTCCTCAAAGTGCGGGCCTGATAGCAAATTGCGCGCAATCTGGTAGTTTCCGTTGGCGAAATGCACCTGGGCGAGCCAAAAGGCGTCGTTCGGATCGCCCGTTAGCGACAGCACTTTGTCTCCAATGTAGATTGCTGTGTTGTAATGGTGCTGCATCAGGGCATCGTGGCGCCACAGTCGCAGCTTGTCGGCCTGTGTGAGAGGCGTCTCCTCGTCCTCGTCCTTGCTGGTCAGCGTGCTGAGCTTGCTGTTGACGGACTTGGAGACGTTGGGGGACGAGAACACCCGGTGATGGGCGTTCTGCTGCTGGTTGACGCTCAGGCCGAGCAGGTTGGGCGGGGTCTGGAAGTATTCCTTAGATCGCTTGTTGGTTACGAGCGGCGAGATCGTCAGCGTCGACGTGTTGGGGCTGTTTGTGGACATGGTTTTGCGCGATTCAAAAGAAGGATCAACAGGTTTTGTTTGATTTTCTATATATTTTTTTTTCGACGCGTCGACTCGTGCGGTTTTTTTCACTCAAAAATGACTGATTTATTTTAAAAAGTCATCTAATTTACTTTTAGCAATGGCCAAAGTCATTCTTCATTTGAGAGCAGAAACAAAGCCGCTGGAGGCCAGAGCAGCCCTCACACCTTCCACCACAAAGGAGCTGCTGGACACCGGGGATTTCGAGATCTTCGTCGAGAAATCGTCTCAGTCCACCTTCGACTGGAGGGAGTACGAGCAGGCAGGAGCCCACATCGTCGAAGAGGGCTCGTGGGTCAACGCGCCTAAGGACAGAATTATTCTCGGACTGAAGGAGCTACCAGAGGAGTCTTTCCCATTGGTCCATGAACACATCCAGTTCGCCCACTGCTACAAAGACCAGGCCGGCTGGAAAGACGTTCTGTCCAGATTCCCTGCCGGAAACGGTGTTCTGTACGATCTCGAATTTCTGGAAAACGACCAGGGCAGACGTGTTGCCGCTTTTGGGTTCTACGCTGGCTTTGCAGGTGCAGCTTTGGGCGTGGAGGACTGGGCTTTCAAGCAGACTCACCCAGACTCCGAGGATCTCGGGGGAGTGAGCCCATATCCGAACGAGGCTGCGCTTGTGGCTGATGTCAAGAAGATGCTGGACGAGGGCGTCGCAAAGGCCGGCAGAAAACCTACAGTTCTGATCATCGGCGCTCTGGGCAGATGCGGTTCGGGAGCTATCGACCTGTGCCGCAAGGTTGGCATTCCGGACGAAAACATCATCAAATGGGACATGGCAGAGACTGCGAAGGGCGGGCCGTTCAAGGAGATTGTCGACGCCGACATTTTTGTGAACTGTATCTACCTCTCGAAGCCAATTCCTCCGTTCTGCAACCTTGAGACCCTGAACGACGAGAACAGAAAGCTCAGAACCATTGTCGACGTCTCGGCCGACACCACCAACCCGCACAACCCTATCCCTGTGTACACGGTCGCCACGGTGTTCAACGAGCCCACTGTCCGGGTCGAGACCACCAAGGGCCCTAAGCTCTCGGTGATCAGCATCGACCATCTGCCTTCGCTACTCCCAAGAGAGGCGTCCGAGTTTTTCGTCCGCGACCTGCTTCCTTCGCTGAAAGAGCTGCCTCACAGAGACACTTCGCCGGTCTGGACACGTGCCAAGGCGCTGTTCGACAAGCACGTCGCCAGATTGAACAGTTAATAGACTATTTTAATAAATTAATGTCTACTCCCGTTCCACCTTGAGCAGTTTTTTCTGCCGTTTCTTGATCTTTTTTCTGTCCTCGCGACGCACAACCACCTCGCCGTCGCTCTCGTACTCGCTCTCCGCCTCCTTTTGCAGCGGATCGAAGCGCGGCTTGAGCGCTTTCTCGACACTCTCGTTCACGGTAGCAACCACGTTCAGCCGCTCTCCCGTATCGTAAACGGCCACCTGGTCCCGTATGCTCAGGTCCCAGACGACGATCTTGCCGTCCGACGAGATTGACACCAGGTAAGACTTAGTTTCGTTATCTTTTCTCTCTGCGTAGATGGAGAAATCCTTGACCCGGTTCGCGTGGCCCTGCAGCTCAAACTCGGGCTTTTCAAGTGGTTCTGTCTCCTCGTTTCCCTGTGTGATCTGCGCAATGTCGTAGAATTGTATCGTTCCGTTTCCGTTTGCTAGAACGAGATACTCCTTGCCGTCCAGCACTAAAAATTCCATCTGCATCAGTGTCTGCTTCAGCTGGAAAATAGCCACGATCTTGGCCTCTCTAGTTCGGTACACCATAAGTCTATTGAGCAGCCCTACAACAAAGAATTCGCCGTCGCTGCTGAAACGGACCAGATTGGGTGACTGGCCGTGCGTGAAAACTCCCTTGAGCTTCATCGCAGACGCCTTTTTGGCCGTCATTAAATTCCACAGTCGAACAGTCTTGTCGTCGCTCACAGAGATGGCCACGCGTCCTGACGGGTGGATGGCCAGATCGTTTACTCTGGCCGTGTGACCCTTCAGGATACCAAACTGCTCCCAGTCTTTGGTCCGCCAGATCACAATCTTGCCGTCCTCTGCTGCGCTCAGTAGCCATTTGCCGTTCTTGTGGGTGAGATACTCGGAGTTTTCGTCGACGTCGTTTGAGAAAACAAGCTTCGTGATCGATCCCTGGTGCTGCAGCAGTGTCCCGAGCTCCTTTCTCTTCTGCAAATCGTAGATCTTGATATGCTCATCGTTGGACCCCGAAACAAGATATCTTTTGGCGATGTCTAGGGCCCTGATGGAGAGCGAATGTGCTTGGAAATGGAAAATGGGCTGGAATAGCGGTTGGCTGTTTTTCTCATCGGGAAGCGTCACCGAAACACACAGCAACGTGTGCTCGTATGAACCTGTGATGATGCGAAATACGGTCATAAGCTTATTTATTTTTTTGAAATATATTTTTTTATCTTACATAATTTTCATATTTCCAAAAAAATATTGAATCATGTCAAATGGCAGCACAGACGCAATAAGCCGGCATCTTTACGTCAGCCCGTGATTTAGCAAGCACTTGCATGACTCCCGTGACATATGCAACACTTTGTAGCGTCGGCAATGTCTCCTGGAGTCGTAAAGAGCAAGTCCAACAGGGTTCCCAACACCTGCTGATGATTCTTAATCATCTCCGGGTAACCCTGCTTTTTTTCAATACTTTTTTTGCTTTTTAAAACAAGTGGGTCCTATAAATTACAATCAATCACATTCCCAACCGATTTATCTATTTTACGATTACCCTCAGGTGATAGACAACAGTGAGAGGACGCTACTCTGCGGCACAGAACTTGTAATCGCCTTCACGACACACAAACCAAACTAGGTCGCGCCTTCTTTAGGGTACAACTCACAACAACGAAACCATGGGCGGACTACTCTCTATGAGCCCCCAGATGAGCGAGCCGATGCAGGAGATGCTCGGCGCCCATTTTGATGGCAAAGACGTACTTGACGAGTTCCTCGATATGAGATTATACGAACAAGGAGCAGGAGACGAACGCAATCATTTTGACGAAGAGTTGCACGCGTTCGTGAAAAACGAGCTGTCTAGACAAGGATCGCACGACATTAAGATGGAATACAACGACATGCCAGAATTCATTATGCCGGAGGACACGTACAATGACAATGTCCACACGGGCGGGCAGTCGGAAGAGTTTGAAATGTTTGAGAAAAGTCGCCAGTTGCTGATGAAGCTCAAGTTTGGCGGCTTTGCGAACGTGCCTGAACTGCCCAGCTTCGAAGAGCTTTCGGACAAAATTCAGACGAGGGGCGACTCAAACGACGTCACCACCAGCACCCTGCCTCCGGAGTATATTTCCTGCAACGACAACTTGATGTACAACCTGGAGATTAAGGAGCTTCCGTCATCGTCGCGGGTCGAGACACAAATGAAGATTCAACTGGATATCTCGCCTCCACCGCCACAATTCCTGCTCCATCTTCCTCGAGACACCATAGCCAAGCCTAAGTTGACCCTGGAAAATAACGAGATTCCAGAGAACGTCAAGCCTCATATGCTCTTCCTCGACACGTTTGTGGTTGGTGCCAGCAACGTGGCCACCGCCGACGGCCAGTATCAGAAACTGAGATCCTGCAACGTTTGCAAACGCTGCATGAGAAGAGAAATGAAGCGGGCGTCGAGACGCAAACGTGGCATCGCCGAGGACTCTATCAATTGGAATTTGAATGTTCCTAGAAGAGCCATCATTTTCAACACCAAGGAGGTAATCTCGTTTCCTAGACCTACTGGTAACGCCACAAACGTCAAGTCGATTGACCTGTTGACCAGGATAGTGTGCTATTGCAGACACCACCAGGAGCCGAACGGGTTCAAGCTATTTTTCGTGCTCAAGGACGCTGACGGTAACGTACTAGGAAAAACTCTCTCCCAACCAATCCTTATTATGGACAGAAAGAAGCTGCTAAAGGATGGTGAGCAGTCGAATTCGCCAGAGCAGGAATTGCAAGTCAAACAAGAACAAAGAACGACGATCAACTCGATCGACGAGTCTTCGAGCGAAAATACTAGCACCAGCGCAGCCGCTCATGTTGCAATGGCGGGCTACGCCCTGGGACAACAAACACCTATAGCTACAGACGATTCGAGGGCATACAAGCGTCAAAAGAGACATTTATCTCCGGCAGACAGCACCGGAACGTATTACGATGCCGTTCAGCAGCAGAGATCGAAGCCTGCCCCGGGAGCACGCCAGGATTCGTTCTCGTCGAGCGTCAGCAAGAGAGAAGCAAATTCCCCAATGAGCTCCGACAATCTCTCGCCGCAGAATTGCTTTGGTGTTTCTTCGGCAACGAGTATTTTCTCGAGTACGCCCGAGAAAAAGGCGTCGTTTGCTAATCTCACACAAAGCCAATCTGGAATCAACCATGCCAGCTCGCTCAACAACTCTTCTGTCTCGCAGCAGTCGGTGCCGTCGATCCAACGGATTATTCCCGCCCAAGGCCCTATCAGAGGTGGCATTGAGGTCACTTTGTTGGGCTCGAATTTCCGGCCGGGTCTTGCAGTCAAGTTTGGTTCTAATGTGGCGCTGGCCACTCATTGCTGGTCCGACTCGACCATCGTGACGTATCTGCCGCCGGCATCGCAAGCAGGACCGGTTCTAGTCACATTTGAAGACTCGTCCAAAGAGGGAAGAACGGGAATATTGAACTCCACGTCGCAGCAAGTTTTCACGTACACCGACGACTCCGACAGGCAGTTGGTGGAGCTGGCCCTTCAGATTGTGGGTCTGAAAATGAACGGAAAGCTCGAAGACGCCAAGAACATCGCCAAACGTATTATCGGAAACAACAGTTCCAACATGCCACAACAGCAACGACAAAAGTCGCCACAGCCGGCAGGCTATGACGAGTGGGTCGAAGAGGCCACTCTCAAGATGACAGAATTATCCAAAACGTCTCTGAGTCACGAGGAGATGCTGCTGAAGTTCCTGTCGATGCTGAAACTGCCTAACTCGCCGATCGCCGTTCCGAACTGGGCCATTTGCACTCTGGAAGGACAGACCATGCTGCATCTTGCATGTATCAAGGGATACGCCAAGCTGTGTCGCTATTTGGTGGAAAACGGGTGCAAGGTCGACACGAGGGACTTGAACGATCTGACTGCTCTGCACTATGCATTTATCAACGGACAGAGGGGGCTGATCAAGCTGTTGGTGAACTACGGCGCGGTTGCGTCTATGAGGCTAGGCAACGATATTTCGCTGAGGGACGTCTCGGACTCAAACGTGCTGGATCTGTTGAATGACACGAAAGGAGCGCAATTCCCATCTAGCCACAGACGGTTCTCAAACGAGTCGATCGAGTCGATTTTCGACGACTACGACGAGCCGGCGTTCGACCCGAAGTTTGTTGCCGTTGGCAAGTGCGGCCTGAACAAGGCGGACTTCTTCGACAACGACTCGCCTGATGAGAGGTGGCAGGAGCTAGAGGACGAGATGGAGTTCGAGGCAGACGACGAGGAGGACCTGGAGGCGGAATCATCACCGGACGTGGCAAAGTCCGAGAGAAAGAAGAAGACGCGTGCTACAGGCGTGAGTCTGTGGCTCAAGATGCGCAAGGCTTTTGCGAAGAACGTGTCGTCAATGCCAAGCCTGAGCGACAGCGACCAGTCGGACGACGCGCGCGAGGAGATGCTTCCGTCGTACCAGGAGCTGTTCCCTACGGAAGAGGGCGAGAGGGCGCTACTCAACTTCCAGGGCCACGGGGTGGAAGCCAAGACCCAGGATGCGGAGGACTCGTCAGAGGAGGCGTTGGAGCTGGCGCTCAAGTCATCTCAGAAGACGTTGGACGCGGACAAGCGGTTGCTTTTCTTCTGGCTGCCGTTCATGCTGCTTTTGCTGCTGGTGATGATTGGCAGCCAGCTCGAGCTGATCACTCTAGACAACTTCACGCTGGTGTCGAACGTGATTGACGGCAGCCGCAACCTCATGGGGCGGCTGATGCTGGGCAAGGACCGCTTCACGGGACTCCTGAACGAGAATCTACACTACGGACGCGAGCGGGTGAATAACTTGTTGAACGACGTGAACGGCGCCATGCTCACTGCGGTGGGCGGCCGGTAAGCGGCGCGGTGTATTTGCATTTTCTTTGCTAATTATTGTTGCACTTATTATTTTTTTCATGCACTTAGTACTTTTACCGTTTGGCCGGGGCTCTAGTTTGGCTAATTTAGTCACCTTTTCTGAACCATTTTTATTTTCTGACAGCAGACTCTTCGATGGCCCCATTTTTCCATGTCCTCTTGGAAATTGACTGACTCTTTGCGCCGCGAGATCTACAAGCTTGCCCGTGTGCCGCAGACGGGCGTGTCGCTGCGGCAGATGGTCCAGTTTGGGCCGCAGCCGTCGCCCGGATCGGTGTTCCATGCCTCCAACTTCATCGTCGAGGAGCTGCCCATCCGGCTCAGCCACCGCGTGAAGGACCTCGAGGAGCTGCCGTCGGGGCTCAACAACGACCCGTCGATCCAGCGCGTGCGCGACTGGTACGCCCAGTCGTTCGAGGAGCTCACGTCGCTGCCTAAGCCGTCCATCAGCGACGAGATGCGCGCAGTTCTGTACCCGTCGTCGCAGGAAAAGCCCGCCACGCCGGGCGCCCACTCCGCCGCGCGCCCCACCAAGTTCGAGGACGACGGCATTGTGATCGAGCAGCTCCACGCGCGCCCCCGCGACGAGACAGACCACGCTCCCAGACGGCAGCCGACCCGGCGCGCGTACTACGTGCCCACGCCGTCGGACGTGGCGTACACCAGCGACGTGCTCGACTACAACAAGCTCGTCAACCAGACGCTCGTGAAAATCAAACGGAGACACGACGCTACCGTCACCACGATCGCTCGCGGCGTGCAGCACTGGAAGCACAAAAATAATTTTGCGTATCTGGACGGCAGCATCAACCAGTTTCTCGACCGGTTCTACATGAGCCGCATCGGGATCCGCATGCTGATCGGCCAGACCATCGCCCTGTACGAGCAGAGCACCATGAACATAACTAACGACAACTACGTCGGCATCATCTGTCTCGACACCAACGTGATGGAGATCGCCCAGGACGCCATCGACGCCGCCCGTTTCGCGTGCGAAGAGCACTACAACATCATGGAGGCGCCCAAGGTCCAGCTCTGGGCGCCAGAGGACCTCAACTTCATGTACGTGCCGGGCCACCTCGTGCACATGCTCTTCGAGACGCTGAAAAATTCGCTGAGAGCCACCGTCGAGCACCACTCCTCGCTCCACCCAGATAAGAACATGGAGGACATCGAGTTCCCGCCCGTGAAGGTGATCGTGTCCGAGGGCAACGAGGACATCACCATCAAGGTCAGCGACGAGGGCGGCGGCATCCCGCGCTCGGTGGTGCCGCTGATCTGGACGTACTTCTACACCTCTGCGAAACAGATCGTCGAGCCCGAGAACGGGTACAAGCCGCCGTTCATGGGGCTCGGCGTCGGCCTGCCGCACAGCAGACTGTACGCGCGCTACTTCTCGGGCGACCTCAAGCTCATCAGCATGGAGGGCTACGGCACAGACGTCTACTTCCACCTCAACAGGCTCTCCTCCTCGTCCGAGCCGCTGCAGTAGCCGATCGACTGCTTATGTAATGTTTTGTGTAATAGGAACAGGCGAAAACCGGGGTAAGCAGAAAAAGAGGGGACCTACGAGATGCGCCGTGCTTTATCCTGGGACGCGACTGGCGCGCTCGACTTGCGGGCTCTGTGCGCGGCAGAGCTCGCCGCCGTGGTCCTGCGCCGGCCTGAGCCCATTCTGCTGCCGCGCCGCGGACGCATGGTGCGGGCTGGCGACTTCTCGCGGCAGGGCGCATACGCCGACGACTTCGGGCTCCCGCGGCTGATCCAGGCTCTGAACCAGGGCGTGCGCGGCGACTTTGCGCGGGCCATGTCTCGGGACACGGCTCTGGTGCGCCAATTCGTGCTCCCGAACTCCCAGAGGCGCACAGTAAGTCGTTCCGTCGGCTGGATAGTGCAGCTGAGCGAGGTGCGGAAAACCGAGTTTGGACGGTATGTGGCGCAGCTGGTGAGCCGCGGGCAAGACGAGGAGGCCGTCCGGGGGGTTCTGCGTCTTCTGGGCACCGAGTACGAGTTTCTGCACACTGCTGCGACGCTGGACGTCATCTGTCGTTATTTATACGATTGTGGCAGGTGGCGTGACGTTGTGGCGATGCTGGACCTCTATTCGCGGTGGCGCAAGACGCCAGCGGTTGGCACGTACAACAGGGCGATCGCCGCCAAGCGGCAGCTGTGCCAGTGCGACGAGGACGACTTCGAAAGCTGGGTGTTTGAGCGGCTGCGTGTGCAGCGACTGCCGCCGGACGCCGACACGTTTCTGCTCGTTTTCGAGAAGCTGAGCACCCTTGACGGCCGCCTGGCGTGTCTGGGCACGATGATGTTCAAGCAGATCGACATTGAGTCGCTGGTGGGGCCCGTCGTGGCGCAGGTGGCAGAGAAGCTGGGCGGATCCAGAATCGGCAAAAAATTTCTGTACCCGAGCTGTTTGAGGGTGCACTTCTCGATGCTGTTCCTACCACGGCTGCTGGAGCACAGTGGGCCTCAGACGGCGTTTAGGTTCATGGACTGGGCGCAGACGCCGCCAAGCCCGCGGCTGGTTAGAGCATTTGTTCTGTTTTTCCTGCGACGGCAGCCGTGCGAGATCTGGAACGCGGTGGCTGCCATCAATTATTTCCGCACGCACTACGGGTACAGATGTGATGCGAAATACGACAAGCAGCTGGCGTTCAAGCCGCTGTACAACGCTGCGCGCGAACGGCAGCTGGACGTGCGAGTGCTCAAAGTGCTGTACCGCGAGTCATTCTGGCGGGACCGGGACGGGGTTGTGCGCTGTGCCGTGAAGGAATCGCGGCTTGACCGAGCCGTCGCAGAGCCGCTCTCCGAGAGCGACCGTGCGTGGGCACAGGACGTGATGGACATTTGCTGGCCTGTCGACCAGGCGGGCTCGCCGCTCGTCGACAGGCCGGGACAGCCGTTTCTCGCGAAGGCGCGTTATTTCGGCCACAGTGCGTAGAAAACAGAGGTCATTAGAAGAACCTGGTGTCGGCACGTTTTGCCGGTCCCGCTGGCGGAGACCACGCCTGCAGAGACCTCTAACGACGGGCAGCACAAGGCCGTGGATCCTGAGCACACGCCGGCGGCCGGAGTGTGTCTGGACGCCGCGAAACTACAGTCTGCTACGGCCGGCGGCCTCTCGCGTGGACTCAGCTAGCACAGCCAGAAAGCAGAGAAAAGTAGGCTGGAAAATTTTTAATCATGTTCACGTTGGCGCTGGTGAGACGTTTCAGCGCGGCGCGCGCGCTGCTGCAGTCGTCGGTCAAGGAGGGCACGCCGCTGAACATCCACGTGTTCAAGACGGGCAAGCCCGCTGTCGCGCTCAAGGACGAGGAGTACCCGGACTGGCTGTGGACGCTGCTCGACAAGGAGGCCCAGGAGGCCCAGCTCAAAGCCACCGACGAGTTCCGGTACATGAGAAAGCAGGCCAAGAAGCTGCACAGACAGAAGCTGAAGCAGAACAATTTCCTCGCGCAGCTGCGCAAGTGAGTGTATATAGGTAATGACTGGACTGGAGAATTGTAGCCGGCTGTCGCATGAAACTCACCCGTGCACCAGTTTGTGGGGTAATGTTTCGCACCTGTTTCGCCTCGTCCGGCAAGCGGGCCGTGGGCGGCCTGCGTCTTCTTTCTGCGCGCACATCCAGACGGCCGCGCGTTCCGGAGACCGCGGGCACCACCAGGGAATCGCCTTTCAGCATGCAGCTGCTCGTGGTGGTGGTTGCGCTCGGGGCAGGGTTTGCCATCGGCCGCACCAGCACGCGGCAGAATCCGCCGCGCGACCTGTTTCCTGCGGGCTCCACGACGACCAAGGCCGACCTGCGTGCGAGCTCGTTCAATGCGCCGGCCGACTACGCTCTGTTCCAGCGGTGTGTGAAGAAACTCCAAAAAGAGCTCAACCTGAGTAGCGACGACGTGGACGAGGAATTGTGGCGGGTCATGGCGGAAAAACCCGGCTTGGGCTCTGTTCTGTGGTCTCACAAGGACACAGACACGGCGAAACAGTACCGGATCCGGCCCAGGGACACCGAACAGTTTGCGCTAGTGATGAAGCTGGCACAGCTGTACCGCGTGCCGGTGCATGTCGGAGTGCCCTTTGACGGGTACCCCAGGGACCGGTACGGGCTGACCGTGGACCTGGGCGGAATGGACCGCATTCTGGCGTACAACGAGCGCACAAACACCGTCACGTGCGAGTGCAACGCGGACGTGGGCTCGTTTGCGAACAGCCGCGGGCTGAGCGCGATGAACGCTGCGCGGCCGCTCGACCTGGCGCTCTCCTGGCTGGGTCTGACAACGCCGGGCAGCACCGTCAACGGGTACCCGCTCGCAAGCGTGAAAAGCGCCAAGGTGGTGCTTGCCGACGGAACGACGTTCGTCGCGTCGCCCGAGACGCTGCGCATCCTTGCACCGCTCGGGCGCCAGTTCGCGACGGTCTGCGAGATGGAGCTCGCGCTGGAGCCGCGCACGGACGCGTGTGTGGTGCTGTGCCGGACGCAGAACGTGGACCGGCTGGTCGAGTTGGCCGACCACGCGGCGTCGCCGCTCACGTACGTGGGCAACTTTGGGTTTGCGCACTGCGCGTTGCCGACGGGAGAGAGCGTGGGCGCGTTCAAAACGGACAGAAAACAGGCGGACAAGCTGGTGAAAATGGCCCGGCGGCTCGGCGAAGCTCACGCAGCGGTGCCTGTCTGCGAACTGCATCCGCGGACGCCCAGCGAAGTCAGCCCCGTGACAAACAGCTCCGCGAAGCTCGTGGTGAGCGAGGACTTTGCGCAGGCCCGGCTGACCGAGCTGGCCGGTGCAGGCGTGCTGCTGAACGACGGGCCGGAGTGGGACGCTCTGCGGCGGCTGAAGCTGGCGACCGACCCCAACAAAGTGCTCAACCCATCTGAAACGCGGGTGACGTCATCGGAATAACCGTATTTTTCTCTATTTATTTTCTCCTTACATTAAGTTCGTGCGAAAGCCAGTACCTGCAGCATGCGCCTAGCAGATAGATGTGAGAATGCTTGGAGCGGTTTAAATCTCTACCGCTCTTTTTTTCGTGTCCCATGTACTTAGACGTTTTCAGAAGACAAGAGACGACAACCACGGGTCACTTCTTCTCGGACTTCCAGAAGGTCACGAACGTTGAGTACTCGTCTGCCACGCGCACAATTGCCGCGGCCATCACGTCGTTCGCGTCGAGCGTCGACGCAGACTCGCTCGTCACCGACGCCTCAGGGACGGCAGTCGCGTCGCTGCTGGGCGTCGCGAGCACATCCACCACGGAGGACACAGCCACGCCGTTGACGGCGAGCGCCTCCAGCTTTGCATCGAAAACGTCGTCTGCTGGTTCTCCAGACACGGTTTCGCCCAAATGGGGCTACATCGTGGCCCTGCTCGGTCTTTGTTCGTGTATACTGTAAGGAGTAAATATACCGTGAGTCATGTGATCTGTGTGAGGGCTGTATTTTTTCCTGGTTTTTCTCAGGCTGCCGAAAAAAAAATCAATTTTTCATCCTCGATATCACCATAATGGCTCCAATCGTATGTATCGACATACACTGGTGTTTCTTTTATGCCCTATAGTGATTCCACCGCAGGTCGGTGCGTTCGCAATCTCTATGGCTATTCCGTGAAGCTCGCGCTTCTGCGGTAGGCTTAAAAGTAATCACGAGTGTAGCTCTCTCCGTCCTAACCTCTCAGACTAAGAAAAACCAAAAAGTCGCCAAGAAGTTCACCGTCGACTGCTCCGGCCCAACCGAGAACGGTGTCTTCGACCCAGCCTCGTACGTCAAGTACCTTGTCGAGCACATCAAGGTCGACGGCCACCTGGGAAACCTCGGCAACGACATCACCGTGTCGCAGGAGGGCGCCGCCAAGGTGGTGGTTGTGTCCACCACCAAGTTCTCCGGAAAGTACCTCAAGTACCTCTCCAAGAGATACCTCAAGAAGAACCAGATCAGAGACTGGATCAGATTCGTGTCGGTCAAGAAGAACGAGTACCAGCTGCAGTTCTACAGCGTTGCTGTTGACGACGACGAGGACGAGGAGTAGCTGACAGGGATAGTGTAATAGAGTGTCATTCGAATATGGTAGAAATGTAGGTCCCGCCGTCTGTTTCGGGCGGTGCATGATATCTGTCTTTTTTAGCATTTATTTATTTTAGGTGATTCTATGACCACGGTGCCACGAGACACGCCCGACCAGAGCGACGAGACGGATTTCGTCGAGTTCCGGCTCGCTGGGGACAGCGTGACGGTCGTTGACCACGGTTTCGCGTCGATCGAGCCGGAGAACGACGACGCGGGTGCTCTGGAGGCGCCCGCGCACCAGGACGACGGCTCGTTCCACAGCACGTCCGACGACGAGGAGTGGAAGGAGATGGACATACAGGTGAACCACGACGAGATCTACAACATCCGCGGCGAGAAGATCGAGACGTTTGTGCAGTCTGCGGAGACCATAGACAACAAGGCCGAGTCGTCGCAGGGGTACACGCGGATCTCTGCGCAGGAGGAGGCGGCCAAGTACCTGGAGATGAACGAGAAGTTTGACTTCCTGTTCCAGAACGAGAACTCGAACCTGCGGAGGCTGCGCGACGGCGACGGCTCCGACGAGACGGTACACGAGACGGTTGACGAGGCGATGGACGAGACGATCGACTCGAGCGCGACGCAGCTCGAGGAGCAGCTGTACTCGACGCGCGCGATGCTGACGGAGCCGCAGAAAGTGGCGTATGCCGCGCTGGTCAAGCTGATCATTTTCCGGCTGCACCTGGACCTGTCGCTGCTGCGCGGGTCCGGTTCGTCGAGCGTGTACAAGAAGATCGCTGGGGCGCAGAAGTCGTTCACGCGGTGGAGCATGGGCGTCATGGCGCTGCTGTACGACCACCTGGGCATCCGGGAGGGCGCGGAGCGCGAGATGATCGAGAAGCTGAGCTGCCACGGCATAGAGGCGAGCGACCTGGTCGGCTGGCTCAACACGAACCTCACGCTCGACAACAGGCTGCGGCCCGAGACTGTGCGGACGATCGGCGTCGACGCGTCGGAAGCGACGCTCGACATCGACATCCGCTGGACGCTGATCTGCGACCTGTTTCTGGTGCTGCTGGAGTCGTCGACGTACGACGCGCGGTCGCGGACGCTGCTGCTGCAGTTTGCCGCGTCGATCGGGCTCGACCAGCTGGCGGTGTTCCAGTTCGAGCGGCGCATCACCGACGCGCTCGAGATGGAGGCGTCGATGGCACGGCTCAACAACTCGCAGGTCTGGGACGAGAAGGACATCCTGGCCGAGCACAAGCGCAAGTTCCGCAAGCAGAAGCTCGTCAAGATCGGGTTTGCGACCGTGGCCGGCGGGCTGGTGATCGGCCTGAGCGCCGGCATGCTGGCTCCCGTCATCGGTGCCGGGCTGGCTGCGGGGCTCACCACGGTCGGCATAGGCGGCACGTCTGGGTTTCTGGCAGGCACCGCAGGCACCACGATCATCACGTCGACGGGCGTTCTGACCGGCATGCGGATCGGCAACAAGGGCATGGGACGACGCGTGGGCGCCGTCAACACGTTTGAGTTCAAGCCGCTGCACAACACGGGCCGCGTGAACCTGGTCCTCACGGTGAGCGGGTGGATGTCGGGCAAGATGGACGACGTGCGGCTGCCGTTTAGCACGATCGACCCTGTGATGGGCGATCTGTACTCGCTGCTGTGGGAGCCGGAGATGCTCACGAGCATGGGCCAGACCATCAACATTCTGGCGTCGGAGGTGCTCACGCAGTCGATCCAGCAGATTCTGGGCAGCACGATCCTCATCACGCTGATGGCCGCCGTGCAGCTGCCGATGATGCTCTCGAAACTCGGCTATCTGCTGGACAACCCCTGGAACGTGTCTCTGGACCGGGCCTGGAGCGCAGGCCTCGTGCTGGCCGACACGCTGCGCCGCGGCAAGCTGGGCTTCCGGCCGATCACGCTCGTCGGGTTCAGTCTGGGCGCGCGCGTCATCTACAGCTGTCTCCTGGACCTTGCCAAGCGCGGCGACTACGGCCTCGTCGAGAACGTTTATCTGTTTGGGTCGCCGTTTGTGGTGAAGCAGGACCAGGTCGCGATGGCCCGGTCGGTCGTGAGCGGCCGCTTCGTGAACGGGTACTCGAAAAAAGACTGGATCCTGGGCTATCTGTTCCGTGCTACCAGCGGCGGGCTGAGCCGCGTGGCAGGACTCTCGCCCGTCGACGAGGTGGAGAACTTCAACTGCTCGGAGCTGGTCCAGGGACACATGGAGTACAGGAAGGTGATGCCGCGGCTGATGAAGGAGATGGGCTGGGAGGTGCTGAACGAGGAGTTTGTGGAGATCGACCAGCCCGACGAGGAGGAGACCAAGCGGCAGCGCAAGCTGGTGCACGACTTCGAGCAGGCGGCGAAGAAGCGCGAGGCGGCCAAGTCCAGGAAGTGGTACGACAAGCTGTTCCGCAAGAACAACAAGGAGTGGTGGGAGATGTACGAGGAGGGTGTCAAGGAGGAGGAGCAGAAGCAGGAGCTGTTCGATGTGGACGAGCTGGCCAGGCAGGTGGAGCAGATCGCCAAGGAGGCGCGCACGGAGCCGGAAACCGGCCAGCTGAAGCAGTTCAACTTGAGGACGCCGCCGGCGGGCGAGCCGTGCGACGCGGGAGACCGCAAGACCGCGTCGCCGTTCAACGTGACGGTCGTGCAGACAGAGACGGAGACCGCGGAGTACCGGCCGTTCAGGCTGAACGAGCGCAGGGAGCCGGGCTCGTGTGAGCACGCCAGGCTCAACCTCAACGCGGTGGAGACAGAAAACAGGAAGAACGAAGAGTCTACGAACATCTATGACGACGAAGACGAGTTCCCGACCGACGAGCGCAATCTGGAAGTCACCTTTATCTGATTAACGCTATAGGAACACCTGGGCGTTGATCTCGGCGAGACTGACGGCAAACGGCAGCTCGAACCGGGTCAGCACCTCCGGGTGGAGCACGCCGATGGTGCCGATGGCGTGTGCCGGCGCGTCCGGCTTGGCTCTGTACATAATTCTAGCGCCCCGTCCAGCAAAATACATCTTGACCGAGTCGTCCTGCTCGATCCAGTAGCCCTTCTTGCCGGTCTTGGCGTCGACAGCCGAGAGCCACGGCGTTCTGAAGGTCTGCATGACCTTTCCGAGCAGACCCTGGATCAGCTCGAAGCCCGACGCCTTGCCGGCGTACGCGGCGCACCAGTTTCTCTGGTTCGAGGCGCCTCTCTCGGAGTCGTCCTTCAGCACGATGTCGCCGCACTCGAACACCCTGATTGGCAGGGAGTGGTCCTTGTTCTCCTTGATGGTCTTGAGAATGCCCGGAACAAGGCTCGTTCTCACCACCTGGTACTCGACCGTCTTCGGGTTGGCCAGCTTGACGGCCCTGGAGTCGTCCGGGTTGTTCAGAAACTTGAAGTTCTCGTCGTGCGAGCAGAGCGTCAGCGGCATCACCTCGAGCCAGCCGCTCTGCGCCGACGCGACCCTCAGGATGTCGGCCACCTTGTTGATCGGCAGCGGCTGCGCCACAGTAGCCGCGGTCTTCGGAGTAGTCTTCCGGAGGTTGTCGTAGCCGTACGCAATGGCGCAGTCCTCCATGACGTCGCACTGGTGCAGGATGTCCGGCCTTGTGATCGGGATCTTCACGTCGATGACGTCTTTGCTGGACGGCGAAGGCGCCGCCTGGACAGACATCTTGGACAGCAGCTTGCACACCTCTGCCGGGCTCAGCTGCAGGCCGAGACACGAGTTGATGTAGGGAACCTCGCACTGGAGCGTGCGCTCGGTGAAGTCGGGACACAGCCGCGACTCGTGGTTGTGTGGCGACACGATCTCGACCGGCTCGACGCTGAACGGCTGCTCGCAGTACCTCGAGAACATCGCGACCAGCTGGTTGACGACTATCTCTGCCTTGGTGCGGTCGGTGGCCGTGATCTCAATGAAGACGTTCCTCGTGCTGAGACTCACCTTGGAGTGCTCCGAGTTGATGATCGGAGGCAGCGAGCACACCGTCCTGTTCGAGTCCAGTATCACAGGGTACACCGGCGAGTCTCTGATGATGTGCAGGTATTTGCCGAGGTTCTTGTCCTTTTCGTAGAACTCCATCAGCTCGTGGCCGTCCAGCTCGACCGTCTGGTTCAGAGGCACAAACTTGATCTCCGACGGGCTGAGCGCCTCGTACGTGAACGGAGGCTTCAGCGTGTCCAGGTCGTGTGTCCCCATCGCCACCAGCGTCCTGTGTCTGCACAGGTTGGTGTGCAGCTTGTCCTGCAGCGCGATGAACGAGTCGTACGACCGCTGGGTGAAGTGGATCCCGCGCAGGATGGCTGCGCACGCGTACGGCCTGATCTGCTCGGTCGACTGCTTGACCGTCAGACTGGTCGTTGGCGCGCTGAGTCTATAATTAGGCGGCGCCACGCGGCCCAGGTACTCGTTCAGCGCCTGCGCAATGCCCTCGATGCACAGCATGTCGTATCTGTTTGCACCGACCTCTATTTTCAGCTGCGGCCTCTCGTCGGTGCCCTGGACGTCGGGGGTGGTGTCCTCGTCGAGCTCGATCCCGAACTGGAAGCACAGCTCGTCGAACTCGTCCGTGGTGTAGTTCTTGCCCAGCAGGGCAAACAGGTCGGCTTTGTCCACGGCGACGGTGGGCATGTTGAAGAAAAGATGGAAGAAAAAAGAGTTACCCGGGACGCCAGGTGTAGCGCTGGAGGGTGGGTTACCCGGACACGCCGCCGACGAGGGCCCTCGTCGGCGCTGGCGAGCAGCTGTGTGCAGCAGCAGGCCTTGCCAGCGCTGCTCGCGGCTCCCGCGCCCGCACGTCGCCTTTTGCGGGGCCCCTGTTGCTCGCAAATATATATAAATGCGCTACGGTGCGGCCCCCGATTTTCTTTATCTGCTAAAGACAAGTGTAAAAAACAACCATGTCGGCAAATCGCGCAAAGACGTTTGACAAGACCATGAAGCTGCTGCTTGTCGGCGACTCCGGCGTGGGCAAGTCGTGTCTGCTTCTGCGGTTCGTGGACGACAAGTTCAACCCCTCGTTCATCACGACGATCGGCATCGACTTCAAAATCAAGACGATCGAGCTCAACGGCAGCAAGATCAAGCTGCAGGTGTGGGACACGGCGGGGCAGGAGCGGTTCCGGACCATCACGACGGCGTACTACCGCGGGGCGATGGGCATCATCATTGTGTACGACGTGTGCGACGAGAACTCGTTCGACAGCGTCAAGAAGTGGTACCAGACGGTCAACCAGCACGCCAAGGACGAAGCGCAGCTGTTTCTGGTGGGCAACAAGTGCGACGACACGGAAAGCAGACAGGTGAGCGAGAAGCAGGGCGAGCAGCTGGCCGAGGAGCTGAACGTGCCCTTCATGGAGGCGAGTGCGAAGTCCGGGCTGAACGTCAACGAGATGTTCTACAAGCTGGCGTCGCTGATTCTGGAGAAGAACGGCGAGGACCTGGCCGCGCCAGCAGACAAGCTCAACGTGCACCAGCAGAGCTCTGTTACAGGCAGCTCGTGCTGCTAGGGTATAGGCGAACTACAGGTGAATGTATGCGATATGGTTGTTTCCCAAACGATCACTGTTCCTAGGAACTTCGTAAGGATTAGGAATATACCGCCACAGGCCGAACTCGATCACACTAGTGAGAGTTCCAGGCCCGTTTGCTTTGCAATCCCTCGACGGAGCTTCCTGTACCATAGTCCCGGAGGACGGCCTCCCATCGATACGCGTCCGTGCGGACGGTAGACAGGAGATTGTACTAGCTTCTCGAGCGCCGACAAGCACCACAAGCGGCCGCTAACAAAGCAGCGGCCAGCCAGTGGTGAAGATTAAATGGTAAAGAATTTTCCACGGGGAAAAAAATTTTATAATGAGCAGGCGGATTGCGCGAACGGCCGCCAAAAAAGAGCATCTCGAGGCCGCCTCCCAGAATGAGCTGCGGCTGTCTGAGACGGAGACGTTGGCGCTCTTTGTGCCGTGGGTCGCTCCCGACACCGACGCCGTTGTGCAGCAGGTCAAGGGCGACCTGTTCAACAGGAACTATATGGAGGCCTTCAGCACAGAGGACAAGCGACGGGCGTACGCTGCGCGGTGGTCGTCGTCGCGGAGCCTTGCGTACAGCTGGTTTTTCGCGCGGGGCGCGATCGGCGACTTGCTGGCGCGGCAGGAGCGTGTACGGGTCGTGAACATCGGCGCGGGAGCCGGCGCAGAGCTGGTTGCACTGGGCAGTGTTTTTGGCGGGCTGCTCGAAACGCTGCCAATCAGCAGTCCGGCACGGTCGTGGCACGTGACAGCCGTCGACATCAGCGACTGGAGCAGCGTGGTGGGCAAGATCGCGGCGTATGTGACGGACCAGTGGGTGCGGCCGCGGCTGGTCAACGCGCAGCACTCGCTGGCGTTCGAGTTCGTGCTCGACGACGTGCTGCAGCTGCCGGCAACGGTGATGGACAGACTGCAGGGGGCTGACCTGATCACGTGCTGCTTCACGACAAACGAGCTCTTTGCCGAGAACAAGACGCAGGCCATAGCCTTGCTGAACGGGCTGTCGATGTGCCGACCGGGCACGTTGTTTCTGGTTCTGGAGTCTGCGGGCTCCTATTCGCACATCACAGTGGGCTCCAAGCGGTTCCCCGTGTACTTCCTCGTTGACACTGTCCTTTGTGGGCCTCCTGGCCGCGCGCGCGACTGGGAGCTTGTGGCGTCCAGCGACAGCGAGTGGTACCGCGTCCCGGGCGGCGTCGAGTATCCTTTGAAGTTGGAGAACATGCGCTTTTTCTATAGACTGTACAGGCGAAGATAGTATTTATAAATGCGCAGGCTGTATTTATTCCTTCTTTTTATTTCCTTTTTTTTTAAATCCCATTTTTGCCCCTAATTTATTCCCACCAACAGAGACATCCCCAAAAGCCCAGCAACCAGTGCCTTGCTTTTCCACGAGCCCTCGTAAGTTCTTAGAGGAGCGCCGCCGTTGCCTTCGGACACAATCGCGACTGAACTGCTCTGGACAACAGACGTTACCACGGAGCTGCCTTCGGTGACGTACGAGGAGCCGCTCTGCTGGACAGTGGAGGAGAAGTGCGTGGTGTATGTGGTGGTGTAGGTTGTGCCGCTGGTGGAGGCACTGACGGAGGCCCTTGCGGAACCACTGGCAGCTCGCGAGGCGAGCGTCGTTGCGGCCACACACCGCGCCCAGTAGCTGTTGGCCGTCACACATTGGTACCCGGCCAGGCAGCAGGTGTTCCCAGAATAGCCCAGGCCACCGCACTGGGCGTATGCGCCTCCGCAGCCGGAACTGGCGGTGGAAGCGGTGTCGGAGACGGAGTCGGTGATAGAGGCAGAGACCAGCTGATCCCAGGCGGTGGTGCTGGTTTCTTCCCAGGCGGCGACGGAGGTGGTGGTTTGTTCTGCCTGCCATTGGCCCTCGGTGGCGGTCGTCAGTGTGTTCGTGGCGGTGCCAGTGGCAACGGTTTCAGCAGTTTCTCCCGCAGCTGACGTTTCCACAGCCACGGAAGCCGCAGCGGACTCGTTGGACTCCCCTGAGCCAAGACCGTCGTCGTCCAGGGACCCGCTACCGGCGTAGACACCGGCGAAAAATGGCACTGCAGCAAGAGCGATGTTATGCGCGTAGACTGTTGGAAGCATGATCTGGCAGATCATCGCCGCCTTGGGACCGGCTTCTTATACCAGGCCTCGCTAAGCATCTGCTGCCAAGCCCTGCTCCAAGAAACCAGCCATTTGTTCGTCATTACGTTACCGATTTGGGGATATTAATAACATATGGACTGCCGCTTACCTAATCGTCGAAAACGCGGTAGGAACCAGCCCCTGTGACACGATGCACAGAATTCACGCCAAGGAGGCGCACGTGGGTGCATTGCAAGGTATCCGAGGCCTCTGGCGGCCGTTCGAAGTGCCACCTCCATACTAGTTCTTCGCCTGTTTGCAGATCTTCGAGGTTTTGCCAAATCTGATTCGAGCCTGAGATGGCTAGTCGGAAGCAATATTTACCTCTTTCTGTAACTAGCAGGATTTCCCCTTTGGGCTAGATTTTTTTTATCGAGCCGCACTCCTTCCCATTCCAAAAATAGAACCGTGTTGGCACTGATCTGGAACCGTCTACAAATATAAATAGGCCTGTCTCCCACCGTGTCTCGACATCACAAAAAACTCCTCTGATAAATCACAATGGCTTCTTCCGCACACTCCTACAGCTTGGTCGGCACCGCTAACGTTGCTGCCTCCAGCGCCGCTGGCTCTCACTCTGCGTCCGGCTCCTCTGGCTCTTCTTCCAGCTCCTCTGCCGGCGCTGCCGCTCTCTCCAACCCAATCTCCTACTCTGGCTCCAACTCCAAGCTGGTCGCCCTGTTTGCTGGTCTGGTGACCCTGGGAGCCGTTGTCTCTGCCCTCTAAGGACTCTGAAATGAAATTGGACGAATACATAGCTGAATAATAAATGGTGTTATATTTTGATATAACTATGCCGGGTTTTTCTTCTCAATGCTGGCGTTGAAGAACTGCAGGCTCACGCACGCGTCATTGACGCCCGTGCTGGGCGTCGCGTCCTCGATGAGCTCCGCGCCGCGCACGTGGAACCGCACCATCGTCTCGCCCGCCGTGTCTACCAAGTAGTACCTGTGCTCGCTTTCGGGCAAGGGGTCGTCGCGCAACCGCACAAACCGCGGGTCTTCCAGCAGGAACTTGAGCTTGTTGTTGTAGCTTGGCGGCGTGATGTTCATCGTGTGCACAGTGCGCTCCTGCGCGCCGGCCGTCGGCAGCGGCGAGTTCGTCGGCGACAAAAACGACGACGACGTCGGTGTTCCTTTGCTCAGCGACAGCGACGTGATAAACGGTGGCTGCGGCGTCTGCGTGGCCGGCTGGCTCGGCGTGTTCAGCGTCTCGGCCAGCTGCACTTTCAAAGAGATGAGCGTGTCGTAGAGCAGGTTTTTCAGCCGGAAGTTGCGCTCCATCACCGCGTGGCTGAACAGCTTGGTTAGATTCACCAGAAACACGTCTCGTTGTAAATTGACCGACCGCTTCAGAATCAGGTCCACCAAAAAGCCCCGGTGGATGAGCACGATCCGCGACACAAACATCACCGCGTGCTCGAGATCGTCCAGGCTGCGGGTCGCGTCCATGTTTGAGCAGTAGTACATGAGCTTTTCGAGCGACAGGTTGAGCGAGAACACCAGAGAGTCGCTGAGCGCGATGGTCTTGGGCTGGCGCAGCCGCGAGCATGCGGACGCGACGTCCATCAGCATGCGCGCGCAGTTGCGCCCGTTGACAAGCAGCCGCGGGAAGTGCTCCGAGCCCAGATACAGCTCTTCACAGCAGTGGAGCACGCGCAGTTTGAAGGAGTCGTCGAGCAGCTCGAACAGGTCGCCCGCGAGCACGGCGCTGCCGGGGTCCAGCTGCGCGAGCAGCCCCAGGAGCAGGTCCGCAAGACCTTCGTCGCGCGCGGTCTCTGGCAACAGTCGGGCAAACAGCAGCTGCGCCAGCGGCAGCGAGAAGTAGTTCAGCTTGCGCACGAGTGGGACTAGCGGGGCTTGCGCGGACTCGTCGCCGGCGACGCCTACCAGCGTCAGCAGGTTCTGCGTCTGTGGCCTGGCGGGTTCTGCGTCGCGCAACGAGCCCAGCAGCAGGTGCCTGTCTGCTGCCAATATGAACCACACGCCGTTAGCGATAAGCGCGTTGGGGCGGCGCATCTTGGCCGTCGGGCGCAGCAGTCGCCCGGACGGCGTCTGCTCAACGGGCACCACAGACAGCTCTGAGAGCGGGTTGAGATCGTCGACGCCGACGCCGACGTCGGCAGTCACGAGATTCACGTCGGTGAGCGACGAGGCCGGCCGCGGCGTGGCGACGGGCGCCTTGCACAGCACGCGCGCAAGGTGTCGCGCAAACGCGGCCGTGTGGCCCAGACGGTACGCCTTGCGCTCGCACGCGAGCAGCTGCGCGTCGTGGGGCGTGAGCTCGAACTCGTCGCAGAACAGCAGGTCCCACGCGAGCCGCTCGCCGCCGTTGCTATGGAAATCGTCGCCCGTCGCGCCGGCAAACAGCTGCAGAACGGCGTGGATGTCGACAAAGCCGTCGATGACAAGCCGCAGCACGAGCCGCAGCGACGCATCGTAGTCGAGCGACAGCGTCGGCAGCACAAACTTGCGCAGGTGCGAGAGCAGCACAGCGCCGAAATCGGCGCGCCGCCAGAGCTGGAGCTGTTTCAGGAGTCGTGCAACAGGCGGGCTGCTCGTGGGGGTATACGCAACGTCGCTGGCTGCGTTCCAGTACTGCGTGATGGCCTGGTTGAGCGAGTGCGAGAACTCGGCCGCGTTCAGCAACCGCTCGGGCGACGACAGGCCCAGCAGCCCAAGCAGGCTCGTGTCGAGCTGGTCGAGCGTGAAGTCTGTGTGCTTAGGATCCAGCGGCGGCATCAGTTGCGTGTCGAAACGCACGTCCAGCAGCAGAGTGCACACGCCGTGCTTGTCCTTCTGCGCCCATGCGGCGAGCAAAGCGTGCACTCTTTGTAGCAGCGACTGCTCGCCGTCGTGGCAGCACGCCAGCAGGTCTGTGTGGTGCGCAACCAGCCGCAGCAGCAGCAGCAGCGTTTCGCGCGGCACAGTTGGCTGTGTGTCGGCGTGCTCGACGGCTAGCGCAAGAAACGGCGCTGTCTGGCGAAACCGCTCGTTGCACAGCCGGTACACAAACAGCAGCGCGTCGGGCGTCTGCAGCCACAGGGCGTCCTGGCGCAGCCGCGCGCTGAACCAGGGGTACAGCCGCACGCGGGAGCCGGTGTCGAGCGGCTCGGCGTGCGGGTCGTCTTCGTCGCACGGCCAGAGCGCGGCCACGTCAAAAGTGGCCGGCAGCGAGTCCAGCGCTGCGGCGAGCCGCTCCTGCAGCGACGGGGTCTCTGCCGTGCGCAGGGCCACGCCCGTCGTGTCCGCGAGCCGCCGCAGGATGTTGCGCGCGTTCGAGTCCTGCACGGGCAACGCGTCCAGAATCAGCAGGTGCACGTAGCACGACGAGTCCGCGTCCTGTAGATAGATCACGCCCGAAGCAATCAGTCGCCGCAGGTACGACGACAGCACAAACAGCCCCAGAGCGTGCAGCTCGGTCACCAGCAGCAAAAACCGCGACAGGCTGTACACGCTGTGTTCGGGCTCGCCGAACCGCAGCGTCTCGGCCATCTGGTACGCGAAGTCGATGATGGCCATCTCGAGCTCGAGCTTGAGGTGCTTGTTCTTCCTGGACTTGACTTGCGCGAGCTGCTGCACCTGGAGCCGCAGCAGCGAGCACACGGCGCAGATGCGCGCGCCGCTGTCCTGTTCGCGCAGCGTCGTGACGCTCCACCGCAGAAGCAGGCCCAGCGTGGCTTTCCAGTCGTCTGCCGCGCCCGCGTCGTCGTCGGACGAGTCCTCGAACGTGTCGCGGCACAGCGTCCGCAGCGACAGCGTGCGCACGGCCTCGAGCCGCAGCATCGCCGCGACGGCCCGCCTGCTGCCAAAGTTGGTGTACGCGTCCTCGGCAGACTCGTCGATCATCATCGACTCGTTGCGGTACGCGATCAGCTTGTACTGCTCGCACACGGGCGGGTACGACACGTCGATCACGGAGCGCAGCGTCGCCTTGAGCGCGTTCCACGAGTTTGGAATGATAAACGCGTCCGAGTTGTAGTAGAACAGGTACTGCACGAGCAGCCGGAACTCGGCAAGCAGCCGTGGCTGCTGCACCGCCGACACCGCGCGCAGCAGTTTCTCGCCCAGCTCCTTGGAGATGTAGTCGACGGCGATGAGCTTGGACCAGAAAAGACGCAGAAACTGGAAGTGCACGGCCACAAGCTTATGCTGGCCCGAGCGCAGCAGCCGGTCCAGATAGTTAACGATCCACGCGAGAAACGTGTCTCTGCTGAGCAGGTCCTCCAGGTACAGGTTGCTGCTGAGGTCGAGGACGTAGCCGAGCCGGAGCCGCCACGCGTCGCGGTTCGCGGGCGCAAACGAGGCGGCAACGACCTGCTCGAGAAACTGCACCACCTGCTCGGTCCACTCGACCATCCACTTGCCCAGCGCAGCCGGGTTGGGCAACTTGCGCTTCAGCTGGCGCTGCTCGTTCGCCGAGACGCAGCGCACGAGCCACACGGCGCGCAGCACCGGCACGCGGTGCGCTAGACACTGCTCGAGCAAAAACCGGTTGCGCAGGCCGTGCGGGATGGCGCGGGCAAGCTGGCGCAGCGGGATCGACGCGTCCGCGAGGTTGCGCATCCACAGGTCGCGCTTGTGGTCGGTGAGCGTGACGCGCGGCGGCGGGCGGTACGTCGACTTGGAGCGAATCTTGTTGATCTCGCGGCGGCGCGCGAGCGCGCGCACCATGACGTCGCTCAGCAGACCCATTTTCCAGCGCGGGCCGGGCTCGGCGACGTCGGGCGTGGTGCGGTTGAGCAGCTGCGTGAAGATCTGGCGGCCCGAGTGCGACTCGCTCGGCACGGCGGCGGTCTCGTAGTAGCCTTTTTGCAGGTGGTTTTTCATGATGATGTCGTCCTTGGCGGAGTGTTTCCAGATCCTGAAGTCGGGGAAGACGGGCTCCCTGGCGCCGCTGGCGTCCTCGCCGTTGAGCGGGTACACTCCAGCGGGATTGGGCACCTGGCCGCGGAAGAGCGTCATGGACGGGAAACTGGTAGGGTCAGGTGAAACAAAGCAAAAAATACGAAATAATTATTTAATTTAATTATTTTTGTCCATGAACACGCACCGGCCTATCGAGCCCGTGGCCGCGCGCGAGCCGGCCGTGCTCAACGCCGCGTTCAACCAGGACCAGTCGTGCTTCGCCGTGTGCCACGAGACCGGGTTCCAGGTGTACAACACCGACCCGATGGAGCTGCGCATGAAGCGCACGTTCAGCACGAGCGGCGGCGTCGGCCTGATCGCAATGCTGCACCGCACGAACTACGTCGCGCTCGTCGGCGGCGGCCGCCAGCCGCGGTTCCCCGTCAACAAGCTGTGCATCTGGGACGACCTGAAGAAGAAGCCGTCGATCATGCTGGAGTTCATGAGCCCGATCCTCAACGTGCTGCTCTCGCGGATTCTGATCGTCGTGGTGCTGAAAAACAAGGTCCTGATCCACGCGTTCGAGTCCAAGCCCAAGCTGCTCGCCCAGCACGAGACCTACGACAACGACGCCGGCGTGGCCGAGCTGAGTGTCAACGAGCAGACCAGCGTCCTCGCGTTCCCCGGCCGCGCTATTGGCCAGATCCAGCTCGTCGACGTCTCGCCCGCACACCGCGACCGCAACCTCATCTCCATCATCAAGGCCCACAGGTCCAAGATCCAGTGTCTCGCCATCTCCAACGCGGGCCACCTGATCGCGTCCGCGTCGCAAACAGGCACCATCATCCGCATCCACGACACCGCCAAGTGCTCGCTGCGCTTCGAGCTGCGGCGCGGCCTCGACCGCGCCACCGTCACCTCCATCAAGTTCTCGCCCGACGACTCCAAGCTCGCCGTGCTCAGCGACAAAAACACTCTCCACGTGTACAATCTCGCCGTGGCCGACCCGCAGCCCCGGTCCGCCATGAGCAACCGGCTCCACCTGCTCAGCGCGGTCCCGCTCATGCCGACGTACTTCCGCTCCGTGTGGTCTTTTGTCAGCTACCACATCGACACGAAGGACGACGCCGTCAACGACTGCGGCGTGCTCGGCTGGGCCGACAACGAGAGCATCGTCGTGCTCTGGAAGAAGAAGGGCATCTGGGAAAAATACGTGCTAGTTGAGAACGAGAGATGGACGCTGGTCCGCGAGGGCTGGCGCCGCTTCGAGGAGTAGATACGCTATAGCTTGGCCTGTGGTGCGGGGTGTGGGCCGATCGCCGCCTCGAACCACACCCGAACACCCCTCTGCCCCACGATCCTGCCCCGCCGCACCCGCGCGCCCCATCCGTGGCGCTCGAGCTCCGCCACAGCCACATGCACGCTTTCCAGGCTGTCCCCGAGAACAGCGATCTCCGCCACCCGGTGTGCGGCCGCCAGTGTCGCGAGACTTCGCACGCACGCGCGCGCCTGCCCAGCCGCGTCCGGCGACCCCGAAACGTCGTAGACAGATACTCGAAACATAAATGAAGGCTCCAGGGATCTAGAAATTAAATGTCTGAATACTCGTGATTATTTCGATTTCAAAAATTCGCACGTATTTGCATTATTCGATTATCTGGAAAATATTTCGATAAGATAAATAAATGCACACTGTTTGCTGCTCAGCCTGCGGCCTGCCTGGCGTTCTGCGCTACTCGCTGCACCGACGGCCCTGGACGGCTTTTGGCCCCCTTCAAGAGCTCTTTTTTTCCACCCTTTGCTCCCGTGCGTCAATCTCGGATCGGCCGTCTGCGTTGCCCGCATCGACCCAAATAAACAGAAACTCCTTCTAGGAATCACTTTGTGCTGCTCTTTCTGTACGGGAACAGCCGTTGTGTCGCTGCAACCAAGGCGGCCTGTTCACGAAGACTTTCGCACGCCCCACGGTCCACGTAGCGTATTTTGCAGTTGATGGGTGCCGTTGCTAGTCGTAAAAACAGCTAGCTACCAATTCTCTCGTCGAGCAGCTCTGCGCGCACGAGCGGCAGTTCCGCATCGTAGAATAGGTGTTCGCCGTCGGCCATCAGCACACACCGCCGCGCGTCCGCGTCGGTCTCGAATATCGCAACGTACGTGCTCAGCCCCGTTGTTCTGTCGGTGTACACCTGGCGCAGACCGAGTTCGTGGGCCTGGTACAGATTGAGCTCGCAGAACGAGTCCAGCAGCCGGCGACGGCTGGTGTTTTTCGGGATGTTGTGCAAGACGACACACTGGCACCGCTCGACGGGGTGCTCTTGCAGAAACTCGAGCAGTCCGCGGTCCTGCTGTGGGTCCAGCCACGGCTGTTGTTTGAGGAGAGTCAGTAAATTTGATAGGTGGGGGCTTTTCTGCAACGCATGCATTTTATGGTCCATGCTCTGTTTGAGGGCGTCCCAGTTCACCAGCTCCTTGCGGATTCTTGTGTCAGCAAGCACGGGGAAGAACATCTGGCCCATCTCGTCCTCAAAGTTCACAAAGGTGAACGACACGTACGAGCCGTTAAACAGCGCCGACCGTGCGTCGCTCCAGAACACCGCCGCGTCGTCGAACGAGTCGAAAAACACGTAGTAAGCGCCCGTCGGCTGCAGCGTCTGCACGTAACGGCCCTTGATTATGTCTCTGATAACGGGCTTGGCGGCGTATTTCGTCGGTTTCAGCTGGTACATGCGCACAATGTCGGACGCAGCAATGTAGCCGGCCTTGCTGTGTGCCTTGAGAATGTGGCTGTGGCACGGCAGACCGGCGGCCTCGTCCACCGCCTTGCGCGGGCTTGTTCTGCCCAGGACGGGCTGTTCGAGCGCGTGCTGGCGCACAGTTTGAAATCGCCGGTTCACAAGATTTCCCAGCCGCGCCACAGCGTGTTGGTCGGCGGTGGCCAGCAGATGACGAAGCCCTGGGGCGACCATTTTTTTAGCGCTGAATGTTTCGACCTCTTATTTTGCAGAGGGTTTTTTTTTTTGTTTTATCTATTTGTATATAGTCACCAAACAGATTTAATTGGTGATCGTCGCGGCCCGCTTGTACATAGTCAGCTTAATTCCGCTTCGATCTTCAACGATGGCAAATTGGAGTCCTTTCAAGGGCGGTTCAGGTGAGTATGAACACCAGGGCAAAGCCCGTGCTAACGGCAGTGGAAGAAACAGCCAGCAGTCCGTGGGACACGCCTGCGGGCGGTGAGGGCGTCGGCAGCAGCACAAAGGTGATTTCGACGGCCGAGCTCGACAACGAGGTGGCCAGCATCATCTCGAGCCTGAGCGGAGCCAAGTCGAACCTGTTTGGCCAGCCTAACTCCGTATTTGCACAGCCGGTGAGCGCCACACTGGGCGAAGGGCTGGCGAGCGACTCGGGGTCGGAGTTCCCGAACCTGAAGGACGCGCTGAGCGCAATCAGCGCGCCGGTGCCGCAGCACAAGTCCAGGTTCACCAACAACCTGTTTGGCGCGGCGTCCATCTCGGGCGTCAACGTCTCGAGCTTCAGTCAGTCGGGGCTCGGGTCGTCCAATTTTTTGGAGAAGTTTGCGTCTGTGACAGAGAAGACGCGGGAGCTCGAGCTCAGGATGGCCAGACTCAACATCCAGAACTCCGCTACGCCGTCCACGGGCTCGGGAAACACCGGCTCGCTCTCCTCGTCGGAGCTGGACCCGTCGCGTCGCTCGTCCAACCTCAACAGCACGGAGATCCCGTCGCCCCAGGCGGCTTTCAGGGAGCCCAGAAAACAAAGTTTCAGCGAGAAGTTCGACAACTACGTCTCCAACACCAACTCGCCCACCAATCAGTTCGTCACGGGCTCTCCCAACGCCCTCTCCTTTGCGGACGTACCGTCTGAACACAGCTCGGCCATTTTGGAGTCTCCCCATGACCACGCCAAGAGCCCATGGAACCCGGCAACGGCGCCTACGTTCCAGCCTCGCGGTTTCGAGAAGCCGATGGCCCCCCAGTTTGGCCCGGCGTTCGACCCAGAGATGAACGGGTTCCCCATGATGCCGCCTTACGGCCTGGGCCAGTGGCCTGCGTGGGGGCAGATGCCGCCTCCGCCGCCGATGGGGCCTTTTGCACCTGGACCAGGGCCTGATGAAGAAGGCTGCGAAAAGACCGACGACGAGCAGCAGGCCGGCGTGCCTGCGCCGCAGGGCTTTTTCCAGCCAGGTTTGCGGTCCATGACGCCTTTCATGATGCCTTCGTTCAGTCCTTACGGGTTTGTCGCGTCCCCTCCACCGGTGGTGCCTGCCGAGGTGTCGCCGCTGCAGCACGAGGCCCACATAGCCCCGTCCAAAACCGGGTCTCCTGGGAAACCGATCAAGAAGAGCATCTCGCCCAAATCTGCCAAGATGAAGAAGCACATTGTGCGGTCGCCGTTGCTTGAGGAGTTTAGAAACAACAAGAACAAGGAGTACACGTTGAAAGACATCTACGGCCATGGCTACGAGTTTGCAAAAGACCAGCACGGATCCCGGTTCATTCAACAGCAACTGGCTCTGTCCAACGAGAGAGACAAAGAGGTGATTTTCAACGAGATCAGAAATCATGCAATGGACCTCATGACGGACGTTTTTGGAAACTACGTGATCCAGAAGTACTTCGAGCACGGAAACGACATCCAGCGGAAAGTGATGTTTGAATCGATGCGCGGGAGCTTTTACGACCTGTCGTTGCAGATGTACGGGTGTCGTGTGGTACAGAAAGGCTTGGAGGCTCTGGAGCTGGAAGACCAGCTGCAGATCCTGGACGAGCTGAGAGAAAACATCTTGCTTCTGGTGAAGGACCAGAACGGCAACCACGTGATCCAGAAGTCGATCGAGTGCATTCCGATAGCCAAGATCCCATTCATTTTGGACTCGATCAAACACCAGATCTACCATCTGTCAACGCATCCGTACGGCTGCAGAGTGATCCAGCGACTATTGGAGTTTTCGGACGAGGCCGACCAGCAGTTCATTCTGGACGAGCTAAAGGACTACGTGTACTATCTGATCCAGGACCAGTTTGGAAATTACGTGATCCAGCATGTTATCGAGCACGGCTCTGTCAAGTACACGGACGAGATACTGCAAGTTGTGCTGGATAATCTGGTCGAGCTATCGAAGCACAAGTTTGCGTCGAACGCTGTGGAAAAATGTATTATTCATCAAACTGAGGAAAACAGGGGTAAGATCTACAAGGAGATCATGCGCGACAACATGGATCCGCACGGCAAGCTGGACGAGAACAGTTGTCTCTGTGTGATGATGAAAGATCCGTTTGCGAACTACGTGGTGCAGAAACTTGTAGAGCTCGTTGACGACCAGAAGAAGGGGCTACTGGTGAAGAAAATTCGGGACTACCTGAAGCTGATCAGCAAGAACAACTATGGCAAGCATTTGGCTAGTATTGAGAAGCTGATTGCGTTGAGCGAGACTTATGGAGACGGTGCACGGGTGTGATTTCTTATATATAGTGGTTTTTTTTTTTTGTACAAAAAAAATTAATTTTTTACTCAATCCTAATAATGCCTCTGTTTTCGCCGATCCCTGAGAGCGTGGCGTCGCAGGAGAGCATACTGTCTGCCGACGAGATGGAGAACGTGCCTGATATTGATGATATTTTCTCGCGGCTGCGCGAGGCCACGGGGACGGCCAGCAAGCCTGCTTCGAAGGCCTCTTTTGAAGAGATACAAAAGGTGGCTAGTAAACTGCCAAGGCTGTCTTCTGGCGAACTGGTGAGTGCGCAGAAGCAAAGACGCATTGCAAAAGTGGACGATCCGATTGAGGTTGCGCTGCCGAAAGAGCAGAAAGCGGCCAAAAGCGTCTCGGAACGCTGGTTTGAGCTACCCAAGGTGGAGCTCACCGACAAGCTCAAGAGAGATCTTGTGATACTGAAGAACCGAGCGTCAATTGACCCGAAGCGATTCTACAAGAAGGACAAGTGGGAGATCCCGGAGCGGTTCCAGGTGGGGACCCTGCTTAGCGGGCCTACAGACTTCCATAACAGAATACACAGAAAGAGCCGCGGAACCGGGTTTGTTGACGAGCTGCTAAAGGACGAACAGACAAGCGGGTGGCTGAAGAAGCGGTTTGAGGAGGTGCAGGTGAAGAAAGGAGGACGCAAGGTGCGCAAACCGAAAAAGCGGAGCAGGCTGTAGCCGGCAGTGTGTAGCGATGATTAACGATAATTATATTGATGCTAGTTCATTGCTTCGTGGAGAATTGCGTGGGATGGCACTCGCCAAACACTTTTATTTTCTCAAAGTTCCGTTGACGGATGCTTTTCCAGAGGATTTTACGGTCTTTGGATGAGAGGTTGTCGACGTCGACGCCGACCTGGCTGCTATAGTAAAACTCAAACAGTGTCTGGGCCGCCACCAGCAGGTTGAGAAAGTAGTTTCGCAGGGCCACGGCCATGAACTGGGGGCCAAACTGACGCGAGTTCTGGATCGAGACCTGGGCCACAAGGTTCTTGAACTGCGGGTCTATGTTGAACTCTTTGAACAGATCGGAGTCGACGAGCGCCTGCTGAAACTTGTCGGGCGAGTCGTCGAGAGCGTTAATCTGCAGAAGTTGGTCGTCTAGGGGTGTACGTGCTGACACGTTGAAGAGAAATTTGTTGAATTTTGGGTCTTTGAGAGCGCGAATTTTTGCGAGCTCGCTGGTGAGCGTTGCGCGGGCGCGTTCCTCCACCTGCACACTAACGTGGCGGCCCCTCCACTCTGGCGGGAGACTGCTGGTGCGAACACAAAGCAGCACCCTCAGCAGATTGAGGTTCCAGTCTATCAGTTTCTCGGGTGAGTTTTTGTTCGCGCCGTCGTGCGTCTTGCGCAGCAGCACGCTCAGCTCGTTGAACACCTGGCTCCCCACGTCGGCAGACGCCGAAACGTGATCCAGCGCCGCGCTTAGCCCGATCGTAAGCGTTTCCCTCTGCGGCACAGGGTCCTGGTAGTCAAGATTCGGCACCTGGACCGGCTCGCTCTGCACGCTCGTGGCGGCAGAGTACATGGAGGTCGGAATTGAATACACCGACTGGAAAGAGTCCTGGGATGGCGTTCTTGTGAGCGGGCGCGAGGGCTGAGGTCGCCGTTTGGCAAACAGCGCGGACCCGTGGCGGACACGGTCTATTAGTGACTCGTTTCTTGATTTCGGCTTGTTGAGGTTGTCGAGCACTACTCGCCGTGCCTGCTCGGTGATTTCCTCTGGCGGCTTGAAAGATTGCTCTCTGAGGGTGAACATGAAGAAATATGAAGAAAAGAAAGAAATCGAAATTCCAGTATTTTATACGACAAAAATCCCCCCACACGGAACATTACGTTGAAAGCAGGAAAAAATCGGATTATTTTATTGTTGAGGCCACTTTCATTGTTTTTCCCCGTTCTAAATCCGCCTGTGTCTATCTTATTGGACAGAACGGTCGTTCCCCGGAAAATTAATACAAGAGGAAGGAAAAAAAGATTATCCGCGCGGCGTATCATTCGTTGATTCTACGGTCTGTAGACTTGCCTGTCTCGCGGCGCCGCTTCATGATGATTTCTGCCTCTTGGAGCCCCCGCTTCTTCACCAATTTCGAGTGGAACAGTCCGCATGCATTGCACAGGGTCCGCGTCCCGTTAGGACCCTTGCGCCACTCCGGCGTGTTGATCGATCCACAGTGAAGACACCGGGTGCGCGGTTTCACACTCAGTTCCTGTTGCAACGTGCCTTGCGGAACAAATTTGGGCATCTGGTCTGTGTCAGTTTCAGAGATGATAAGCGGCTTGGGAGGATGCACTCTTAACAGCGCCGACTCGCCCGTGATGGACGGCTCCGACTTGGTCGGACGGTGTGCTTGCACTTTGGACTTGACTGTCTCTTGGTAGGCTATTGTGCGGTGAATGTTTTCCGGCTCGCTGCGAACGGCGAATTTTGGATAGCGGCGGTCGCGTATGTACTGGAGAAAAATGCGGATTTGGTCTGTGTTTCTGATGGCGCGGTCGATTTCCAGCTCGGATAGTGGCGGCAGCTGGTTCAGCGTCGTGAGTGGATGCATAAACTGACTGAGCTCGTTCATGTTCTGCTGCGCGCCGCGGAGCCTGTCGGCGAATTCTTGGTTAGGATCCACCGCCGGGAACCGAAACTGCTCAGGAACAATATACTCAGCTGATGGAGGGTTGGAAAAACTCACCACCGACGGCGGGCCTTGTGGACCCAGCGGGCTCGGCTCGAGAGAGCTCGTCGTGCTGGCCGGCAGGGGCACGGCGAAATTCGCGGCAGACGTGCCCTGGGCTAGGTATCCTACGTCAGAACTCCTTCTCAAATGCATCTGCTGAAACGAGGGATAAAGGTCTGTTGGCAGGCTCGGCAGGCGGCGGTGAGATGGGCCATGCGTCTCTGGGGGCGCGGGAGGGTCCTGCTTCGGGAAGGTTCTGGTCAGCTCATCGAAGGAAGGAAGCTTCACATTCAAGTGATTGGGATCTCTTTTTTGCATCAATGAAATCATTCGGATCCCCTTGAGATACGAGATGAACAGCCAAACTGCTCGAATTTCGTGAAAATGCCAGGTTCTGTTGCTTTATATTTGTTTCCCTTCTGAGCGTTGGCTAGCTGGGCCAGTCGCTAAACTCATGCACCCGATATTCTGCAAGTGCAGCCTGGAGCAACCTCTAAAAAATCGCCGCCTGCAGCTCAGCGAAGGAAACGCGCACTAAAATTTCCGTAGCCGCACGCGATGCAGAACGCTATATTACACGTCTCCCACCGTCGGGGGCATTTGCTACTGTAGTACAGAATGCCGGTTATTACATAAAAGAATGCACGCATCTATTGCACGCCCTGAATTATAACTTTAATAACATCGGTGCGGCCAGCCTTGACGAGTTCAAATGCTTCCTCGGCCTGCTCAAACGTGAAGCGGTTCGTAATCAGAGGCTTCACCTTCACCTTGCCGCTGGCAACCAGGTCCACCGCGATCGGATACACCCCTCCAGAGTAACGAATACTACCCGTCCAGTTGAGTTGCTTCACAAGGGCCTCTGTCACTGGGAAACTGACAAACTCGCGGCCCATGCCGGCCTGCACAAAGCGTGCCTCGGGCTTAGCAAGAAAAATGCCGACCTGGATGCACGGCTCTGCACCTGATGCTTCCAGAATCACATCTGCTCCAGAACCTAAATCAAACTTAGATTTGATATCTCCGGACACCCTTTTGGCGAACGCCTCGTCGGACTCGTTCGCATCCTTCAATGGCATCTTGTACACGCCATCGGCTGCGTACTTGGACGCAAATTCCAGCCGGCCGTCGTTGATGTCGCACCCAATAACCGTGCGGCAGCCGTACGCTTTGGCAACCGCCTGGGTCAGCAGACCGATCGGCCCGCATCCAAACACAACGACCCTATCCACGGCCTGGAGAAGTGCCCGCTTGCAGATCTGCACGGCCACACTGACTGGCTCCACCAATGCAGCCTCCTCCATGTCCATCGAGTCTGGGATCTTGTACACGTAGTCGTAGGCCACGGTGTAATACTTGGCCAGAGTGCCGTCGTCGGGCGGAGTTGCGGCGAACTTCATGCTTTCGCAGTGGTTGTAAAGCCCGTCGCGACACAGCTCGCAGAACCGGCACGGAACACCCGGCTCGATGGCTACACGGTCGCCCACTTTCAGGCCCTTCACGGCGTCGCCAACCTCCACAATCACACCGGACGACTCGTGGCCCAGAATCATGTCCATGCCTTTCTCAAACACAAACTTGCCGATCCTGCCCTTTTGCCAGTAGTGCACGTCGCTGCCACAGATACCCGTCTGGGCAACGTGCACTCTCACGTCCGTGTCTTTGATTGGCTGCGTCTTGCGCTCCTCGAACGCAACGTGCTTGATATCCTTGAGAACAAATGCCTTGTATGTTGGGTCCACCATTCTGTGGATCTCCTAGCCAGCAGACCCGCGGCTTATATATCCACGGCCTCGGAATCAGTCGCCCCCATTAAATGCCAGATCTGCAAAAAATTGTGGGGCACCACCAAACCCGGTCTGCACTATAAAACCGGGTACTTTCCCTCTGAACTCCGGTCCAAATATGCTGTTCACCCCAGAAAACGCACACGTCAACACTCTCTTCTCCCTCAAAGGTAGAGTTGCCTTTATCACCGGCGGCTCGCGAGGCATCGGTCTCGGCGCGGCAATCGGCCTCGCTGAGGCTGGCGCAGACGTCGCCATCACGTACAACTCGTCCTCGCCAGAGGCCATGAAGGAGCTCGCAGACAGCTTCGCACAGTATGGCGTCCGATTCAAGGCGTACAAGTGCAACGTCGCCAGCAAGGCTGCCATCGAGTCCACCACCCGCGAAGTTCTCGCAGACTTTGGCCGTTTGGACATTGTGATCCCGAACGCAGGAATCTGCATTCACCAGCCGGCAGAAGACTTTTCTGAGGAAGACTTCAGAACCCAGATGTCGGTCAATTTGGACGGAGCCTACTTCACGGCCCAGGCCGCCGCAAAAGTGTTCAAGGAGCAAAAGGCAGCAGGAACTTTGGATCAGGGCCGCATCGTTTTCACGGCCTCTGTTTCGTCACTGATTGTCAACTATCCTCAAAAACAGGCCCCTTACAATGCTAGCAAGGCCGGCCTTGTCAGATTAGCTGCCTGCTTGGCCGTTGAGTGGATCGACTTTGCAAGAGTCAACTGCGTGTCGCCAGGATACATCGACACGGATATGGTGGATGTGCACCCACCAGAGTGGAAGAAAACGTGGGGGCAGATGATTCCTGCACAGAGAATGTGTGAGACGTACGAGCTCAAGGGCGTGTATGTGTTTCTGGCCAGCGACGCGTCGTCCTACATGACGGGCGCCGAGCTCGTTGTGGGCGGAGGCTACACCTTGACCTGAGCGTTTAGAGACGGTGCCAGTATAGATAGGTCGTTGGTAGCATTCTGTAGCCGTTAATGCAGTCTAGAAAGCATAAAACCACCCGTAAGCGGTTACCATCTTACCCCGAAGGGCTATCGACTCCCGCGCACAAGGCTTTGTCTCTGAGAAAAATTTAGGCATCCTGCAGGTTCCCCACCTTCTCCACTTTCTCCGAGCATGGGTGTGTCTGGGGTAAATGCTGCAAGGGCGACTATCGCCCTCTGTCTGTGAAAAAGTCCGTTTTGCACGCTATAAAGCGGCCATCAAACGCTAACGTTTCTTCATCATTCAGCTATGCCACAGTCTATCAGAAGAGCCAACCCACCTATCAGTGAATCCGTCTTCGAGATGTTCTCGATGAAAAACAGACTCGTCATTCTCACCGGCGCGTCCGGTGGCATTGCCCATGAAGTCGCTCGTGGCCTTGCAGAGGCGGGGGCCAACCTCGCGCTCTGGTACCACAAAAACCCCTCCGCAAAGACGCTGGCCGAAGAACTGATTTCCAAATACGGAGTCAAGGCCAAAGCGTACCAGGTGGACGTGCGCCATTATGAAGAGGTCGAATCTGCCGTTGCTGCTGCGCTCGCAGATTTCGACGGCAAGCTCCACTGCATGATTGCCAACGCAGGCATCCCTGCCAAGGCCGGTGGACTGGACCAATCTCTGGAGGCTTTCCACGACGTGGTGGACACAGACTTCAACGGAGCGTACTATTGCGCCCGTGCAGCAGGATTTGTGTTTAGGAAACAGGGCTTTGGAAGCCTGATTTTCACCGCCTCCATGTCGGGCCACATCGTCAACGTACCACAGCAGCAGGCAGCCTACAACGCTGCCAAGGCAGGCGTCATCCACCTGTCCAAGTCGCTTGCTGTTGAGTGGGCCGATTTTGCCAGAGTCAACTCCGTCTCGCCAGGATACATCGACACAGCAATTTCCGGCGACTGTCCGTTCGAAATGAAGGAGGCTTGGTTCAGGTCCATCCCTTTGCACAGAGACGCCGATCCACGTGAACTCAAGGGTATCTACCTGTATCTGGCATCGGACGCGTCCTCGTACACGACCGGCAGTGACTTCATTGTCGACGGCGGATTCTGCTGCCCGTAAATCTCCAGTCCGCACCAGGTGCACACACACCCTGTGACGTATGGGCTTTTTCCTGCAACCCCAGGTTTTTTCCTAATGCGGAACGCAAGTGTGTAGCTATAAATATGCGTCTGAATATTGGCTTGTCCCCTAGCTCTGTAAATGATTCGTCTTAACACCACCCCCATCGAGGAGATTGTCGGGCCTGCCATTGCCCAGGTGCTTCCCAAACACGAGAAACCCTGGTGGAGAACCAAACACCTGCTCGTTCTCAACTGTCTGATGCTGGTCCCGCTGTTGTCGTCTGCTACCGCAGGCTACGACGGGTCGCTGATGAACGGTCTGCAGTCGCTGCAAGAGTGGCGGGACTTTTTTGGCAACCCGCATGGAACTATGCTTGGTTTCATCAACGCAGCACAAAATTGCGGCTGTCTGATTGCGCTACCAACGGTCGGATGGCTCACCGACAGGATCGGCAGAAAACCCGTTTTGATCAGCGGTCTTTTTGGAATCATCGTCGCCACCATCATCCAAGCAACCGCCTTCTCGATGGCCCAGATGATCGTGGCTCGATTTATTGTCGGTGCCGCTGGTATGTTTGCCGTGCAGCCCGTGTCACTGCTGACTGCTGAGCTGGCGTATCCGTCCTTTAGAGGAAAACTGACGTCGCTGTACTGGTGTATGTGGTATCTTGGTGCCATCTTGGCGTCCTGGTCGTGTTACGGCACCTCGGGCCGCGGAGACTCGTGGGCCTGGAGAATACCCACCATCTTGCAGGCCGGCTTCCCTTGTGTCCAGCTTCTTTTCATGTGGCTCGTTCCAGAGTCGCCTAGATGGCTGGTCTCCAAGGGAAGAATTTCTGAGGCTCGCGCCACCCTCGTCAAGTACCACGCCAACGGCGACGACAAGCTGCCACTGATCGACGTCGAAATGACAGAGATCATCCAGGCGCTCGACCTGGAGAAAGAGGCAGCCAAGTCCAGGTGGCTGGACCTTGTCAGGACGGCCGGAAACAGGAAAAGAACTTACATCGCGCTCAGCGTCGGTGTCGGTGCGCAGTGGAATGGAATCGCCGTTGTTTCGTACTACCTCACGCTTGTTCTCGACACAATCGGCATCACCTCCTCTGATATGCAGTCGCTGATCAACGGCCTGCTCCAAATCTTTAATCTTCTGGCTGCGGTGACAGGTGCCCTTGTGGTGGACAGATTTGGCCGCAGATCTCTGTTTCTGTTCTCTGGAATTGGCATGCTGATATCGTACATCATCTGGACGGCGTGCTCGGCAAAGTTTTCTCAAACTGGCTCCAAACAGTACGGCCGTGCCGTTCTCGGGTTCATCTTCATCTATTATTTCCACTATGACATTGCCTACACGCCACTGCTCCTGGCGTATCCAACAGAAATCTTCCCGTACCATTTGCGTTCCAAGGGCATCACCGTCGAATTGTTTGGTGTGTACAGTGCTCTGCTAATTGCGGCGTTTTGCAACTCCATCGCCATGGACCGCATTGGCTGGCGCTATTACATTGTGTTCTGCTGTATTCTGGGTGCTCTCGTGGTCAACACCTATGTGTTCTACCCGGAAACCAAGGGCTATTCGCTGGAGGAGATTTCGCGGGTGTTTGACGGTGAAGACACCGTTGCGCTGGTGGAAGATCTCGAGTCGCTCAAGGCCACTGCAGAGCATCACGACACCGTCTAGTTATGTAGTCAATATCAGGGCCAAAAGAGGCAGAAGGCGGCTCATTGTGGGTCTCAGCACTGGGGCTACGTTCAATGTGTGCGCCGTGTAGTTTCTTTGCATTGCCTGCAACACTTCGTGTGACTCGGGCAGCAGCCGTTGACGACTGCGGATCTTGGCGCTCAGTTTCAGCTCCAGCACGTCTCTTTCCCAATCGCTTTCTGAAGGCCACGGTAGTGCAGAAAGAGCGCTCTTTTTTGTCTCGTTGGTTTTTAGGACGTTGAGCGCCGTCGACGTCTCCACGATCTTTGCATTGGACATCTCGTAGACGTTTCTGCTGCAGAGCGAGGAGAGCAGCTCGTAAGTGTTTTTGTTCTAAAATTAGTGGCAGCAAGAGTATACTTACGTAGGCAGGACAGAATTTGGTGCACTCTGACATCAGCGCTCCAACGTAGTAGCATTTGCACACCTCGTTGGGGGCCGTGCAGGACAAATAACCGCTGCGTGCGCGATCGTGGCATTCTAAATAGTAGCCATCGTCCTAAGGTTAGAGTTTTCGGGGAGCTCTACTTACGCAGAGTGGTCCGCAGTTAAGAAACGCCTCGGCGTTGAGTAGCGCAACTGTATTCAGTGCAAGTAGCAGCACTATTAATAAACGAGCCATAAAAAGGGGATAAATAAAATGACTAAGAATGATTCCTTCGTCCCACCGACGCGACGACAAAAAATAAGCCATTTTAATTTATTTCTCTTGTCTATGGCAACTTCTGACGCTCGCACAGGCGCCACTAGCGCGATCCGGAAGAAGCTCAACTTTCACGACGAGATTCTGTGGCGCAAGTTCTCGTCCCGCAGACTGCTTTTGGTTGAGTCGCTGTCTCTGAGCTCGAAAAAAGCGTGCGAACAGGACGCAGAAATCGCGGTCTGTGCACAAACCCTGCAGCAGGAGTTTGGGTTTCCGAGAGAAACGCTTCCCGAGTTTGACAAGCTTGTGCGGCTGGCAATCCAGAGTGTGCGCAGAAACAAGAAACGGTCGCAGAAACGGCTCGCCAACCGGCGGCGTGAGAAGGAGGACCGGTCGAGCACTGAGGAAACGGCGAGTCCGATATACTCCGACTTGGTCAATGAGGACGCTTTCCACGGCGGCACCAAGTCGGACGACGCTGAGACGGAGTCCAAGACAGCCATTTCGGCCCTTGTGGCGCCGATGCTCCACCGACCTTTCACCAACTCGCTGCGGCAGCTCAACATGGATGACGAGTTCCGCGCCGCTGCAGGCCGGCTGTTGATCAGCATCAAGAAGTCGCGGACGTGCTACGAGCTGACCAAGTCGACTGCGCGCTCGTTCGAGTCGATCGAAGGGTTTGGGTCGGCGTGCATCTCGTCTGCCGTCATGTTTGTGCTCGAACGCAGCTTTGGGCATCTCTCGTTCGACTCGGTCATCTACATCAGACAGAAACTTAATAGCGACTTTGTCTTGAGCTCCATCATCAAAGGACTGGACAACGACTCTCTCGAAGTGGCGCAGTTGGGCGAGTTTGTTGCAGCACAGCTGTTCAAAAAGCTGGTCGGGGGCTGCGTCAAGGACTTCGGCTTCAACGAGGTGTTGTACCCGGTCGCAGACATCTTTCGCAGCATCCTGGAAAAAGACTATCCGTTCAACCCGCTGCCAAACCCCCCTGCACGCAAGTCGTCCATCCTGTCGCGGTCTCCGTCCTCCGACACCCTAATCACTGTGGTCATCCGCTTCAACACCAAGGACCTGCGCTTCATATACCCCTCGAGCTCGTGCTCGCCACCGACTGTGCTGGAACTGATCACCAACTCCAAGACCGCGTTCGGCATCGTCAATAATAACCGCATCCTCAAGATCCGCAACGCAGAAACGAAAACTCTAATCAACAGCGACCAGGAACTGGAGAAATTGTTTGATGCTACTAAAAACAAGCCCAACAAGCTCATCGAGCTGGAACTCATCTATCACAACATGCAAGATTACCTGAATCTGAACTTCGACACCGCTTATACGCGTCCGCAGCCTGCTCCGCCGGTGCTACATCCGCCGCTCCCGCCTTCTGACCGGCCGCCTTTCAAGTTCCAGCCGCTGCTCTAGAGCTTGTCTACGAGACTTTCATGTTGTTGATGGCCAGCACCAGCTCCTGAGCGACCTGTTTTTCGTCGCCAACAGGGTGCTGTCCCGCAGGCGACCCCCCTGGCTGGTCCTGCTCGTTCTCCTTTTCGTCAAGCTGCCTTTTCTCCATGTTCTTGCGCTTCTTGATGTTGTGGCTCTTCGCCACGAGTTTTGGCAGCTTGTCGAAGCGCACCACGAGACTGCGGCCCTGGAACCGTGCGCCGTGGAATTTCTCGATCAGCTCCACCGAATCCTCCAGACTTGTCGTTTGCGCGATCGCAAACCCCTTCGAGACCCCGCTGGGTTGCGTCTTGAGATACAGCTGTACGATCTTGGGCCGTCCCGAGTTCAGGAAGCTCAGCACAGAGAGGTACGTCGCGTGGAACGGGATGTTGCCGACAAATAGCCGGGTTGGACTGACGTACTTGGCCGCGGTGTACTGGACGAGCTGTTCGACAGGCCGCTCGTTGTCGTCGACAGAGGACTCGGACTCGGACGCAGAGCTGTCCTCGTCGAAGTCCGGGTTCAGAATGGAAGAGTAATTGTTGCCCAGCTCCACGCGCTGCCTGGTTTTACCGGGGTATTTTTTCGGGGAGCGGTACGCGCGTGGCTGGTGATTCTGTGGAGGGGCGGCAGTTGTGGCGGGCGCGGGTTCGGCATAGGGAAACGACACAGATCTCTGTCTCGGAACGGGCATCCCGTACGTGTAGTACGGGATGAACGGCGCCATCGGGGCCGGCACAGGCTCGATTGTGGGGAAGAACGGAGCAACACCTTGTTTAGCAGGAATTTGTGGCTGATACGCACTGAGCATATGACACTGCAAAACCACGCTGTAGTACTCGTACCCGTCCAGCCGGCTTACGATTCTTGCCGCCGTGTCGTAGTCATCCGTCCCCAGAGACGCCACAGACAGCCCGTTGGTGTGCATCTCGTAGATCTGGACGCTTCCGATTGCGTCGAGGTCGATTGCGAGCGGCTCCAGCAGCTCTTCCAGGTCGACTCTGGTCATGGTGCGTGGCAGGTTCAGCACGTTGACAATATACTGCGGATCAGGGGCCTGTGGCAGGTATGGGTGGAGGGAGGTCAACAACCCCCCTGCCGACTTCTGATCTGGTTTCTGGGACATCGCAGAGGTGCTGATAATCAGTGGGAGGTGTGTGTGAGGCAGGTCTGGTTATGATGCAAAGTTGAGCAAAATAACTTTACGCAAATTTGCTTTGGAGCCTCCCGTGGATGTCACCTTCTACTCAAAACTCTTATGATATCTACACTTTATAAATTAAGCTGCTCTTCACAATAGCGAACAATAGATTCCATGCACAACGGTCGCGAACGCAAAAGAGCACACTCCTCGCACCTCGCACCGCACACCGAACACCACACACCTGTGTTATGTCTACGCCTACACTCCGTCTATGTTACAACAGTCACTTGCGCCACTTCTTCTTGCCGTTCTTGAGCCCCTGCGGCTGGCGGGGCTTCTCCTGTCTGAATCCTAGGTCTCTGGCGAGCGCCGAGTCCAGAGAGATGCCGAACTTGTGGATCCGCTTGAGACTGGCCTCCAGCGGTGCAATGTCCTCCTCGTTGCCGAACTTTCTTGCCCGGGCAATCTTCTTGTTCAGCAGCTCAATTGCTGCCTGCTTCAGTTCCTCTGGATTGAGGTTCTTCTTCTCCTCCTTGGCGGTGTCTGGCGTTTCCTTAGAGTCTGTGGCCGTGGCCGTCTGTGGCGGCCTTTCGGCGTCTGCAGCCGCATTCTCAACGACAGCCTCCTGCTTTGGCTCCTCCGGCTTTGTTTCTGCCGGCTGCGGCTCCTGTTCTGGCGCCGACTCGTCCTTTCCTGTGCCAGAATCGTCTCCCGCGTCGAGCTGGGCCTCGATCTTGTCGGACTCCTCCAGGCGCGCAATCAGGTCTGCCTTGACCCCGTTGGTCGGCAGGCCTCTCTGCTTGAGCAGCTCTCTGAGCTGAGGCACCGTTTGACTTGCGTAGGCGGCCATTTCTTATATCTTGTGCAACGCGATGGTAAACAATTTTTACAGCAATTCGAAATTCAGCAGAGCACAGCCGTGAAGAAAAAAATCGTTTTATTTCCTATATATCCATGAGCGCTGTGACTCCTGTGCAGGTCAAATACTGCGGCGTGTGCAGCTTCCCGGTGGAGTTCTGCGAGTTCGGCAAGAAGTTCAAGAAATGCAAGGCCTGGCTCGAGGAAGACGATCCAGAGCTGTACAAAAAGTTGTACTCTGAAAGTGCGCACAACTCGTCGCTGTCATCTGAAAAAGAGGCCAAGATCTCCGAATCACTCGCCAAAATGCAGCTGAAAGAGGAGCGCAAGCTGGAGCGCGAGCTGCAGTCGCTTAAGAGCTCGAAGGTGCTGATAAAGCGGATCCAGCGCACAAAACACAAGCACGTTATTGCCATCGCAGGTCTCGAGGTGTTCGACGTGGACATGAAGAAGATGGCCAAGACTTTTGCATCCAAGTTTGCCACGGGCGCGTCGGTTACTAAGAACGCCGAGAAGAAGGACGAGGTGGTGATCCAGGGAGACGTGGGAGACGAGGTGGAAACGTACATTCTGGGGCTCTTGAAGGAGAAGGGTCTGGAGGATGTCAAGGTCGAGCAGGTGAGCGAGAAAAGGAAGTGATGTACGGATTGATGAGTGGATGAGTTGCTGTAGCTTGTGGATGCCTTTGGAGCGGGCGTGCGGTGTTTGAACCGGGATATCTGCATTACTTACCGGTGTGAACCATTTGGTGTGAACCATTTGTCTCCTTAAGACTAGACTAGTGAGTTCACACCATCTCAAGACTGTTTTCAGTAACCTAGTTGGCTCAGGCACTTCCACGCCTCCCCTTTGTGGTTCACACACGAAACATAGCTCTCAAGGCTGGACAGAATTCCGTGACGGCTTCAAGTCGGCGGCCACGAAAATTTCAAGGATTGTTGTGACCGAAAAGCAAAGCTGAGGCTACACGGGACGCTGTTCTTTCGGAGAGAGCATAATGCCTAAGAAAACTTTTCGGCTCATAATTCGCAGGCAGAAGTTACCTGCGTTAAAGAGACATTTATTGTTCACGACGTCAATAAAAGAGCTCCTCTTGGAAACCATTTTTGGTACAGCCTCCCTTGGTCGCATGCTGCCCTGCAACAAGCTGTGCACATCACGAGGAGTACTGTCAACTGAAGCTTTTTTGTAGGGAGCTTATTTTTGCAACCATTTGCACGCCGTTTAGTTGCAGCCCTTTGACAACAACGTTATTTCTTCCACTGTCTAATAAGACCTGCCATATTCTGTATGAATGAGGAATGGGGGGGCAAGCAAGATTGTGTCATTGTTGATTGCGGCACGAAAAGCTGTCAACGAACGCCTCCACTGGCAGAGTTCTCTCTATACCAAATGTAGCCAGAAAAACTAGTCTTCGAAGTATCAGCTAAGAAATGGTTTATTACGCTGCCCAGATTGCTAACACTTTCTAGATTTGATTTGTCGTCTCCTTATTTGATCACACAGCCTGCTATAGGTTGCGGAAGTCGTGTCGTCGGCCCCTTTTAACGAGTTATATATATTCCAGCGCCGTGGTCAACCGCAACCGACACTCCTACAGCTTCTCACCAACTTGTACTAGTAGCATCCTAATCCCCACCCTACCACGTGCGCTCCTTGTCGGAGTCCCATCAGCATTGTAAAACCTAAACCAGGTCCCCGATGATGATCATTTTGCGTGATCTTCGTCACGTGAATTGACTTAACAATTTACTTAATCACCCTTATTTTCTATATTTTTTTCGGAATTTCTAAAATCAAGCTCTTGCTTTGCACATGTCGTTTTACGATGTTCTGCAGCGAGGAGACGAGTTCATCCTGAAAGACCGTCCCGCCCATTCTCGCATCTGGAATTTTTTCTCCCAAGCCACATGCATGGCCGTCGTGGGTGGTAGCAAAGCCATCCTCGGTCTGTTCTACAACGTTAATGTAAAGGGTCTGGACAATCTTGACCATGGGCTTGCAAAAGCCCGCGCCGAGAATCGCGGATTTCTTACGCTTATGAACCACATGTCCGTTTGCGACGACCCGTTTATTTGGGCCTGTCTACCGTGGAGATACTTTATTTCGCTAGACGACATTAGATGGGGACTTGCCGCCTCCAATATTTGTTTTAATTCGAAGGCGAGCAGCACATTCTTTTCGCTTGGGAAGCTATTTGCCTGTGAGAGGTTTGGTCGCGGGCCTTTCCAAGGGGGTCTGGACGCTCTGGTGCGCATTTTGTCTCCAGATGACACACTGGATACTGACCATATTTTCCAAGGCACCGAGAAAAGCGCTCCGGTTGCTAGTGTGCTGGCAACCGACGTGCGATCATTCTACTCTCCGAGATACACGCCGCCGATACTTCGGTACAAAACGTCCTGGGTCCACATTTTTCCCGAGGGCTACGTTTGCCAGTTGAAACCCCCACACAATAACTCGATGCGCTTCTTCCGGTGGGGCACTGCGAGACTGATTCTCGAGCCGACGGTGGCACCTGTCGTAGTTCCCATTTTCTCAGACGGGTTCGAGAAAATCGCCCCAGAGGCCAAGGTGGACGACGTGGTAGACTCTCTGCTCCCGCAAGGAATCGGCTCGAACATCACGGTTAACATAGGCAAGGTTCTGGATGACCGTATAATAGAGGCTTTCCGTGCCGAATGGCGTGCCCTATGCGATAAATACCACGATAAGTTGCATCCGAACGATCTCTCTTTTGAGCTCAAATTCGGCAAAGAGGCAGAGGCTCTGCGCAGCCGTGTTTGTGACTATTTGCGGGAGAAAGTGGCGCAACTGCGGCTTGAGAACGGCTTTCCTCCCGAGGACGAGCGTCTCAAGTCACAAAAGTTCTGGAGCGAGTACACCAAAACTAACGGCGCCAGCGCCCCAGATATAGAGTTTGTCGGATACAACTGGGCTGTCCGTGCGTACCAAAAAAACACCAAGAAGTACGACGAGTACGGAAACGAAATCTCCAAGTGACTTGCCTGTATATATAGACTGTCTAAAGTATTCTGGGCTGTGCACCCAAATATATTTTGAGGAGCTGCCCCACCTTTTTTTATCTAAATATTGATGGATCGAGTTTTCAGGACGTTGAGTCGTTGGCACCGGCGGGCTTGCCGCCCGCCGCTAGCCATCTGCAGGCAGAATGCGACTCCTGTGGGGATGATTTTTCTCTCAGCCAGGTTCTCGTCCGCGGTTTCCACCGAACAGACGGATTTGGAGGAGCTTGTCTCCAACCTTAAATCAGACCTCCGAGCCATATATTTTTCCAAACATATTGCGCCCAAAGGCAAGGCCGACCAGCTCCAGGGAAAGCTCAGACAGCTGTTATATTGCATGTCGGGCTCCGAATTTTCGAAAAGCGAGCTCCCGTTTATAAACAAGATCGTCCATGCCATTGATCGAGAATCAGATCCCATGGACGTGTTTACCGCGCAGGAAATGCTAGCGCTTCTCAGAGCTGCTGTTCCTGCCATGACAGCTGAGGAGGTGAAGAATATAGATTTTTTCCCGCGGTTCTACACCTCGTTGAGGGAATCCAAAGAGTACCAACAGGATAGAAATATAAGACTGCATTTATTCGAGCTGTTTTTCAATTACGTGCTAGTGAGCGACAAGAGCGACATAGCGATCAAGGCAATAGAAGCGTTTATAGAGGAGGAAGCTTCTTCGAGACATGACGACGTGACGGTGGAGGTGGTGGATATAGCTTTGGAGGCTTTTACTACCGTCACTCCAGACACCGCGACAGTGGTTAAACTGTTTGAGATCAGCGATCTTGGCAATGAAAAGCGGTCTGAAGAGCTGCTTGCTGCGTTTTTCAGAGCTGCAGACGCTGAAATTGGGAAAGATTACGAAGACAACCAGGTGGCCGCAAGATTAACCGAGGTTGTAGGTATTATGGAGCGCAAAAAGAATCAGCCGTTGAACGAATACATCAATCTCCTGTATTTTGCTACCAAGAACAAGTTCAATGGGTGCTCGAACGAAATCTTGGATAGACTGGTAAGGCTCACGGATTGTTTCAGGAATAAACTAGGAAAAGAAATCAGAGGCGAGGAGCTGGCTGCGATTGTTACTGCAGCACTCAAGCTCGGCCTCAGCAAAGCCGCAGAGAATCTACTGGAGAATCTCGAGTACGAATTTGCTGAATTCAGCCGACCTGAATGGCTGGCATATATGCAGATCAAGGTGTACAAGGCTGCAAACAAAAAGAGCGTTATCGATCTGATCCGCAAAATCAACGCCGATCTCGAACACAGTTACCAAAAAGACTTCCGTGTTAACGACACCGAAACCTTCAATTATGTGGTCAGCGCGTGCTGCTACTCGGAAAAGAGTTTGGACTTTGTGAATGCTATTTCTGAGTTTTTCGAGTCAGAGTATACAGTGACACCGACAGCCGAAACGTATGCAGCATTGATCGAACACCAGCTGGATGTTGGCAAATGCAAAGAGGCCTTGGAGCTGTTCGAAGGGTCCCTTGAACAACCTATCGAGTGGGGGGACGAGGAAAACAGCATTTTTGCTCCGGTTCTGTTCCGTTTGCTCGAGAAGTACTGTCGAAACAGCGACGATGACATCTCTTCAAAGGTGATCCTGTACAAGCGGATCAAGAACTATGGGTATTCCTTGGATAAAGCCGCCCTCAAGGCCATGATAGACATGTTTCTGGAGCAAGACTGCGCGGGAGACGCAATGGAGCTTTTCCATATCGAAGTGGTGGAGCATTCAAAGGAAGAAAGCCAATCTGTGACAAAGTATGAGCCAATTTTTGAGTCCTTTTACGAATACAGCACCACTGCAGAAGTCAGCACCACTCGGAATTGGCACGTGTATGAGTTTCTCCATCAAAACTTCATAATTCCATATCAGAAATATTATCGTCTGATGGAATACTTTATTTCTCACAATGAACCCAGACGAGCACTCAAGATGTTTGCAAACCTAAAGGCGCTGAGCAAAGAGGCCAAGATCGCTCCTCCAAACGAAGAAGTGTATATTTATCTCTTCCGCTCCTTTGCGCGGTGCAAATTTGTGGAAGGAGTGCAGAAACTCCATTTGGGAGCCAAGATGGATCTGGCCATCAACATGGACATCAGGCTACTTAACGCCATAATGGAAGGCTACTGCGCTATTGAGGACTCCTTCAAAGTGAGAGACACATTCCACGTTGCCTATTCGCTCCCGAGATCGCGTGGACTCAACGCTGAGAGCTGCTATTGGATGCTCCGCTCGCTCAGGGGATACACGCTCAAGCACGTGAGGGATTTTTACACCAGTCTGTCGGCATACGATGTTCTGGCGGACCCACGCATCTTTGGCGAGTATTTGATTGCACACTGCTCCTTTGGTAAGTATGAGACGGCGTTGCGCGTTCTGGAGGAAAACTTCTATAGCGACGGAGGCCATTTGATAGACAGACGTGTTCTTCGCGACATGTACAACTGGTGTGTGGATGAGGCCGTGAGGACAAATTTTGAGCGCTTTGCGACGCGCCACTACCCTGCACTATGGTCGGAGCTCAAAAAGAGCGGCGAGCTAAGGACCACAGAAAACGAACCACTGGATGAAGGATACAATCAGGAACGACCTCAACTTGTGTAATGCAATATATGTGTTCACTGTTTCGTCTGCAGCTGTGTATTATTAACCTTGGTGGCAAAACGAAGCGAGTTGAGTGTTTCATTAAAATGTTGTAATTTGGTGGATATGTTAACAAACATGAGAGTCTTGGAATCTCCGCCAAGCGAGTATTGGAGAAGATATGTTAGTCTTGAATTTCTGTATGGGATATGCTGGCTCCTCTTGCACAGAGAGGTTATCACGTCGCCCAGAGAGCTGAGAGACCGGTTGATGGATTGCGTTTCTTTAAGACGCTCTCCGGTCACCATCGATTGCGAGATGCGCTCAGATCCAGCCAGATCTATGAGATTCAGCTTGCCGTTAACAGATTCACCAGTTTTCTTGTTGTGGCCGCACAGTTGGATCATGAAAATGGAGTGAGAACGCGACGACCGATGGTTCACGTTCGTGGACGCGGTGGCGCGGTTTTTGTTGGCGTTTTCCAGAATATGAGCTACCTGCTCCTGGTTTTCTAGTGCAACTGTGGTCATATCGGTGATCGTAGTCGTTCGCGTGGCTTCGTCGTGCTTGATTTCATGCTTGACAGCATCCAAATTGCGAAGATAAGACTCTGTCATGAGGTCATTGATGTTTTCGTTGTATATTTCTAAAAACTGGCCTGTGATGCTAAACTCCCAGCCATTCTCCTTGGCCGAGCGGCTTCTTTGAAATATCAGGTCCACAGCACGCGGGATTATTCCGTCCGTCACGCTCGACATTGTAAATGTCTTGCCCGAACCGGTCTGTCCGTAAGCAAAAATGCACACATTATAGCCGTCCAAAGCGCTTTGAACTAGCTGGCTGATTTCATCGAATATCTCTGAGTTGGTCGAGTCCATGCCGAACACCTTGTCAAAACCGAATTTGTAGTTCTTGGGAGCAGACTTGCTGAAGCCGTAAAACGGTTGCGGCGCGACCAGTGGCTCGGTAATTATTATATGCTCTTTACCGTCGCTCGAGTCAGCAGATGCAAACATTTGGTGCTTGAAACAGTTTTCAGCCTGTTCCGGCTTGACTCTGCAGAAAACGCGAATGTTCCCTTTTAAATCCTGGAGAATGTTATGTGTTTTGCGACGGGTCTGTTCTTCGGACAGAAGCTGCTCTTTCAATGCGACAGTAGAGTTCGCAAATTTCGCGGCGTCGTGCTCTTTTTGCTCCAGAAGCCGGACCTTCTCCTGAAACTCAGTCTTGAGCGTTTGAATCTCCCGGCGTATCTCGACCGTTTTTTCTTCAAACTGTGCGGACTTGAGTCTCGCAGAGTTCACTTGTGACTCAAGCTCCTGTTTCTCTTCCTCTTTTTTTGCAATTTCTGCCCCCACAGCCTCGCATTTGAGATCGACAGCAGCTGCTGCCCGAGCAATCTCTTTCTTGTCCTGCTCCAAATTATTCAGCTCCCGTGCAAACTCTCTGTCCACAGCTTCCAGCCTGACGCGCCTTCGCTCTATGATGCGCTCGTTCTCGCTCTGAAAGTGCGCCTTTTCCTCGTTGATCTGTCTTACGAGTTCGTCTTTCCTTTTCTCCAATTCTCGTTTGGCATCGGTGTAGGCAGCCTGTTTCTGGGCTATTTCGCTCTGGACCCTTGAGTCGCAGTCTGCACTTAGCTGCTCAATTTTGCGGTTAAATTCCAGCTCTGTCTGGCGCCGGTAGAGCTCAAACTCCTGTTTCAGCTCAGCAATCTCGCTCTCCAACCGTTTGTCTGCCTCTGCAAGCTCATTTTCCTTCTCTTTGTATCGCTTTTCAAGCTCAAAAAGCTGATTGTTCAGCTTCTCAAGGTCCAGCTCGAGTTCAGGCAGGTCTGTGCGGATTCTCCAGAGCTCGCTGTTGAGATCATTCAGTTCCTGCTGGTTCTTGTCCTTCCACTCTAGCACCTTCTGGAGCTCCAGTTTCCTGCTCCTTTGGATGTCTTCAATTACCTTTGCTGGTTTCATTGCCTTGCGGGGAGGAGACCTGTCGCCTATGCGTCGGGAGACCGAAATATTCGAGATGTCTTTTAGTGTCATTTGTGATAAATCACAACATTATGCGACAGGAAAAAAGTTGTGTTACAAAACGGTGGAATTTAGCGGATGCAATTATTACAGTCAGAATCAAGCTAAGGAGGCTACGATGCTAGAATTGAGGCGATAATGAAGACGGAGGCCAGTTGTTCAACACGGAGCTCTGATCCTGACTGAGTTCCGAGATGCCGTCTGGCCATGTCACTGTCGGAAATAAATAACCAGCTACCATAGCAGTCTAATATCTTGTATCCTAAAATTAAATCAGCAAATAAATAAATACTACAATAGTAAACCTGGTAGCCATAAATTTATTCACCACTATTTCTTTCCATTCTGGAACTGGGACTCAGTCACACCAGCTCCCATCGCCGCAGTACTACTAACACCCCCTGAGACAAGTTTCACAATGCTGTCGATGTATGCAGCACCGGACCATTTCTGGTGCTTGACAACCTCAACTTCGTCCTCGATCTCCTTGGCCTGGATGTTTTGTCCGTAGGCCTTCATTCCAATCTTGGAGTAGTCACGGGCAAAGTTGTCGATGGCCAAAGCGGTGGTGTGCAGACCGGCCAGGGTGATGAATTGCCAGATGAAGCCGAGATCGGCCAGCTTCTGGATGTAAGTCTCCTGGTCGGCAGCAGACATCGCAGCGTTCCAGTTGAACGAAGGCGAAAGGTTGTAAGCAAGCCATTTCTCTGGATACTTGGCCAGAACGCCCTCAGCAAACTCCTTGGCCTGCTCGTAAATCGGTAGCTTTGTCTCCATCCACAGCATGTCGGCGTACGGAGCGTACGCTCTGGCGCGGTTAATGGCACACTGCGTGCCTCCCCGGTATCTATAGTAGCCCTCTCTGACTCGTGGGGCATCCCAGTCAAAGAAAACGTCCTTTCCGAGGATCGACTTGGCCAGCTCCTTGGCCTGTCTGTGCGAGTGGCCGCTCAAGGGAGTCACGGTCGAGGTGAATTGCCTGATTGCCTCGTCCTTGTTCTTGATATCAGAGGCCTTGATCTCGTCAACGACGGCCTCGTGGAACAGCTTCAGGCCTGCCTTCTCGGTCCACTGCTTCTCGATCTCTTCGAGCTCTGCGCCGTATGCTCCTTCCTGCTCGGCTCTGTTCATCACTTCCACCAAAGGCTCCACGTCTGGGTTGGTGGCACCGATAATGAAGTAGTGGTCTCTTGTGTCAATTGTCGAGGTGATCAGAGTGGCAGCCTCAGAGTCGGTTCTGGCCACGCAGAGCAGGTCCGAGCCGAAAATGTCGGCCGAGGTCCGGATCGCGATTAACCTGTTGATGTGCTCCTGGATGGGAACCAGCACCTTTCCGGCCATGTGGCCGCACTTCTTCGTTCCTGCGGCCTGGTCCTCGATGTGGATGCCTGCAGCGCCGGCCTCGATAAACAGCTTCGTCAGCTTGACGATAGCAGTGATGCCTCCGTGACCGGTGTCGGCGTCGGCGATGATCGGCCTCATGAAGTCGATGTACGGCAGCTTGGCCCTCTCCTCCTTGGAGAGGGAAAATCTCTCGTGCCTCTGTTTTCTGTCGTGGAAAAGCTGGGCGAAAAAGAGATGCTGCACCTTATTAGGAACGGTGTCCATAGGGTAGTCGGCAAGGTCTGGCGAGGGCTCGTTGGACGTGGAGGCCGTGGCAGAACATTGCCAGCCAGAAACGTAGATAGTGTCCAGGTACTTGGCCATCTGCGTCACGTGGATAGGGTCCAAGGCACCGAAGGTGAAAGACACAGTTTTATTTCTGTGGTGCTCCTCGAGCAACTTGAACGCCTTCTTGGCCATGGTGTCAGAGGCGTTCGGGTTCTTGACGGTGGACCGTCTCTTGGCAATTTCCTCTGCCGGATAGACTCTCTTGACGCCCTTCCAGCGAGGCTCTGCCCACCATTTCTTGATTTCCTCGACCTCCTTCTGGAAGTCGCGCTCCTCTTGGTCGATGTCGATCTGTGTGTATGCCATTGTTTTCAGGTGAGTACAGCTACCCCAGAACTTGCCTCTTTATATATTTGCGTCATTTTTCAATTCCATATCCCCTGATGAGTCGCGGGACATCGGGGGACCAAAGGATGCTTTAATCCTTGCTACCAAAAAAAATATCTTGCGATACCCAATACGGAAAGTCCGGGGGAAAGGCGTGGGCTACGTCATTTCCGTTCGACCATTTTTCCATTCCACCTCCAGGGCCGCAGTACTTGCGCATACACCGTGATGGTGCCATCAGACACGGCGCCGACAAAGGCCCGCGCTCGCCCTTCGGCCCATACTCCGAGATGACTACCTGATGACTCCGGGGACACCTCATCCTTGCACCAAATCGCTTTCCAAGTTTTATTTTTTGCATGAGCGAGCTCGAGTTCAAGGACGTGCTCAGACAGGTGCCGACGATCGATGAGGACGTGCGGCGCGTGCTGCAGGCCCTGGGCGAGCCCCAGACATATTTTGGTGAGGACAAGGCAGATAGGCGCGAGCGATTGGTCGATTTGCTCGGCAGAGACGAGGACCTCCGTGCTCGCTTTGCAGAGATGACCGGGCTCGACCGCGGAGACGGTTCGGACGCCGACGAAGATGAGGAGTTTTACACGCCAGGCGGCGAGGAGCTGTACGAGGCCCGCGTCTTTCTGGCCAACTACTCGCTTGCACGGGCCCGTGACCGAATCAAGTCTCAGACAGAATATTATCAGAGCCATCGACCGGTCGAAGTGCTGCAGGAGCGTCGCAAGTACAACGAGTCGCTGAAGAGGATTGCAGCCCAGGGCTCCCAGGTGGTTTCTGACCGTTGCACTTCTGTGCTGCGGTACTCCAAAGACCAGGAATACCTGGCCTGCGGCTCGTGGGACGGCAAGACATACTTGATGAATCGGCAGCTGGGGAAGCTGGCCGTTTTGGACGGACACGAGGAGAAGGTGGGCGGGATAGATTGGCATCCCCACGTGAACAGTGTGGTGGCCACGAGTGGAAGCGAGGGGCTGGTCCTGTTGCATAATGCCGCCACGCAAGCCGTGGTAGCGACTCTCAAAGGGCACGAGCAGAGAGTGGCACGAATACAGTTCCACCCCTCGGGTCGGTTCTTGGCGTCCGCATCGTTTGACCTAACGTGGAGGCTCTGGGACGTGGAGACAAATAAGGAGCTGTACTACCAGGAAGGCCATTCGAAGGAAGTGTTTACTCTGGCGCATCAGCCAGATGGGTCTCTTCTTGCAAGCGGCGGGCTAGACGGCATTGGCCATATATGGGACTTGCGGACAGGCAAGTCGATCATGGTGATGGAGGACCACGTTAAGGGGATATATGCTATGGACTGGAGGAAAAACGGGTTTGAGCTTCTCACGGGCGGCGGAGACGCCAACCTGAAAGTCTGGGACATTAGAAACAACCGCAAGCCGAAGCAGAATATCGTGGCGCACAAAAAGCTGATTTCTGATCTAAAAGTGTCTGGCAACGACAAGTTTATGGTGACCGCGTCCTACGACGGCAACCTAAATATTCTTTCCTGCGACAACTGGCTTGTGATCAAACAGTTCAAGGCGCCAGAAAAGCTGATGTGCTGTGACATTGCTCCAGATGACGAGACGATTGTGTCAGGCGGCTGGGATCGGTGTGTTAATTTGTATAGTAGCAGCTTATAGAGTGTAAATTGGCATTTCACTGGTGAAGCCGTCGAGGACCACAAAATTATTGAGCGGGAGCTCCCTTCGTCCCAGCATGTTGATGAGATCCTGCGACACTGCGCCGCCGACGATCGCACTGACGGGCTGGAACTCGCAGAACGCCTGCTGCGCCAGCTTTTCCACAAGCTCGGGTCTCACTGTTTCTTCAGGTAGCTTCAAACGGCTCGCAACCTCCGCCACCTTCGAGCCAAGCTCTTTCGCATCGATAGCGACATCTTCAATCGGCCTGCCTATCTGCGAGGGTATCTCTAGCAATGCAAGCAGAATGGGCAGCACGGGGCTTATTTTTTTGAGTTTTCGTGGAGTGGGAAAATAATACTTAAGCTTATCATTGCTGTTGATGAATATGTCAGACAGCGGAACGAACTTGGTTTTGACAATGCAGTTTTGCAACTCGACGTCGTTCTCCACGATCTCGGTGATACTCACAATCTCCGAGGTCGGACTGAGCGGACCCACCTTCTTGGGAGTCGGATTTTTCTCGTATTTCACAGAGGACTCATGCTCAATTAGGTCGACAAAAATGTAGCCGTAAAGACCGTGTGTGCCTGTTGCGTAGAACGGGATTTTGAGTTTTCTTGTGATGGCATTAAGTCTTGTGAGTTGTGTTCTATCGAGCCCTGTGGCTACGACCAAGTTGTAAGACAGGAAAAAGTCCTCTGGTTTTTCCTGCCAGTCGTCAGTGCTCACGGTCAAATTCACTCGAGGGTTCAGATCTCTGATTCTGGCCTCGGCAGCAAGCACTTTTGGCTGCCCAACCTGCGTTTTGTCGATGAAAAAATTGGCATTTAGGTCCTGGTCAAGCACCTTGAAGGAGTCAATCACGGTGATGGCGCCAATGCCTCCGAGCATTAGGTTCTTGACAACCTCGCAACCTACGCTAGTCAGGTTCACCACAAGCACTCGCGACCCGCGCATTCGGGTCTGGGCCTCCATTCCCCACAGTCTAATTTGACGGTCATAAAGCTTGATTTCGTCTGGCGGTCAGCTCCTAACAAATTCTAACATACCTTCGCTCAACGTCTTGGCACTCATGATAACAATTACTCAAATTATACTGACAAATAATTTAAACAATATTTGTTTCTCTGAACAAAATGGATTTACTAAAAATCTTGGATGCCAAACCTGAGCCCACCATTGCAGACGAGCATTTCATTGTGAACGAAGATTACCAACTGTCAAATGACTACAAGATACCGACCCCGATGAGCGACTTCCAAAAAGAACTTACAGACCAGATCGTGTCCCTCCACTACAGTGACATACTCAAATTCTTTGAACGGGTGGACGACACCCAAGAAAATGACCGCGTGGTGCTAGATTCTTTGGAAACAATGCTGCTGAATACTCAGCTGGTGTGCTCGCATCCATACCTTCTGATCGACCACTATTTTCCTAAAAGTCTTACTGCAAGAGATATCCCCAAAAGACTCTCGGAGACGAGTTGCAAATTCAAGATCCTAAGCGATCTGCTCAATCTGCTTGATGGCATCTACAATGTGAAAGATAAACCAAGCTTTGACGTCGCTATTATTGCGCGGCCGGGGAAGACACTGGATCTGATCGATGCGCTCTGTCTAGGCCACAAGTGCAACTTTAAACGGTACTCCGGAACCAAGCTCAGGGAAGCATCCGGATCAAACAAGAAACACGTCAATCTGAATGTGCACCTGTTCCCCTCCGACATGAAGAATCTTACTGCCGAAACAACCACCAGAATGAAAATCATCATTTCTTTCGATATCAGCTGTTCTTTGGACCACGACAAGGTTCTAAAACTCAGGAACCGAAGTACAAGAGTCTTACGGCTGGTGCCTATCAACTCGATCGAGCACATTGCACTTTATTTCCGTGATTTGGTGGCTACGAGAAACTATAACGACTATCTGAAGCCGGTCACGGCAGCTTTGGTGGTTTTGAGAGACAGGGTGGGCCAACTGCCTTCAGAATTGCGTCCCATTTACAGCAAGAACTTAGAGTTCCTCACTAACTGGCTGTGCGATCCAGAGGTGAACAAGTGGCCGCTAATGGATATGACCCCCATCCCGGTGTATACCGCCAGCGACGTTGAGAAGTCGCTTTTGACCGAAGTAAAGTTCAATTTCGACAATGATGACTTTCTAAAAGAAGAGGAAACCAAGGATAACGAGTTGAACTTGAACTTCAATTTTAACGGCAAGACACAGATGATAGGACACATCATCCAGCCTAGGTTCAAAAGCAAGAACAACAAGAAAACGGACTTCTACGAGTCGAAGCGTTTAGAAAAGAAATATCTCTCAAATGAGCTCAACTCGGATAATAAGCGAGTGACTGGAATATCAAAAGAAATTGCCATGGACCAGATACTGACGCATACGCTGATGTTTCAGTTCAACCAGACACTTGAGGATTTTATTTTGCTCAACAAAGAGCTCGAGTCTTTTGATCGTTACTATGACACCCACAACAACGGGATGCGAGAGATTTTGTCAACCAATCAGCAGATAACGACCGAGTTAGCGGAACAGGAACTTTTGAGCAACGAGCGCAGCAAGAAGGTCACCGAGTTGAACGAGCAGATAAGCAAATTGAAAAATTCAATCACAGAAAAACAATCCGAAATTGATAAGATCATTTCTGAAGAAGTTCCAAAGGCAGTAGGTGCTCAAAAGTGGCTGACAGCTGACACACAGATTCGGAGCCTGAAGGAGGAGATAGAAAAACTGCGCTCGAAAATTGCGTCCGCTGGTTCTGAACGCAAATATATGCTTATTGAGCGTGATCGGGCAATCCAATCGATGGAAGATTCTGTGCGGGAAACGGAGGAGAAACAGAAACAGATAGACGAGCTGAGGCAGAGAATAGAGGCTCTCAAATTAGAGAGCGATGTCGATGTACTGCAGGACCTGGAGCGATCAAGAAGAGCTTACGAAAAGACGCTAGAGACCAACGAGAACCTGACAGCAGCAATGGAGACCGCATTCCGAAAGGTGACCGGCTCTGAGAGCAGGTCACGCTATGTAAACTACTCTAGAAACGGGCTGCTTTCTAAGCGAAATGCCAGTCCCACTGTGTAATAAAATGTGAAAATAAGCAATAATATACGGAATTGTGTACTATAACCGAGGTACGTTTATTGTCCAAATATTAAACCGATATTTAGTACCACTAACTAGCCACCGAATAGCTTAGATAGCGCGCTCTAGTAAGGCAACGGCACTTACAACAACAAAGCACCAGCAGCAACAGCAGCAGCACCAGCAGCGTAGTAGGAGCCGAATCCAGCAGCAGCACCACCCTCGTAAGTAGAAATAGAAGAGCTGTTTCTGGCAGGACAGTTGGTGACGGTCTCAGCACAAGAAGTGATGGTCTCGGAAAGAGTGCTAGCCTCGGTCTTGGTCAAGACAACAGAGGAGGCAGCGAAAGAAGTAGCAGCAAAGAGCAAGGTGGCGACGGAGAATTGCATTTGTGAAAGAGCGAAGAAAGTTGGTTCGTTAATGGAATATCTCAGTTGGGACAAGCCATATTTATAACGTTTGGAGGCTGGGTTTTGTTGTGGTAAAATTTTGCACTCGGAGGAATGTAAATATCAACCGCTGCCCCGCTTCCTAATTGAGAAGGAAAATGTCCCAAAACAGAAGTAGATTTCACCTGGCAAAATTACGAGTGACGAATCGGGAAATAGATAGACGTATAGAGAAACTACTGCACCGCGTCACGCATAATATGGCCTGGCATTCCTGCAGTATCCTCGCACAACGCGCTTGTCACTCAGATCGTGCATTTCCCGTTGCATGCTTAGAATAGAAAATTAATATTAGACCAGTTTTTACGTGGCTATGAATCTCAAGCGTGGCAAAACGTGCCTCATCCGCTTCCTCTTGGCTGCTTATTTCTTTTTTGGGTTTGCAGCTTTACTTTTCCCGCAGCACACATAAACAAACATCATTACGGTGGTAAATCTAATCAATACGATTGGCTTGCAAACGCGCTCGTTTGGGAAAGTAGAGCGAACGCCATTCTCCCTGATTTATGAGAAAGCATTCCGTTTCCAAACAATAGATATCTCAGAGTAGTATTGTTTGTGGTCTAGAACCCCTGCACCAGGCGTTATCCTCAATCTTGATGGCTGGACATCCCTATGGATCTGGAGAGATCTGAAATTGGGCTTGGAAGTGCGCATGTGTTCCGACTCATTAAATCTGTGTGAGCTTCACGATCGTGTCGATATTGAGATTTTTAGATTCGAAATACTCGGTTTGAATCTTGGACCACAAAAAGTCTGAAACTATGATTGTTTGCAAAATGCTTAGCACCAAGCCGATGGCGTAGAAAAAGTTCGCATTTCCGGAGTTGAGGCTCATCCAGACGTAGTAGAACACCGGCAGCAAAGTGAGAATTAAAATCACTCCGAGGTAACTAAGGAACGGAGAGAATCTGAGCTTCTTGTAGTAAACCTTGAATAAGATCAGCATCGAGTAAAACAGGTTCAGATCGGTCACTGTAGGGTACGCTTTGGCAAAATTCAAGAATCCAGCAAGAATCCACGAAGCAAATAGCAAGTCGTTGCGGAACCTCGTGGCCAGAGGCACGACAAAAATAAACGAATATATGTTGAACACAGAGAGATAGAAGCTGCTGAAGAAGTCAAAGATCTCCGTGAAGAAATACCACCACAGGCCTATGTTGGGCACAATTTTCTTGAAAAGCACAATGGAAGCATAGTTGAGATACAAGAATCGAAGCGAGTTGTTTGTCAAGATGTAACTTGAATACAACAAGGCTGAGACGGAGGCGACGTATAGGATGACTGAGCGTACCACTGCCTGTTGTGAGTGCGTAGATTGATAGACAGAGAACATCAAAGGCACAATAAAATACCAATTGTAGTAAGTCAGATATGTGGAAACTGCCAAGGTCACGATCGAAGCCTTGAACTTGTTTTGTAGAGTAAAATGGAATAGCAGAATCAGAGAAAGATTGTTGACCACTGTCGTTGATTTGGACAGGGTTGACAGGATAGCCAATGGGTTGAATGCATAAAAGGTGGCCACCACCCCTGAGCTGAACTTTGTGGAGTATTTCGTATTTTTATTGATCTGCACCAAAAGGAACCCTATGAAAGAGTCGAGGGCTGCAAAAACGACATTCAAGTGTCTTAGCCTAGAAAATAGCACCAGGAGAAGCGGGGGAAAATGAACCACCTCGCCAGCATACGGATCAATGTTATTTGTGAGCAAGAACACTCCCTCTTGCAGTGATCTGAACGAGGATATAGGCGTCGAAAACAGCACCGAGTTATCGAGAATTGACGTGATCTGTGGATACAGAGCTGGCACTGCCAGTCTGATAAAAAAGCCCGTTGTGAGAATGCTATATGCGGACTCGACCATATTCAGTAAATGAAGAATTCAATTTTCACAAGGGCCCTGAAAAATAAACATTATTTTCGAATAACTTTTAAAATTGTCATTTTTGCCAACACATTTTTAGGGTGGGAGATTGTCAAACTGATTTCGGACCTGTATATAGATTTGAATTGAAAAATGGCGAAGAATAAAAACAAGAAGAAGCAAAATGGCAAAGAGTTAGTGGCAGATTTGGACAAGAAGCTAGACCAGTTTCAACAGACTGAAAATGAGCCTGAGGAAATACATGACGGCCCTGCTCCTGGAGATAAAAAGCACGACGCTACTAAAAAGGAGAGCGAATCGGCTGATGACGAGCAGGCTACGCAAATGAAAGACTCTATTTCCACGACACATCAAACAGAGATTATAGAGGAACTCAAGCGACAATTGGAAGCCAAAGACCAAGAGATTCTACGACTGGAATCCAATAGTCTCAAAGATCAGCTTGAACAGAAAACACAGGAATGCGAGAAATACCAGTCTAACTATCAGGCACTGCTGAGCAGATTGTCTTCGATGAAGTCAGTGTTTCAAAAAATGAAGGAGTCAGAGACTGAGCTGGAGAACACCCAAAGCGAGCTGAAAACATGTAAGGAGACAATCAAAGTTTTGGAGGGCCAAGTTGAGGAAAAGCAGAAAGCTATCGATGCGTTGAACCTATCAGTGACATCATTGAAAGATGAGGCAGCCAATTTGAACGCCGAATGCGATAAGCTGAGCAAAGACTATGCGATGCTGAAAAAGAGTGCCGAACTGAAAGATGACGAGCAAACACTGGAAATCAAGCGACTTGAGACGTCCAATAAAAAATACGCCGTGGAGCTCAAGGAGCTTAGGTCCGAGATCGAGGAATATCTGATAATCGTGAATGAAGAGAAGATTTCCAAGAAGAATCTCTTGCATGAGATGAACGAAACGAAAGCCAAGAATGAAAGCCTGATTACCGAAAACAAGGCTTTGCAAGAGGAGCGCAAATTTCTTCAAGATCAAATCACAGACCTGGAGGCCAGGATTGCAAACATCACGCAGACATTTGAGGGAGAAAAGCACGACTTACAACATCAAATAGAGACCAATATCACTAAAGCAACTGCCACGGAGCAGCAGTTGCAAGAAGCACAGTCGAAGCTGGTGGAGGCTGAGCAAAAACTGGCGCGAATCACAGATCTTGAGAACGAGATTAAGCAAAAGCAGCTCACAATTGGCAAGTTAAGACATGAAACTATTGTGTTGAATGAGCATTTAATGAAAGCCATGAAGCTGGTCAAAAAAGAGTCTACGACCGAAACAGTGGATCGCGAGTTGATCTCCAACCTTCTAATTTCGTTTCTTCAAATACCTAGGGCGGACGCCAAAAAATTTGAGGTGCTGCAACTCATCTCCAACTTTTTGAACTGGGACGATGAAAAAAAAAGACATGCGGGGCTACTGTCGTCGCATTCGAAAACCAATTCGAACAGCGTTTTGAACGTTCCTAGCACGCCCCTTGTTGAGAATTCTGCACCGCGGTCTGGTCAGTCGTTTGTGTCGCTATGGACAGAGTTCCTTGAGAAGGAATCTACGCCTTCTAAGTAAGCATGTACACTGTAATATTTTGTTGCATAAATGGATTCGAACTCATATCGCGTACGCAGCGCGTCGACAAAAACGTCTCTCCAGTTCGCAACCCCAAGAGATACTTGATTGTGAGTACGTGCAGGATCGTATAATTTTTTTACGGGTCCGCTCCATATGTTTGAACTTCCAGCATTAACAGAAAAGGCCCAAGTATGTCTATCATTGAGGGGTTTGGTAAGGGTTTCACAACCATGCATTGGTATTGCAATTGTTTAAAAGAACGGATCCAATTCTTCATTACATCCAGCAAAGTCGAGCTCAAACGTACAACGAGGCCTGCCAGACAACACCATCGTATTAATCAGCCGTCGGTCAAGATTGAATCAGTTTAGTCCAGCGGATATAAAGCAAAACTCAAACTTTCGAACAAAATCGCAAAAATGCTTGGATGATGGAGAGGATTTTAGAAACATTTTACTTCAGAGTACTGCCGAAAAAATAGCCGTAGAAATTATCGATGCATTGATCTTGCTCTGTTAGCCCACAGTTCCGACTTGGTTCACTTACTATCTTGTCAACACATCAGTCACATAGTACTTGTTTCAGGCATTGAACGTGAATCATAGGAGCTGAGTAGAATGGATCAATTAATGTGCAATAGGCAAAATTTCCAAGGGACTACTAGACCGTCATCATGGGTAGTCAGACAGCCTCGTCACACCTCAAAAGAGCATGTGATCCAATGCCGTAAACTATTTTATACTGAGCACGGAGCTACCAATGTGATCTATCACGGATTATTTGATCTGGTCACTAAAGCCGCTGAAGTAAGTATTTGTGTTGCGCTAAAGAACCTGCGCTTTCGCTCCCAGAAAGACAGTCTGTGTCATTGTAGACTCAGAATACACATACTATGGTAAAAAGAGACTGGGGCCTTGCCGCCAATACTTCCCGATCCTATCCTCTTTATCTGCGGCTCGTAATTAGCAACCAGTTTTAAATTAAATTATCTGTCGCTGTGCGGCTCACCAATCTGGAAGTTGCGGATGCTAAATTGCGTATATATATTTACCGGTTGCACCAACAAGGTTTTCAATTGTTATCTTAAAATTTGTATGCCGTCGGAGAAGATTGAACTGTACTCATCTAAATACTACATCGCCTGTGCTACTGGTGGGTTCCTGGCTTGTGCTCCCACACACTCGGGTGTTCTGCCCCTGGACCTCGTGAAGTGCAGACTGCAAGTGAAGCCCGGTCTTTATAAAGGAAATCTAGATGGTATCAAGTCCATCATTAAAACTGAGGGTTTGGCAAAAGTGTTCACTGGTATTGGGCCAACGTTCATTGGTTACGGTCTGCAAGGAAGTGGTAAATACGGATTTTACGAGGTGTTCAAAAAGAAGTATAGCGAATTCTTTGGTGTGTCTAATGCCTATGTGTACATGCTTGCCTCCGCATCTGCGGAGTTTCTTGCAGACATTGCTTTGTGCCCCTTTGAGTCCATGAAAGTAAAAATCCAGACTACTCTGCCTCCGAATCCAGTGGTCGGTTTATACTCAAACCTATACTCAGGATTGGTTCCATTATGGTTCAGACAAATCCCTTACACCTGTGTTAAGTTTACTTCTTTCGAGAAGATTGTCGAATGGATTTATGCCAGCTTCCTTACCAAGCCTAAGGAACAGTACTCCAAAATTCAACAAACAGGTGTTTCTTTCGCAGGAGGATATGTCGCTGGTATCTTTTGCGCTCTAGTTTCTCACCCGGCAGATGTAATGGTTTCATTGATTAATAATGAGTCCGGAAAGGGTGAGCCAATGCTGTCGGCAGTTGGTAGAATATACAAACGGATCGGGTTCAGAGGATTGTGGAATGGTCTGGGCGCACGAATTCTGATGATAGGTACCTTGACGGGATTCCAATGGTTAATATATGATTCTTTCAAAGTATCTATTGGCCTTCCTACCACGGGCCATTGAACGTGCAGTATCAAATCCATTCCGACCATTTCTTCCGTTGCAGATAGATGAACATCCCCAATCCTGAGAAAGCCATCAATGATAGTATCAGTATGAATGATTTATTCCCTTGTGCTTGTGTGTCTTGTAGGGGTTGCCGTTGGGCTTCTCGTATTTCCTGTAAGCTCCTGTAATATTTATCTGATTTCCTTTTTGTTGTTAGCCCGAGCTCTATACTACTATCGCGCTTCAGGTAACCCTTGAAACAGGGCGAGAGCATCTCAAAAGCGTTCTCAGAATGCGAAACATCATAAAATGGTACTGTGGCGTCCACGCCTGCGCAGTCAAAAAGCACCTCAGAACCGCCTGGGTGTTGCTCGATCAGGCTTGTCACATCGTATACTTTGCCATTTATGACCATCCATAAATCGTCTGCTGACACATGCGTAGCCACCTCTTCCGCTGTGAACACTCGTCGAGAGCCTGTGCTCATCACTTTTTAAATCTGTTTATGCGATGAATCGACTTGCCAATCAAGTATGGCTATCCGGAATCCCTCTTTTCGTTAACTTAGTCTCTCACTAAGCCTAAGTCACTCTGTTTTTTTGCAAGCCGGCCTTTTTACGGAAAGATTGCTTCTAAAATACTGGTAAAGATTTGCATTCGGTTACCCGACGGAAAAATAGAAAGAAAGAAGTACGTAATTTTTTTTGATAATTCTCCACTTTAGATTATGCTTCTAATCATGCGGAGACTGACGACGACACCTCTAACGAGGATCCGTGTCGGATTTAGATTCAAAAATACGGCAGCATATGATAGCGCCATCCAATCCCTTAGACAGGACCTGAAAACCAGCATTCGTATGAAAGCAGACGTTTTTGAAAGAAACGTGATCAAAAGCATTCTGACTGAAGTCAAGAACCTCGAAGTCGCCAATGCAGGAAAAGATCAAGACGAATTTCAGCTGTATGATCTACTGGCAAAGATGGTCAATCAGCGGAAGAAAACTGCTGAGGAGTACCTGAAGGAAGGAGCGCCTGACCGGTTTCAACAGATGGGATTGAATGAGCTCAGAGAAATTCCATACATCGAAAAGTATATGAAGGAGCTTCCAGTAGCTCCGGAAAGTGAGATCGAGGCCAAAGTGGAAGCAATTGCCAAGGAGTTGCAGAAAGATGAAGGGCTTAGTAGTCCAAAAGCACTGTTTGGCAAAATCCCTTGGAAATCCATCCAGGAAGACTGGCACGCATCCAGAGCAGCAGTTTCGGCCGTTATTCCCAAAGTTTACGAGAAACTGACGTAGTAAATTACCCTAGCCGCATCTATCCATATTAACCTTTACCTGCTTCTTGGACCAGATCCAAGAATTTTTCTTTCGAAATCCCGTTAACAAGTTCCCTCTTCTTTGTCTGTCCGACTCCCTTGATGGAATCGATCTCTTTGCTGGTCTCCGTTTGAGTCGCCAAAATGGCATTGAAAAGTTTGATCACACCTCTCTGAGCAACTTTTCGATAACGTTTTTCCCTCTCTAGTGTCTGTCTGGCCAGCGAATCATCAGTAGGAAGCAGGTTTTTCACTCTGTTGGAGGTGAGCTTGGCTTTTTTCTCTGCGAGCAATTGCCTTTTGGCTTTGAGCTCTAGTTTTTCACTCTCTAGTTTTTTTAGCTGTGATTTAGATCTGGCCAGAATTGGATCTTTACGGTCATGTGCCTTCAACCTCGAATCTAGAAGAGCACTAATTGCCTTAGAGAACGATTCAGAGCCATCGCTTTTATTCTTCTTTTTGCCTGGAAGCGTCGGGATATCTTCTTCGTCTGAATTGGCACTCTCCGATTGAAAAGAGTAGTCGGTTTGCGGTTCATCGTCATTGTCTTCACCTGATTCTTGTTCGCTGCTCAAAACATCGCTTTCATTGGTGGATTCACTGTCATTGTCCCTCTGTATGCTTTGTTCATCGTAATCGCTCTCACTTTCTTCTTCAATTTCTCGACCGCTCTCGACTTCGTCATCACTGTTTCGCTCGTTTCTTTTCAAACTCTCTTCTAAAATAGCACTTTTAGATGCCTTGGGTATACCCAAAGCCACCTTCTGCTTCTTGAGATCCACCTTTGTTGTCATTCGAGTTTACTATGGAGGACCAGAAAATTTCAAATAAATTTTTTCTATAGAGTGCAAGGATGTGCCCGGTTTCTATTAGGCATAGAGAGCATATGTTGCTTTGTACTGATGGTAATCCTACTAAAATTAACGGCCCTGAAGCACGACCTCCATAGACCATCGACAATGAGGATGAGATACGATCAGGTACAAGATTGAAGTGAATTCGCACTAATGGAAAGCAAATCCTAGAATTATGGCTCATTTTGAGAGTGAACCTTCAGTTCGGAAAAGTCATATGGCTCACATCCGAGCTTCAGCTAAGATTCGCCCATTGAATCTAATGATGGATGCGTTGCTTTACTTTATAAACCCAGTGAATAAGATTCTGAAAAAAGCTAATCGGTTATGCGCCACAATAGGGCTGGTGATACCGATTAGTAAGATTGGGCTCTCTCAAAAGGCTTGAACCCGCTGAAAATGAGTCACCCTTAAAATCCTAAATAGGAAATCGTGCAAATTGAATAGCGTCGAGGTTTCGAGGAGTTAACGAGTCTACCTGGCGGTGACATGATCACGCTCTATTATGATAATGCACCTGGGAGATAGGTGTGGACCGAAGCGAGCTCCCTTTATATTTTTAAAGTTTGATGGATTTTTCACTTTGAATCCACTGCTTTTCGGCCCGATAGCGGCAATTTCATATTAATTGATTTTTCCACAACTTAATATTTGAAGGCGTCATCTCCCACTGAAAATTTTTCTTCACGTATACTTTCTTTCTCTTCCAAAGACACAACATTTACACAACCAGTTATTAAAAGATTGTTTAGTTATTTGCCATTTCGTTAGTGTTAGTTTGAATCATCAGTGAATTATTCAATATGTGTGCCTAAATTTATATCCTTTCAAGGTTATAATTTCTAAATTGTTCAGTATGTTAGACAATTGAAGAAACGAGAAAGAAAGTACATTTCAGAGACTTGAGTTTCGTTCGAGTTTATCTCAACCCACCCCAATTAGATCAATATGTTAAAGTGAACCATAGAATTACCACCGTCCATCATGGCGTGTCGTTGCTGACCAACTTATTTGAGAAAGATAAGATATAATAGAATCACCATATATCATCATGTTGTTAGGAGAATCAGTTTTCAGTGCTTTTGCGGAGCCCCCATCGGCTAAACAAGCTGACCTTGAGGAATTGCTCTTGGATACCAGGGGCTTCCATTTTGATGATCACGACGCTGATCATTCTCTACGTTCCAGTACGGGCCTTACGATCTCTCCTTTTGAAATCCATTCCTCTGTTATCGATTCCATATTTGAGGATCCAGATGCTCAAGCAGCTCCAATGTTGGAGTCAAGAGAGGACTCTTCGTCTTGGGAGCCACTTTTCAAGGAGGAAGATGATCTAATCCAGATAGCTGTGCAGCCCACTCCTGCTGTTAAAGAGGAGACTTTGCCGAAGGCATTGGTGACGTCACCTTTGACAGACATGGAAGAGTCCAGACGCTCAGTTTCTTGTACTAGCGAGACATCCTTTTCACCTAAAAAGGATCGCTTCGGCTGTACCCCTTACACTAGAAAGAAGAGGTCTCTTCCTTTAGAGCCAGTTGTGCCCGAGGGCGCGGATGCTGCCGCTATTAAGAGGGCTAAGAACACGGAAGCTGCTAGAAGATCGCGTGCTCGTAAAATGGAAAGAATGTCTCAGCTTGAGGATAAGTGCGAGTCTTTGATGCAGGAAAACGAGTCTTTGAAGTTGGAAGTTGCTCGTCTCAAGAGTCTTCTGCAGCATTCTTCGTAAAGTCCGTTTGAATTTTTGTTTTGAGATTGAGTTGAGTATCAAGAAGTACAAAATCATATAAAGCTTTTGTAAGTTGATTACTAATGTGCTGTCATTTAGCTCATCGCAGGCTCTGGAGTACTAGTTAGTATTCGACAACTTTGGATTACAGACGATAAAACAAGAATCGTCTGAAATATATACTAATTGTAGACGATTACAGTACTTCACCCAATTATATACGAAGTCTCTAAGGAAGTTGGGAGATTAGTGTAGTGGTCATCATTCCTGCCTTCCAAGCAGGCGACATGGGTTCGAATCCCGTATCTCTCAAATCTCAACTTTCAATATATTTTTTTGACCTTCATTAAAAAGAAATGTGGCAATTGAAAATCCTAAGAGCGCGGTCGCAGGTGGTGTTGGGAGATTAGTGTAGTGGTCATCATTCCTGCCTTCCAAGCAGGCGACATGGGTTCGAATCCCGTATCTCTCAGATCCCAACATTACTTTTTTTTCCTGTCGTGTGATTATAGTACCAGAACTTGTAAAGATATGACAATCCTTTCTGCACAAGAATACGTCGCCCATTTTTTTTCAAGGTGCTCACCAATGTCATATCGAGGAAGCAACTGATAACTGTTTTGATTTTTACGATTATCCAGCTGAATCGAAACAATTAGAGTGCACTTGTGACGACAATAGCAATCCGTGGGACGTTCGGCCTGTTTAAGATACGAGCAAACAAATGCTCGATAAGAGACCCTTCCGATAAATTATCCTAAAACTTTAAATATTGCCTTGATCTGATTGCTGGTCATGAGTTGTAGTATACCCGCAAAGAAAAGTCAGTCGTGTAATTAAATGACACCAATTGAAGCAAGTGTTTTGAAGTGAGAAGGAGCGTTCTTGCGGTTCTTAAAACACTAAAGCATTCTTCAATGACCGCAGAGATTGTCCAAGTTGTTGTGATTTACTTCCTTGTGGCGGCAATGTTTAGATGAAAACACTTGAGGCCTCGTCGTTCTTTTTTGTTTGCGAATGATCCAAAGAAAGGGACACAATGAGATCCTCTTTAGGTCTTCTGTCACATAGATTATTGGCTAACCACCCCCTGGACTTGAAGTCGTAGCCAATCCAGAGTCCTGTGACAGTTTCTACAAAAAATGCAATCCCCCATGTAGCAATATCATCAAGGCTGTACTTGTCTGCCCTCGCCTACATTCTACTCATGACTGTTTCATTTAACGTTGTCAAGCCTCCTTCACCAGAGTATGGGATATCAGACTGTTATAGGACTTTTAAAGCTAGCAAACAGGTACCAACTAAAGCAGTGTATCTCTTGATCCAGAAATATTTCTGGGAGAAATTTGGACAGCTTTCTATATTATGAGAAGTCCTGTTCGTGGAGTAGTAGCGCAACATTTTTAACAGTCTCCAACTAACAAGCATGATATTGGGACCGTTTTTGTTCGGCATACGCTCCTTCTCTGATCGCATTTCAAAAGTAACACAACATTATAGGAAAGCTTTCGAGGCTTGTTACGAAGATATGCTACGGTTATTGTATGTCTAAATGGGCGTCAGAGCTGGGGAATCCTATCCCGATTTATAGAGAAAAAGGGCTTGAATTCTCCACGATGCATAACATCAGCAAAAAAATGCATACAGCAGGGTTCGAACCTGCGTCCCATCACTGAGAATAGAACTTGAGTCTACCGCCTTAGACCACTCGGCCATGTATGCAAGTTTGAGTTTTAAGTAGGGATTCGTTACTATGTAAGCTATCTATTTTATGGGTACTTATCCATTTCCATAGGCGGCGTTATACTCTTGTGTGGGCAACCCCCTTCTCTCTACGTGTCTTCGTATCTCGTTAAACATTAATTATTTCTGAAGAACGATAAGGATGTATTTCATATATTTGTCATATTCTATTCATCCCTTGTCACCGGTTCTTCAGTGTTCGGTCTATGTCTTGATCGGATACCTTGCACTCTAGAAGGAGCCACTGAAAATTGCTGCTTGATATGCAGAAATTCAACATCTTGCAGTACACTTCCTCTAACAGTTATGGCAGAGGTGACGACAATAGTCCATAAGATCTCATAACAAGGGGACCGTGGTTTTTGTAGTAACCATTACTTTAGCAAACTAGTAATTCTTACATGTATTACATGAATCTTATATATTCATTCAATTGAGTTCATCGTCAACCGGAGAGTATATAATCCTTTTGCTTGTACATTAATGAACTATCGACTAAATGAATTCTGTCTAGAATCATAAAGATTTGTTGTGTTGCAAATTGATAGACTATATATCTCACGATACTTCACTATTTGAGCATCATTATATACTGACCAAAACTTATCGTTTGACGTGCCAGTCTTATTGTGTGTTATAATTACACCGGAGTCTACACCGGAGTCGGCGATTGAATTGAAGAAGGCAAGTCAGCACTTGTTTCATTGAACAGAATAGCCCTTTTTTGTCTAGCATATTCTCTTTTTTCTTCTTGAGATAAATTGGCCAGTCTTCTGGACGTGTCTGCGTCTGGAATGGACTCAAAAAAGCCCGGCGAGACTTCTCTAACACTATCATATTTATATTCAATGCCTCCAATATTGAATGAGGTACTAGCAGAACAATAAGCTATAGCGTAGGAGGTGAAAGAAGCAAATACAATTCTTACAATTGAAACCATGATGCAACCAATTTTTATAATTTGTGGATTTTGGTATACTTAATATGGGTTTAAATAGCGGTTTTGAAAAAGTATTGCAGTATGGAAATGTTTTCCACAGCCGTCGTTCATATCAGAATGACCGAACGAATCCGAATACGACAATGCATGACAGATATCGGTGATCAATATTTTTAATACATATGCAATATGACAAAATTATACCTTAAGATATGTATGCTAAGTTTCTGACCAATCGGGTATATACAAACCAAATGTAGGCTATACATGGTTTGATTACAAAGGGTACCAATGATACTTCTTACTACGAACTTTCATCGCAACTCGACGAAAGATAATGAATAGTATATAATATATGTGTAAAATGTGAGTTAATGAGAAAAGTTGTTTTCATAACCGTAAAAATGAACGATCAAGCCTTAATTAGTTAGTCAGTCAAACCATTCGGAGCTTTGTAGGTCTCCACAGGTACAATAATAACAAACAGTGGTGGTCTCGGCATTTACCTCTAACTCTAAGGACGTACCGTCACATCCTGGTTCTGTATAGACCCATGCTGTAATGCTATAGCTCCCGGTGCTTATCAAGAATCCTTCAAAAAGACCCCAGCCTGTACATTCTGCCATCTGATTTCCATTTTCAAGCACTCCCAGGTTATAAGCACAATTTTCATCGGTGTAGGTTGCCATGTATGGCGTAGCATATCTTTTTTTCAGCTTTAAAGGGACCGGCGATTGCATTGAAGAAGGCAAGTCAGCACTTGTTTCATTGAACAGAATAGCCCTTTTTTGTCTAGCATATTCTCTTTTTTCTTCTTGAGATAAATTGGCCAGTCTTCTGGACGTGTCTGCGTCTTCTGCTATCGACTCAAGTGTGTTTTAGTTTATGTTCGTTTCCGGTCATGATGGATTGTAGTAACCGCGATGTATTAAACCGTACCTCCCTCGTAGAGAAAAAATAATAATTGTATCGATCCTCCTTTTTCCCCAAGACCTCGCTCGATCCATATCTTAGTGAAGACGAAAAAACCTCCCTTACATCTCTGAATTCATATAGCCCACTCGTTTCTCTACTCTATCGGTTGCGGCCATATCTAGCAGAAAGCACCGTTTCCCGTCCGATCAACTGTAGTT